TTAATTTACTAAACTTTTCTTGTTTTAAAGGGAAAATAAGAAAGATTCTTTGAGGATATAAATTGCAGATAATAGTAAAGTCCTTTACAAGAACGCTTTATCTAAAATATCCAAGAATAAGTAACTTTATTTCTTACAGCGTTCTTTCACTCAAAGTTATAAGGCGTAGTTGCAAAGTATGTCAATACTTTTTAAAGTGCGAAAATTCTCAAATGTTCTTATCGTACCGAAAGGAGAGGGGGTGGAATAGTACAGAAGAAGAGAAGAAGCGCAACATCCGTGACTTGCAAAACTAATTCGAAAGCTTGTTTCCTGTGTGCTAGATTTTACGAAAGTTTTGTTAAAGTTTAGTTCAACTTTGAGAAAAGCACGCACACGTGCGCAAAGTTTTCGAGAGGTGCAAGAGGACACAAATGTTTGACAAAACAGATCCCCCCCCCCTCTCTCACTCTATCTCTCTCAACACGTGAGGAAAGAAAACGAATTGGACATGCTTTGATGTAAATCGAAAAAAAAATTTCTTCTTCTTTATTTTACACAGTTTTGGAAGATGAAAATTAAGAAAACGTATCTATGACAATACTGTGTGTTCTTTCTTTGGTGTTTGGTCCTTTGAAGAAGAAGAAGAAGAAGAAGAAGAAGAAGAAGAAGAAGAAGAAGAAGAAGAAATGGTAATAAAAATGAGGCCTCCCACCGGATATATGCATGTATGTATACTTGTAGTGTAGCGGAAGGAAGTCGTTGCGAAATGAAGAGGACAGGTAGGGGGAAAGAAAGATAGAAAGCAAGAGTAATGTTATCCCCAGAGGGGAAGCACAATACCTGAAACCTTGTATTGGCGCTGGCAAGTGGCATTGTGACCACGTCCGTCCGCAGATAACTGTGAAACAAAAGGACCAGAAAATCTTTATTCCACTCGCCCCTCTGTTGATTCAAATTTTCGCACAAAAATAAGTAAATTACATAACAGCCCGCGTAGAAATTTTGGCACTGAATAATTAAAATTCAATAGTATATAAAAGTTGGAGTTCGTTTTGTATTTATAGAGGACTTTTGAAAAATTGTTCAAGTTATTCAAAAGACTGCGATAAATTCTTAAAAAATTTAAGAGTAAAGAATACAGTGGAACATTTTAAAATTTATTACAAAGTTCTATCAGTATTTATGAGTCGCAAGCACCAAGAAACTTATTTTATTTAATAATAATATAGAATACACTGTGAAACATTTTTCGCACATAACACTCAGATAAACGATCCTAATATAGATTATTGTCAAGAATTTAAAAATACTTTTTGCAAGTATTTTCCAAGTAATATCAAGACAAGTATATTTATGAGTAGATATTATAAAAATGTAAAAAGAAATTGAAAGATATGAATGGATAACGAGATACTAGAATGAGTGAAGAAAATTTTCATATTCAATTTCGTGGCTATCAGACCAGAGACTTTGCTCAGAAAAATTCAAATCCCTCCGTCTCCTGCGGGCGTCCCAACTTTTTCTTCAAGAAAAATAAAAATTCCAATTCACCCCTCAACCAATGTCTACAAATTTTTCGTGACCTCTAACTTATTTTTTTCTTTTTTTTAAATTTTTATTGCATACGTCGATAATATATATCTACTGGACACCACATTCCTTATTTTATGTGGATATGACTTAAAAGAAAATTAATTTGACTTTTTTACATTACAAGCGCAGATAAAACGGTTTTATTACAATCATAAATGTTCCCCTATAGATGAGGTTCATATTTGAATGGAAACTATCCGTTGATAACATCCGATGAAAAAATGCGACACAAATATAGAGAATGAGTATAACATGCGGAAAAGAAAATCATATTTCTTTTCGATATAATATCAAATTTATGCGAGAGTGAATACTTTTTTCACATCAATTATTTTTATAACCTCTTTTCTTATAGTTTTCACATATATGTACAGCAATGTAATGCTACATTTTGTAAACGCAATTCAAAAAACTGAATTAACACCAATAACATTAATGTTAGTTATTGTCGGCATGTTCAATGAGATTTTATCAATGTATTTTGTAAAAGTGAAAAACTTTTTGAGTAATGTTTCAAACGTCAATTAAACATTCCAAGTTACATTGGCAATTCATATTCATCCATCATGATTTCAACAACGAAAGGGAGAAAATACAGCCAATCCATCTACAAATGCGAAATACTTTTTTTTTCCATCAACCATGCGTACTGTGTAATGGTAATTCAATATGAAAATTTCTCGTCATTAAAACATGTTTGAAAAACGAGTCTACTTATAATAATCATTTTTATTCGTCTTTTCATGTAAATAATTGTTATATTAAAGGAACGTGAACCGAAGAAAAGAAAAAAAGAAAAGCATTTAGTTTGATACTTGGAACATTTATTTCTCATCAGAAAAATAAAAAGATCCGACACGAGTTTGACGTGAAAAATATAGAACGCGCCGGGGCTAGCGATACATCAATTACAAATGTCCTGACAGTTTATTAGCGATGTTGACTTTCGTAGTTTCCCGCGGAAAGCCAAGCCAAAATTCCGACACGACAGTTAAGGTAACGAAAAGTTTGCGACGACAAAGTTTTTTTCAACAAAAAAAAAAGGACAAAAACAAAAAACCCTGGGTAAGCTGGCAACTTTCTGCTGAAATATGGCACAAGTTTTAAGCCCAGCGAACGGATCTTGCGCGAAAACACACGCCGAGAGAGCATGCTGTGACCACTCGTTTCTTCACGTGATGATACGCGGATTCTGTTTCATATACAGATATGGACCAGAATTGTTATATACGTTTTTCAACAAAGATCCCCCTGAATCACAATGACTAATCCGCATATTTCATGTATGCATATATGTTAGATATACATAAACATATCTCTCAAACTTTGGGAATTCATATATAATAAAATTCAATAACATTAAAATGTTGAAACATATTAGTGAGAAAGCTCAGATATTCTACTTGATGAACAATGAAAAGGCAATTGGATATGTAAACCTACATTTACTATTTTAATTGTCATTATATTATTTTAAATTTTAGATTATGAATTTAATTTAATTGAATATTATAATATTATTATTATTATATTATATTATATATTATTATTATTATTATAATATTATTATTGTTATTATTATATTATTATTATTATTATTATTTTTATTATTTATATTGAATATTAGTATGGAATTTCATGTAATTTTCACATTGGAAGTGAGCACACTGGGAATTGCAAATTCTCGACAGATCCTATACTTTTCCATGGTGTGCGATGGCACTCGCCTAAGGCATGTCGTCACAGCTTTGTAGACTTACGAAGCGGACGAATACATTATTTTCGCTACTTGTCTTTTATTACTTGGCTAAATGTGGCCGTCACATATCTCTGCATACTCAAACATTCCAAATATGTCTAACTTATCAAACAAAATGTTTTCTATTCAACGTGCTTAGAAAGTCATTATTCTTCCTCTAAAATATAGTCTAAAATAGCTCAAGAAATGGAAAATTTATTACTCTACTTTTCATAATTAATTAACCCACTATTAATTTCCAAAACGGAAAACGAGAAGAGAAAAATAAATTGTTTAGTACAGAAAACTTGCAACAACAGAAGCAGCAGCAGTAGCAGCAGACCCCATTTTTCACAACTCGCACTAATTTATTTTTATCTTAATGCCCTAATGAAGATATATTTTAGCAGGGTAATGTATATAAGCAAAATACATTTCAAGTTTTAATTCCCATTTCACAGGGTTCTTTTATTGCTCTTCTTTTTTATCATCAATTCTTCAATATAGGTGAAATTTCGTAATTTCGCGTTCAAAAAATGCGGTCCTATAAATTTATTTTTAAAATCTTGTGGAAAAATATAATAATATTTTTCTTACTAATAAAAAATAAAATTTCTATAAGCAATTTTTCGATCTAATGATTTGAGGACAATTTGTTTTCTATATATGTTATTCAATGATTTCTTAGAATTGAACTTAAGGCATCGATAAATTTTTCACTCTTGGGGGTTGAAAAATATTTTCCTCGCTCGGAAATCAATGCAATGTCAGGAGAAAAGAAGGAGAAGCCTAATTTATTGGCGAAAGCTCCGCATTCCCAATCTTCTTTCCAGCAGTCTTTTAAAATTCTCACAATGTTCAAATATATCCTCGAGAGTAGTCTCGACTATATTTTTTTGTTTGCTCCTTTTTGTCATTAGTTCTTTATTTATTCAACAGCAAGGGCTCTCTTCCCTTAAGCGTCTTTATCTTGCTTCCATTTTTTACTTATATAGCTTCTTACTTTCCTGACAATCACATTAAAATTATTTTAACTTACCCCAAAAAATGATGAGCGAGAGAACGACTCGTGGATGTCAAATAAAAATATTCATCTTTCTCCAACTCAAATACCTACTGACAATCCTAAATACAGTCGAACCTGGATAAGTGGTCCCTTGATAAGTGGGAATCCTCTTTAAGTGGAACTTTCTTTGCAGTCCCTGCACAAGTAATTTGACCTTAAATGACCTGGATAAGTGGAATACCTCTATAAGTGGAACAAGAACTTTGGTCCCTTGAGGTTCCACTTATCCAGGTTCGACTGTATATTATAAATATATTATGTATATGCTATATATATGCCTATGAAGGTAATTTTTCAAATTTCAAGAAAGCATTTTCCGCAATTTTGCTTTTGTAAATACCTATATTCTTGGAGTACAAATGAAATTCATAACGATTATTCAAGTAAGAATAAAAGCGAAAATTAAAGCGTTTGTAGCTATAAATAAAGGAGAAATAGATAAAATAAAATGATAATAAAACGAATGGTCGAGGGTCATTTATTAAAACGAAACTGACACTTTACTATCCTATGGACATCCATTGCTGCAAAACTATACATAAAAGCGGTACGAGTTATCGGACTTATTGGATTCTGGACTTTCTTTGTAAGTTCGTCTGGAATTGCAGTGGTGGCTGTCAGAAAACTAGGAATTCCCTGGAGGCACTGTTGCTGCCAAAAATGAAAGAGGACCGAAAGAATAAGTTCTAAAAGTGGTTACTAAAAATGTCATTCACTTTAAGGCTCAAGACATTAGCACGAATTCTGTTCCGATGAAAAGTGTACGCATACCATGCGCCGCGGTGAATTTGCCGCGTAATTGCCAATTACCCGAAGTAGTTGTGTGGTAGTTGTGCGAACAATGCTTCGTCCTGCAACAATGGCAGCCACTTCGTAACCAGTTTTTGGCTTGGGGGGGACTTCTATTATACAGTTTGGTACAGGTTCTCTTAGTAATTTTAGATTATATGCCATGGCTCGTTGCTTGCCATATTTTCCCTGTGGCTTTCTTATCTGTGACCAGATGGTTTATGTGAAACAGTGTATTACAGTTTATTAGGAAACAACTTTCGGCCCTGACAAACACATTCTCTCGGCAGATTTATAATAATCTCTTGATTAAACGCTCAAAAAGCTCATTCATTTTCTCATATATGCACAATAATTCAAAACTAATTGACGTTTATAACACGTCGTTCACTTCAAGTCGCATGTGATATTTAAAAAACTGTGCCATAATTTGGGCAAATATTTTATTGGTGGATATGATGCAGTTGATCTCATATACGCATGAGAGAATAGTGGAATTACCTATATATACATACCAATAGTGTATTATTATTGTAAACCATAATCCTAACCATACTCGTATGTTAAAATTTGCCACATCATTTTTTTTCTCATACAATATTCTCTCAAAGCAAGAATAATGTATTCTATTTTAAGAAAAGAAGAAAAAAATACACTTTTTACTTTGAAGAGTTTATTATAAAGGCAAATATTCTGGGTTTAAGATGAAAGCGTTTTAATAAAAAGTATATCTTAAATTTCCTTTAAACGACATATCTTAATCCGTAAATGTGAAAAGTTGAATTCGTAACATATATATAAAGCAGAGCCATCCCTCTCAAATATACTTATAAATATCATTTCATTTTCAACATCACAAAGGATTTATTTCACGTCATGTTTTTTCCCTTTTATAAAGAGATTTTTAAAAGACTTTCTAAAAAAATTTGACCCTCATTTTTACATTCAATACCTTGGTCCAGATTCAAGTTAAAACCCCTCTTTACAACAAAATTAATAAAAAAAATGTTATAAAGCATTTTACACTGCGTAAAAAAAAGAGAGTTAAATTTCAACTCCCCAGGGGATTCTATAAAAATCGCACCCATTTGGGAGTTAAAGGGAGTTAAAATTTACACAGTAAAAATGAGAACCAACTCCAAAAGGGAGGTAATTTAATAATTAACTCCATTTTGGAGTTGATTTTTAACTCAAAAAATTTAACTCCCAACTCCAGTGACCGCCAACTCCCTAAAAATAGTAAATAGTAAATAAAAAGGCTAATTAATTATTTCTATTTATTTTCACCTTTGACATAAATTATTGCTGCGACAATAATAAACCTTTTCTACTGATACATTTTTTCTTTGATTTAAATAAGTATAGACATTTACTGCAATTGCAGGAAATGATGGAATATTAATATTCACGACTGGAACCATTCCAAGTTTTGAAGCTCATTTAGTTAAATTCTGACTTAAATTCCTTTTATCATAATATAATGTAACAATCATATAGATTTTTTCTTTATACATTTTCAATATATACTTATATATTTTTTTATTTATCTTATACACTGTAGAAAATTTAGGGATTTGACGGTCACTGGAGTTGGGAGTGAAATTTTTCGAGTTAAAAATCAACTCCAAAAGGGAGTTAATTTAATATAACTTGTTATTTTTACTGTGTAAATTTCAACTCCCTTCGCTTTAACTCTCAAAAATAGGTGCGACTTTTATAGAATCCCCTGGGGAGTGAAAATTTAACTCCCTTTTTTACAGTGTATGACATAGTTTATGTATAATTGAATTTAACTGTTTTTTAAAGATTCTCAGAATCAATTGTGTTCACTGAAAGTGATTTAGTCATCAGTTTTATCACCATAGAATGAGTAGAAATGAATTTCGCTGAAATCTATATAAATAAAATGAAAAAATGTACAGTAATTTTTGATCATGGAAGGGTCACTATTTTCTTATGTTCGTACCTGAGATGGCAATTGGTTGCAGTTGTAGGTGGGAGATCGAGTCATAGCGGCACACCCAAAGGAATGACGTCAGGTGTATATAGTAAAACATAAGTGCCAGTAGAAATAACATAGATTCTTCAAGAATTTCAAACAAATAGCCAAAAATGACATTAAAAACAAAGAGATTTCTAATATTCTGTGTGACATTATTGTGCATGTCTTTGGGTAAGTCGCAATTATTAATTTCTTTTTCAATTTTTAGTAAAAAAAACAACAATATTTTCATTCTCGGCTTCCATCTTGGCAAGCGATTGATCTGTTTGTTTTCAGTATCCCTTAATTTTTTCAAATTTCCTCTATTACAATACTAAAATTACACAAGAATTCAATTCATTTATAGTTATCAAATAATTAAACATTAAAATCATTATAATTATAATGTGTGATAATAATTTTTAAAATTAATAACATTAGCCGCGTTAAAATGATAATAATAATAAATTGATAAAATATTTTTCTCCAATTTTCATTGCATAAAAATTTGTATATGCTGATTAGCGCAGTGATGCATTTAAAACTTATCTTAAAATAAAAGACTTTCTTATATTTTTACTGCGAAAGATGAAAAGAAGAAATAATTGTTTCAAGTTATATTGTAAAAAATATTTCAATTTTAGGCTCGGACTCGATAAAATGTTATCAGTGTAGTTCGGATACAGACCCAAAAGGCTCGGATGTATGTGGATCATATAATAAATTTGATAAAGAAACAAACATCGCCATTGAATGCAATACGGAAGAGTCACACATGCCTGGATCATTTTGTGTGAAATATGTACAACAAAGTCCACGTGGTTTTATTTGTAAGTTTCATTTCACTGTTTATGAAAATTAATAACAATAATTAATTATGGTAATTTATTTAAAATTATAATAATTTTCTTTTTCTTTTAAGGGGACGGTAGATGGAGACAGGTAATTCGAAGATGTGCCTCGGTGGCAAGTACTGGAGTTACAGGTGTGTGTAATTGGGGAATTTACGAAAATGGCGTTTATTGGGAGGAATGTTATTGTTCAGAAGATTATTGCAATGGAACCTCGAGTTTTAAAGGAATGTCAGTTTTCTACGTATGCATAATCGCAGTAATGCCCTTAATTTTCTTTTGGAGGTAAACAATTTTTAATTTTACGGATTTTCCAAAATTCTTGTTTTTAATGCAAATTTTATACTCAAGAATCCTTCACATAGAGATTCGTGCGATACCGCAGGAAAAGATTTCTACTTGAAATATCTAGAATCCTCTCTAAAATTTTCATTTGTCCTTATTTTTTATTGATAAGGATTTTTATTAATTAAAAAAATGTTTTCTAAAAACAAGACAAAACTTTTACTTTAATTATGTATAATATAATTATTATTATTATTATTATTATTATTATGAACAAACCGTCCATTTTTAGCTTTTATAAATAATTGTGATTATAAGAAAAGATATGACACATTTTTTATACATATACAACTTGTTCAATTATTGAGATTAAGACGATTTTTAAAAAATCTCAAATTTACTGTAAATAGCGTCTAAGAATTTACTGTTAGAGCTACTACTTTTAAGATTACATTCTATAATATGTATATATAATATATATTAAAGCAGTTCATTACGCTTAGAAAATCAACTCCGTCCAATAAAATTTCTATTTAATAGAAATTGTTTTAGAACAAAAGAATAAGACACACTGCAAGACTAAAGCACTTTATAATAATTGATTAATTATTTCTGAAATAACATTATTGAAATTGACAATTATTCATGTACATAAATTAAAATTTTAATTTAATAAAATATACATGAAAGTATATGCCTATTATTACAATTGAAACCAAGTATTATTTCTTTCATTTCCTCAAAAAACATTCAACTATTTAAAGGATATTCAATTAGACAATTAGATTGTGGAAACAGTAACGATCCACGAAAATAAATACTTAAATGGAAAATATTTATAATTAAATATACATAATGTTTTTCTTTTGAAAAGCATTTGTCAAACAATTCAAATTACAATGAAGAAATTGCATTTTAAAACGAAATGCAAAATGTCAAATATAACCGAATAAGAGAGACGAATTAATTAATGAAAGATGAATTTCGAATTAAGAATGCGAAATAAACCAGCTTTGAAAAGCACTTTCAGGGATTGGTCGTTAACAATGTTAAAAAGAGTTTTCCGTCTTAAGGAAGGAAAAAAATACTATAAAATATGAAACGCCAATAATACAGCGTCCGGGGTTTTCAAGAGGCTAATTAAACGCGCTCTCAAGTAATAACGATGAAGGAACAACCACTTTTAACCAGAAAATTAAGAGAAGCAACTAAGCAAGGGAGAGACCAAGTGTTCACTATCAATGAAGCATCCTAACTACAGTTGCAATTTTTACCGCCCCAAATGAGTTTTTATACTTATCAAGAAAAGTATTTCAGGACTTGACGAATTTCAGGACTTGAATCCTTTCCCGTTAGAATATATCAAAATTACCATTTCATTTATAAATGTCCAATGGCATCCACATGAAATCCACTTTTTTCATTCATTAAAAAATTGCCTATTTCTAAAACTATTTTATCAACTAAAATAAGCGTATTTTGTTTTCCATACTTGATTATTCTTTTAAACTTATAAAATTGTCAGAAAAATGAAGAGAAAACGATGATTAGCAGGAGTAATAAAAGGATTCTTGGTTTTTAAAATGCAAGTATGATTAAGAATAACGAGCATTTGAGACTAAAGTTTCACGGTATTTAATCAAAAGCCGATGTAACAAATCGCCGTTCTCGGAAATGGGACAGAAGGTCTTAATTATAACGTCTCAAGTAACGAGGGTCGGCGAAGTCGCTTACATAATATCAACTATGTATACGTATATATATAAAGTTTATATTTTGTATACAAGGGCCTAAATAGCCCATCGCGGTGTCCATTCTACCCGACATTAATAGTCTCGCGAGACATAATTAACTCACAGTCACAGTTGCTGAATTTCTGAAATTAACATGATGGTGATGATACACCTTTTGCTTTAGAGATTGCTAAATCTTCACGCGTCATTCTTCATTTTAGGATCATTTTTAAAAATTTTTTTTACTTCATTGACTTTTTAATAATTTAAAAAACAAATAAATAAGTATCAACTTCTCAACTCATTATTTATTACCTATATGTATACTTTTTTAAATTATATAAAAGTAATTCTCACTATACACGGAAAAGTATGAGAACAAATGTTTTCAACATGTTATGCTTCAATTGAACATAAATAACATAATAATAAACAATAAAGATGCATAAATTATATTTTCAATAAACGACTTTTGATTCAAACTAATTATTTATTTTGAAAAAACTTGTAGCAAATTTACGATATGCTTCATATATTATTTACATTTGGCATTATATAGTGTGAAAAAAATCAGTCTAAAAATAAGAAAATCAGATAATCATATTTTGTAAATTGTTTATGTAATTATATTCACGTCATTTGTGAACAACATAAGGGTGCAATCCCATTACAGCAGAATACGTCGACCGAAAACAGAAAATCATGAGTGCGAAAGAGATAGATAGATATTGTTGTTCTTTTCACTCTCATGATTTTCTGCTTTCGGTCGACGTATTCTGCATACATGGAATCGCACCCTAACATTCTAGGTATTAAGGCACGGTCACAGCTCAGCAAATTGCGCAGAATGGATCGCAGAACTTACAAGAGAGAGAGAGAGAGAAAGAAAGAGAGAGAGAGAGAGAGAGAGAGAGAGAGAGAGAGAGAGAGAGAGAGAGAGAGAGAGAGAAAGTGACTGACTCTTATTTTTGTATGTTACCATGACAACCTAGCTATAAACGCTCCATGGCTCATGCATGCAGGTTTCCATGCTAACGTACAAGAGTGAGAGAGATAGGCAATTGTTTGTATCTCTCTCACTCTTTTTGTACATTACCATAGCAACTCTGCGTCTTCGTCGGTTGCTATAGCAACACATGCTAAAATCAACGCAACGCAGTCATTCGCAAACGAAACGCGTGAGATAGAAAAGGACACAAATATATATCTCTATCCTTTTCTAATTAATTCTTTGCGTTCACGAAACAGTTGTGTTTAGGCCTTTAGTAGAAATTGTCCACAATGAAAAATCTATATTGGAGTAAGAGAGACAGACTGTGTATGTGTTACTCTTACTCTAATGTGGATTTTCCGTTATGGACAATTTTTATCGAATGTGTAAATGTTCCATGAATTAGTTGCCATAGAAACGAACGCAACGCTTGCTCTTAGCATCGTATTGGAGAAAGGCCTTTAGAGAAAACGTATTTCAGAGGTTCTGCCATTTATTCAATTTTACTTATTGTGTGATCACCATAAAGATTCTACCATTATGAACTAGCTTGCACCGTGATATTTTGTTATAATAGTTTCCTATCACATATTTGAGTGAATCTACCATTTTTCGTTTAAGCGTTAAAAAGAGTGTAATAAAATTACTTTTAATGTGGTGCTTCTGTTTTATTTAAATATTTGAAAGTTTGCAGAAAGCCAAGACTTAATTGATTCATTTTATACGGAAGGAAATATTTTTAGGTAAAGAATTTTTAAAATTATTTTTAGAGTTTGAAATCATTTATTTCTCGTTGACTATTGCCCGCAACGATGCGAATACACTGTCATGAGAAATATCTGATTAACTTTACTGTTTTGTATATGTGTAATTTAAATAAAACTTGTTTCATTTTTATTCTTACGGTTTAATGAGTCTAAGAGAATTTAATGACAAATTTTTGTTGACGATTGATTAAATTATAATTATGTTTGGATAATATTTTGACTTTAGATGTTTACACATTTCCTGCATATACATAGGTATATATATATATATATATATATATATATATATATATATAAAATCTAACCCCAGCCTATATGAAAGCAAACCAATCAATGAAAAGTAAAGCGTTTCTTTTATATATGATAAAATAACAAACTTTTTATATATATTAATATAATTTAATATGTACACATAATGTAATGAATATGAATTTTTTTTTTATTTAATCGATATTCCCTAGATTATAATTATGTCTTTTATCTTTAACAATTGATAAATGTTGTAAAAATAATAATTAGCTAATTAAAAAGACTTGATTGACAAAATTAATTATTGCATGTAGCGAACTCGTGAAAATAGGAACTTGCTTTAAGACCAGTTGGCAGTTTCCATTCTGATATTGCTAGCTTTATTTGTATTGTTTTCATTTGTCATTTAATTAATTTAATCTTTTTTTAATGCAGATATGAGGCGTAAAAGTGAAAGGAATAAAACGAAAGGTTCTCCAGAGAAGAAAGTTGAGAAGCCGACAAGAAAATCAGCACGTAGACGTGGAAAAAGAGCAACATCTTCATCTCCTGAAAGAGATGATTCGCAAGAAGACACAACATCTGATGCTTCTCTTTCAAGAGAAAAAGATTTAACTCGGCTTCAAAGTAAGGACGTGAAAGCAGTAGCAGCAGCAGCAGCAGCTCCTGAACAAAGCGAACCAGTAGTTGCAGCTGTAAATGTTGAGGAAAAGGACTCTTCGCCAGAAACCGAGGACAATGGTTCCGTGTGGAAAGTGGCTAGAGCTGACGCATCGCCAGGTGAAATACAAAAGCTCAAGTTATGCAGACAGCGCAATATCTCGGAAACATCAGACAATTCGTCGAATAGGAAAAAGTCACACAAGTGGCAGGGGAGTGGTGAGGGAACTGCGGAGGAGATTGACTCGAACGACGAGCGACTGAACTCTCCTCAAGTAGAGTTCAGCGACAAGCGACCAGACGATGTCTCCTCTTTATCCCTAGGTCAGGACTCCAACCAAGAGGTAAGTGATTACAAGGAGGCCCTACCTGAATCCACTTCAGCCAACTTGTCTGACGATAAACCCAACATAGATCTACAAGGCGATATAAATGAGGCAAGTTGTTTCACCCTCGATATCATGAGCGAACCCACTGGCACATCTACAGATCCCACCTTTTGCGGACAACTCGTCGACCCGGATGTCTTAGAACTAAAGGAAATGGGAGAAAATGAGGATAATCAGGAACAACAACAGCAACAACAACAGGAGGATGCAGAAGCCGAAGCAAAAGAAGAACTGGTTTCGCCGGCGTTGGTGGATGAAACTCCTGTCGATTCCAATTTGGAATCGAAGGAAGGAAACAATGATATTCTACCCGAACAGCAAGAGGTTCCTCAAACGGAGGAGAAAATTTCATCAGAGCAAGTTCCGGAAGCGAAAGAAGAAATATTTCAAGATTCAAAAGTACATCTTTCCCCAAAGGAAGAACTTGTTTCAGACGATGTTGTTCTTCCTAAAGAAGAATGTCAAACACAAGAACCGGAAAGAGAAGTTTTACCAACAGTAATGGAAATTGCAAAAAGCAGTGTGACTACACCTCAAAGAGATCAGGAATCACCTCAAAAGGAAGACGTTGTCACGTTTGAAAAGGACGATCGCAATGATTCAAGTAGCGATGAAGATCAGGTGAAAGTTCATTCGGACTCAAATTCAATAGATGAAGCACAAATGAATGTACGATCAAGTATAAGAGCATCATCTCGTTCCAATCGTCGAAAAAATCGTAGTAAATATCGCGAATCTTCCTATTCTGATACTCCTGAATCAGAAGACGATCCGTCCTTGGAAAGAAAATCAAAACAACCAGATACTCCTGAAGAGGAGGAGGAGGAAGAGGAAGAGGAATTGCCATTATCAAGAGATAGAAGTCGCTCAAAATCATTAGTACCAAATGATAATTCATCTTTATTAAACAGTAAAGAAAGAGAGGAACAGGTTGATGAAGAAAATGAAAAGAACGATAACAATTCAAGCCATGCATCAAATATTCATTTAGAGGCAATTACATCTAGTCAAAAACCGGCAAAAATCAACTTAAAAAGAACATTGTAAGTAGCTTTTTGTGATGCATTTTTTCGATATTTTTTTATTGACATCTAATAATTTTAATTTAATTTTTTCACTTCTCTCTTTTACAGTGGTACTCGCAACTCTGCAGATGAAATTAAAGTTGAAGAAAGCAATCTATGTGAAAAAATTGATTCAAGTCCAGTTAAGGTTACTATTAATTTTCCACTTGAAGATAAAAACATTATTTTATATTAATAAATATAATAATAGTATATTTCTGAATTTCAGACAAATCATACAAGTGAAAAAACAGAACAAAAACGAGTTCCTAAAAGACGAAGGTGGGGAACAGTTCTTTCAACAGACACCAGTATTGAATTTTCCGTCTCTACGGATTCTTTAAAGGTAAACAAATATTTTCCATTATATTATTATTTTCTATTATATTAGTAACCATAATAATATTTATTTAAATGTTTAGGTATTAGTACCAGGAGCTAAACCACTGTCAATAACTGAAGTGCGTCTTTCAAAAGACGTCGAAGAAGAACAGTTTCGAGATAAAAGTCGTGACAAACATAATACAAGTGATAGTAATGGTGAATATATTGTTCGAGAAGAAACTATTGCTTCAAAAAATGAAGGTTCCAGAAAAGGAGATACAAAAGCCGACAATCACATGGGTGAATATATATAAATATACTCCATCATTTTATTGAAATTTCCAATTACATATTATTGATTATTTATGATTATTTATCATTATTTATGATTGCAGGTTCAAGGCGAAAAATATCTGTAGTAAAAGACATTCCTCAAACGATGTTGACAAGTCCATCTATAGTGAAAGTAACAAATGTACTTTTGATAAAGAATTTAGTGCGCCCGTTCACTCTAACTCAAATTAAAGAACTTCTTTCTCGCACTGGAACCATTTTGGAGAATGGTTTCTGGATGGATAGAATTAAATCGAAATGTTACGTTCAGGTTAGTCATTATTTTCAAGTAGTATTCAAAGATTGTAAGAAAATTATTTTTCTTAAAAATTAAAAAAAAAACTATTATTGTTAATCATTTACATTTATCATTTTTCTTTTTTTATAATAAATAGTATAGTAACGAAGATCAAGCTTTTGAGACAAGACAGGCATTGCATGGAATTTCTTGGCCACTGTCAAATCCAAAAAAGTTACAAGTGGAATATGCAACAAAGGAAGACATGGAGTTGGCTCAAGAATCTTCTCAAGATGTAAACAATTCTCGCAAGGATGATTCCTTTGGGCAGACAGATTCTTGGCAGCACGATTGGATACGCGAGGAAAGAAATCAAACTGGAGGAGTAAAAGTAACGGTGGTGCGAGAATGGGATTTGGGAAAAGAAGATGGCCAACAGCATGTTTTGAAAGACGATCGAGAAAAAAAAGAAATGGAGAAAAAGAAGAGGCAAAGAAGTCAATCTCCAGTCACAGAAATTCATTTGCCAGCGCCAGCACGGAAATTTAAGAAAAAAGAAGATGAGCCTCCTCCGGCAAAACTCTTGGATGATCTCTTTAGAAAAACAAAAGCTACTCCTTGCATATATTGGCTACCACTCACCAACGAACAGGTAAAACATAATGGTTGATATGCTCAAACAATAACATGTCCGATCACCGATCGAGAGAATCAAGAATATCATCGTAAACTAAATTTGTTTCAGATCGTAGTAAAGGAGGAAATGAGAAGGCAGCATATGGCTGAACATGCACGCAGGCTTGAAGAAATGAGGCGAGCTGAGAGAAATAGAGATCATCGACGTCGACGAACTCCTAGAAAATAGAAAAAAGAAAATTGTTTCATTTATCACAACTAAAGACCCTTTAAAGCCAGATTTCTATCCTGCAGATTGATTTTATAGAACAAAATTTGTTTTCACTTTCCTTCGAAATCATTCGAAATGTTGTGATTGAAATTCACTGGAATATTAATTTTCTTAAACTTTTACCATCTTATTTTTTTTACAACTTTTTTTTGCTCTTAAAAGAAAAATAAGATTAAAACTAATCAATTTTTGAGAAATGGTTCTATTAAAATCGTAGAGCAGGATTGATTATTTTCAATGTTCCTTTTTTAAAATTGATTGCAATTTTATTTTTTATTACTCAATTATTTTTCACTAGCATTAGAGACAATTCATGCTTTCAGAATATCGAGACGGATCAAGTCTTCTATTGCCGCAGCATTAAACTACACTTCTTGCAGGTCAGCGACTAGCACTGTCAGCAGGAGAATGCAATTCAGATAATTGTTTTCATAAGATGTACACCTTTCAACCCAAGATTGATCGTGATTCAAGATTCTTTTTCTTCTTACGAAGAAAGTGAAATTTAAAAAGTGAAAATACTTTAATTAAATTTAAATTACACTTTTGTCTTATGGACTGTCAAATCATACAGAATGCGCTAATTGTTTATAAATACTGTTTATTAAGATATCATAAAAGTGTTTAATGAAAAATGTTTCATAATACACGAGTATCATTATAGCGAGCAGGAAATTATAAACATTACTAAAAGGTTAAACTTATTATTCGTCAAACAGATTTTCATTCTGTGTATATAATTATTTACAATTACTTAAAAAAAGAAAAAATATATGCAAAATGTGTAAAATTTTCAAATAAACATCAATATTATTAAAATTAAATTAAATATCATTAATATTATTATATTAATATTAATTAATATAACAATATTTATTACCTATTAAAATTGTAAAGTAACATATATATATATATGTATATAAATTTTTTTGCACAATTAATTAGTTATTCATATTGTAATATTCTCTTTCTCGTCATCTTTTATTTACAACAATAGATATACAACCGCGCTACAAAGTAATTCTCAGTTTTCTTTTCATTTTCAAATAACTGACCACTTTTGTAGGCAACCTTGCATTCACATTTTATATAAAATTATAGTCGAATAATAAATTTTTATTTGCAGTAATAATTTTGCTGATGATGAAATTATTTAGATTTTATAACTCAGTATTGAAGAAATTATTATTACTCTAAGGAAAAAAGTACAAACACATACAGTTGAGCGTCTGGATGTAATAAATAATTCGCTCAACGCTCGATTGTACGCGGTGGTAGCAGTTAAGTTATTAAACTTGACTGCTGCCCAACTGTTTTTGTAGCGAACAACCGCGCCAAGGACGAGAAATTTAACGAAGGCGCTCGACTGTTGACAAACGAGTGATGAAAAAAATTATTCATGTTTTAATGTGCCTTTAAATAAATTACGGTCAAGTTACATTTATATGTACGTATGGTATAAATTTTTTTTTTTTTTTTTTTTTTTTTTTTTTTTTTTTTTTTTTTTTTTTTAGTTTTTTGTAGTACTTTTTGTTTTTGCAGAACTTTTTTAAATAAATCTAAACATTTCTTACGATTTTCCAATTGAAAGTACGACAATTATCGTTTGCGTAGATTATGACACATTTAAAAATGTTGTCACTTACTTGTTATTTGTTTCAGTCAACTTTTACTACACTGTAAATTTTTCTCACGAACCAGAAACATGCAAAAAATCCAATCGACCCTAAAAAAAGCATTACGTATTTAATTACAAATGTCTCATTGAATAAATAAATGTCTAGTTAATTATTATTATTTACTTATTCGCAAGTAGTAAAAAAATTAAATTATATATAATAAAAGCTAAATTGTAATTAGCAAAAGATGTAAGTACATAAATTAAATACCTGTCAATAGGAAGAACAAGAAGACAATTATAAATGTATATCCGAAGTAAAGAAAAGTTGAAACTGCATCTTCTATATTCAATTTCGTCATAAAATAATGTACACAATAAATTAAAAGATAAAAAGCTGTGAATCCAGAAGTTAAGAAACTGCGCCACCACCATTGATAGTCCTTTAAGAAAAGAAAAAAAAATTATTTCTCTCATTAAAAAAACATAAGAGAATAAAAATATATATATATATATTATTTATTTACTTCTGCGCAGAGATGAAAATAGCAGAGGAGAATGGTCGTTTCTGAACAAGTAATGATCAAAATCAAAAATACCAAAAAGAGAAAGCCGAACATGTAGTACATTTGATTTGACCTGAAATGTGAAAACATACAACAGTTAATAGTAACAATTAGAATCATGAAAATACAATGCGACGGAAATTATTATTACCAAAGAGAGTTTAGAATGAAGAACAATTGTATGAAAATGCAACCAAATGGTAAAACACCACCCATTACTACTCCAGGTACTGCTTGTGTGTAGAAACTCTGTTCAGGTATTTGTCTCGGAATTTGATTCGTTCTTACTGGATGTTCCAAAGGCTACGAAAAGAAAATTACATGTCAACTTGATTAAATTTAATTTTACATTGAATTTAAAAAGTACATACTCGTTTTCTGAATCCAAAATAAGCTCCAATAAAAGTCAGTGGAACTGAGATGCAAAACCAGAGAGCCAAAAGAGCTATAAGTGTACTGAATGGCACAGCAGCAGAACTGCCTTTCGACCAAAAGATAAGATTCATTACGAAGAATAAACTGAAGACGATTCTGTAAAGATTGCACTATTTAATAAATAATTCTATTATAGGTACTTATTAACATTTATCATTAGAAATGTAGGCAATTCGTACCCCGGACTGAGCATCGCTGTGAGAAGTACGTTCGATTTCCACTTGTCACCACCAAAACTTTTGTACATTCTAGCCGAAACGTAACCGGCAGTTGTTCCCAAACAAACGTATAAAACCATTGCACAAGTCATTAAAGCTCCTCTGTTTGCAGGCGATAGAAATCCGAGACACGCAAAGGCTGAAAATTAAAAAATTTGATAAAATTAGAAATTGTAATATTAAAATTGTCAAAATAATATCGACTTACCTAAAGTAACAAGAGTCATGAAAAATACTTGGATGCCTGATCCCAAGAGAACAGATAGAAGCATTCCTTTCCGAGGAGGTCGAAATACATCGCCGTGAACCAGTTTCCATCCAAATTCTTCTTGCGCATCTTCGCCTGACTCTATCTGGAAGTATACCTGTTTTGTTGCAACGGCAAGACATAAATGTCACTACAGTTTTGCTACAACTAATTAGCGGCAAGAAATTTAAAACAAACAGGTCCAATTAAAGGTGTACACAAAATTTCTTGTTAACAATGCTTTCAAAATATATTATTAGTTTTAATTAGTATTCAAAATTTAGTTTATCATTTTATTATTAAAGAAATAAAAAGTGTTTATTCTCAGTGTTCTTAGTAAAATTAAGTAAATTTAATTATCTTACACAATATTAAATATAAAAAAATGAGATATCATTATTTTTCTTCTTTTAACAGACTTCTAATAATAAAATAGCAGCATTTAAAACTAAAAGTAATGCTGAAAAATTTTACAAGATGGGATATTTATATAGAGTAGCACAAACAATTCATTATGTGTACATAATTAATGTATTAGGATAAACATAAAATAAAACTAAAACAGCAGTTACCTGATTGTAGCGAGCAATATCTTTGTGTAAAGTTCGAAGCATAATCATTGCAACCATTCCTGACAGAAATAATACAATAACCAGTGAATTCAAAATGCTGAACCATTGAATATTTGTATGTGGCATTGATTCTAGAATGTAATCCCATCTTGAAGACCATTTGATAACATTATTTTCCTTAAAAAGATTTATTATTTTATTCACAATTCAAGTTCCCCATGTTCTTTATATAAAGTTAAAACAATAAATGATTAAATGTTTTTACTCAATTTGTCACTCACCTGGAATTTAACAGAGTATGAATATGTGATAGCCAATTTATCTCCTTGATGAAGCTCATCTGCGGGAATTTCCAAAGGACTAGTTGATACACAATCCAATACTTTTTCTGGATGCTTAATGCTTCGAGGGTTTACCTTAACAGCTGAAACACGAATGAATTTTTTTTTTTTTTTTGTTTCTAATCAAGTAAGATTAGAAATAAATATTCGTATAAAGAAAAATATTTTTACATATAATACGCCCTCCATTTTCTTTGAAACCAGCACCCCATTCCTCCTTTGCTCCGCTGTGATAAGTAATTGTTAAATCCACATGATTGAACAAGTAATATGTATTTAATTTGTTGTAGTTGGGCTAAAAGAAAAAAAATGCAAAAAACTCATTTACAAATACAGAATGGACTGACATAATATATTTTTTCTAATCATTTCTAATCACACTTACATTAATGCCGCAAGGATCTTCTTCTGTTCGTGTTTGGCCATTAAAACATCCCATCGGAAAACCAATACTACAATATTGACGATCCTCTGCTACTGAGTAACACCATGTTACTGGCATATTGTCTAATTGAATATAATTTTGTTAATAAAAATAACAATAATAGTATTAGTAAATGTAATAATAGAAATTAATCTCACCAACAATCCAATGATGCTGATAATTGAGTGCCATTCCTTTCTTAAGTAACTGCAATTTTCTGTTGTCTTCTTCATTTCCACCAGTATAAGTTTTAACACAAACTTTTGCACAGTTATAAGTTTTCAAAAATTCAAGCTGTAAACAATCAGCGTAAAATTAGAAAATTTTAAGAAAAATATACAACGAAAAATGATTTAATTTTTTTTAATTTCAAATGCAAATCTTAATATAAATTTCACACAAGCCATATTATTATATACAGTACCTTATAGGGAGAAGGTCTAATTCGTTCTCCAAATACAACTTGGCCTAAATTTTCAACTGGTGATAAACTTTCATCACTTGGACAAAAGTCAAAACTGAAACATTAATAATTAAAAGTAATTTCAAGTCTTGTTCCATTAAAACTTTAAATTTAATAGAAGCACTTCAAATAAAAATATATATATATAAGGAAACAATTTATTTTACTCATATAATGGTATAATAGTTTTCTTACTGATGATATTCATAGGGAAGAGCATTTTGTTCCGAGTTTAGTCGATTTACAAACATATTTATCTCCGACTGAAATCATAATATAAATATGTAAAGTTTCAACACGATTTACATTAATAATAATAATAATAATAATAATAATAATCATTGGATGAGTATGTATATATATATATATATATATATATATATAAAACATATATATAGCATTCAATTCTCACTGGTAAGTATTTAATAACGTTTAAATGTGATTATTTTTTTTTTTTTTTGGTAAAGAATTTTACAAATTCTTCATTAAACAAGAAAAGAAAAAATAACTATGTTTCAAGAAATTTTTTTTAGTGACAATAATAATTATACTCTATAGTATACTGAAACCGATTTGTGTTTAACACTTGATGTTAATAAAAACGCTGCATTCGAAATAAACTTATTTTAGTTGATTTAATAGAAAATAACGTACCTTACAAGTTTCTGTCGTATCACCGGCTTTGCAAAAATTCACCGGTGCTAATCCAGGTAAATAAAATCCTGGAATAAGAGGAATTACGCACAAAACACTTATCAATCTTAACATCATTGTCCTTTATTATTATTTTTGCTTTGTGCAAATGACTTTTCAATGATGTTTTAAAGAAATAGAAATTACATAAAAGTGAATTCACAACTCCACATTATATTGTCTACAATAAAATGTTAATTTTAATAGCAAGATTGGTAATTAAATATTGAAAAGATACACACTAAGTATTTTGTGATATATAGTCGCTACCATGACACGTCATGTTGATTACAAATTTTTTATTGGATTATTTAAATTTCCCGCTATTGAAAACTATTTCTTAGGGCGCACGTACATTTACGTCGAGTTCATAATCTACGAATAGCTTCAAGACCTAAAGGTGAGGGTACGGTCCCATGTTGAGCAGAAAACACAATGCAAAGCAGAATTTCGTGATGGAGAGTCCACAATATGTGCAAATATGTAGGTAGCAAGTCCAAGTGCAAGTGCGATTCCTATACATTTAAGGTGCTTCTATACCTCCGGTGGATTGGTCAAGCAATCGGCTCGATGAATTTTCACGGTCGGAAAATGTACTTTCATGGCGGGTATTTTTGAATAAGTAAATGTTGAAAAGGTTTTTACTTGAAAATTTATTTAAAAAAATGATTTTATCATAGAAATTCTTTTAAAATTTATGTTAAAAAACATGTTTTATTTTAAAAGTTATCAAATTTTAATTCAAAATGTTTTAATTTTCCAAAGAAGTGTAAAAAGCCTAATGTTTTTGAAATGCTAGTACAGACGGTACAGACTGTTTGTTATGAATGTACATAACCTAGCGTTGTGTTGTCTGTTCATTATTATTTAATATAATAATAATAAAATCATTAAATTTAGAATATAATATCACAAGCACGACAACACAACGCTAGGTTATGTACATTCATAACAAACAGTCTGTACCGTCTGTACTAGCATTTCAAAAACATTAGGCTTTTTACTCTTCTTTGGAAAATTAAAACATTTTGAATTAAAATTTGATAACTTTTGAAATAAAACATGTTTTTTAACATAAATTTCAAAAGAATTTCTATGATAAAATCATTTTTTTAAATAAATTTTCAAGTAAAAACCTTTTCAACATTTACTTATTCAAAAATACCCGCCATGAAAGTACATTTTCCGACCGTGAAAATTCATCGAGCCGATTGCTTGACCAATCCACCGGAGGTATAGAAGCACCTTTAGCATTGGTTCGCACTTGCACTTCTTGCCTTTTGCACCTATTGTGGACTCTCCATGAGAGTGGAAAGGATAGTGATATCTGACTATCTCTCTTGCACTCACGAAATTCTGCTTTGCATTCTGTTTTCTGCTCAGCATGGGACCGTACCCTGATTGTACACCTTCTGGCTTTTGGGATAGAGAACTTTGAAAACTTTAAATTTTTCTGATAATCTCTATAAGCATAGCCAATCAGAAAACAAGGAAGAGTACAAGCGCCTTAAGATGCTTGCACACTTTTAAATTTTTGGACGAGCACAAAATTTTTACGACCTCGCTTGCCCAAATATTTTCAAATGTGCAAATGCCTTTAGGCTGCGGTTACACCTCTGCAGGCAGCCTGCCTGACTGCAGGTTGTCATGGTAACGTACAAGAGTAAGAGAGTCAGTGACTTCAAACTTCTCCCTTACTCTCGTTGCTCCTGCCTGCGCAGGCAGGCAGCCTGCAGAGGTGTAACCGCAGCCTTATATACACCTCCGGTATTTTGAACAAGCGGAATAGACTTTTCATGGTCGTGTGGCTAAATTTGATTGGCTTTAAGTCCAACGGACAATTGATTTGCGAAAGTCGTTCGCGAACCTGAACCATGAGATAGAAAGAGATAAAAATATATATTTCTGTCCTTTTTTAACTCATGCTTTGCGTTTGCGAACGAAGCAATTGTGCTTAGGGTGGAGTCCCATGGTAGCGTTTTGCGTTGCGTTTTGTAACTAGGCCATGAGTGTGAGAGAGATACAGATATAGGTTTGCTCTATTTGCACTCATTGCCTAGTTACAAAACGCAACGCAAAACGCTACCATGGGACTCCAGCCTTAGGCCGCAGTCCCATGGCAGCGTTTTGCGTTGCGTTGTAATAAGAGAGAATGCAGCAAACGTATATTTGCGTCTTTTTCTCTCCCATTACAACGCAACGCAAAACGCTGTCATGGGACTCCACCCTTAGGCTTTTTGACTGTGTACCTTTAATAAAAAAAAAAAAAAAACGATAGATTTGTAGAAATACCTTTAATACCCAAATACTGTCATATTTTTGTGGTTTCTCTTCTCTTGACATTTGACAATATAGTTTTCTTGCACTTCCATAACAGCTGAGTTATTATGACTATTAAATCAACTATTTTTAAAAATTCTAATTGTTTACTTTCTTTATAAAGAGAATTATAATGTCAAAAGCACCAGTTAACATAGTTCTTTGTAAAAGTTTTTCTAATAATAATGAAACTATTGATAATTACAAAAGTATATTTGAAAAAGCCGGATATAATTTTGAATATTTGCCTACTATTTGTTTTATATTTATCAATCAATGTGAATTAGAAAAATGTCTTTTTAAGACAGATTCTTATTCAGGTAATTATTTCATAATGTGTATATTTGTCATTATAAAAATATATTCATTTGTAATATGTCTTATATTTCAGGCATGATATTAACAAGTCCTCGTTCTGTGGAGGCGGTTGACTTAATTTTAACCAAGCATCCTAATATTTTAAGTCAATGGAGAGAATTGCCAGTTTATTGTGTTGGACCGTCAACAGAAAATTTAGCCAGAAAATGTCTAAATTTGCGCAGTTGTTTTGGTTCTCATTGTGGTAATTCTGAGAATCTAGCGAAATTTATTTCAACTAATTTAAAATGTAAAGATAAACCTATACTTTATCCTTGTAGTGAAATTTCTCGAGACACCATTGAAAACCATTTAATAGAAAATGAATATAAAATTAAAAAAATAATTTCATATAAAACTATACCTTGCGACACTCTTCAACAAGATGCGGAGCGAATATTTAAACTGACGCCCCAAATAGTTGTATTCTTTAGTCCTTCAGTTGTAGATAATTTATTAATAGCATTAGGTGCAAAAGCGACAATTTTCAAAAGAATTAAAACTATCGCTATAGGTTCGATAACTGGACAATCTTTAACAAACGCTGGTATTGTAGTTAATGCAATTTCCGATAAACCAGATCCAGAGTCATTATTAAAAGCAGTTCAGTCAATAAAACTTAGTTAATCGAAATATTATAAAAAAAATTAGGTTTTCAAATAATGTGACGAATTATTTTCTTTAAACTGGAATTTAATTTTTTTTACATATCTTTATATAATGTTGAATCTTAAGAAAAATGTAATTTCCTTATAGTTCTTGTCATTCTATGTACAATTATGTATATAACTTCTTTTCATGAAATTGTAAATAACTTTTCTGCGAATTCAACTTATGTAAATTAGTAATAATTAAATGCAAATTTTGAATTTACTATTTAAATTTTTTGTGTTGCAAAAATATAGGCACACAAACTTTATTGAAAGTTTAAAATGTATTGAAACATTGTATTTTGAATAATGAAAGTATCAAAAAATAGATAGAAATTTTCTAATTTAATTTTTGAAAAACAAATCACAAAAATGTATTATTCATTTTGTGCAATAAGTACCATCATATAAACTCCAAGTAATAAAGCAATAATTTCCTTAACAGATTGCCAAAACTTTGTATCTGATAGTAATTCAGGAATAACAGAGACCGTTGCTATATAAATGAAGCCACCAGCTGTGAACGGTAGAATCCACAGCGTTGCAAAATCTCCTAAAATTAAAGTATATTTATTCATATTTATTTTTTAAATGATTTGAAAAGACCATTAATAGGTATCAGACAACAAAACAAATTGATTTTAATTAATATTTACCCATTCCTTCCACTAGAAGTGAAATGTACGTTCCTAATAAAGCACCAAGAGCAGTTGGTAATTGTAATAAGATTGCCTGAAACAGAAGGAGAAGAATTAAAGTTATTAAACAATTTATTATTGTAGTACTATAATATAAAACTGGAAATTTAACTGCGAAATAACCTTTCTTTTACTGCAACCACTTTGCACTAAAATGGCAAAATCGCCTATCTCGTGAGGCACTTCATGTAATAATATTGTGAATGTAGTCACATATCCAACATTTTCTCCAGCCAAATAACTAGCACCAATAGCCAAACCATCTGTAAAATTGTGTAGAAAATCTGCTGCTAGATTCAAGTATCCTGCGATACTTATGTCAGTCTGATTGTGATTGTGCGAATGAGTGTGACCACTGTCGCCTTTCAATATTCTCACTAATTTTTCTACAACTAGAAATGTGACGATCCCTAACAAAACACACAATCCAACAGTCATATCATGACCGTGTTCCTCGCTGTGGGCATGACCATGATCATGATTGTGAACATGTGAGTGTGATTCTTTATCTTCCTTGCCATGAGAGTGAGGCACTAGAGCATGAGGTATCAAGTGCAGAAAAGCATCTCCAAGTAGGCCACCAGAGGCAAAACTTAGAAGAATTTTCAAAAAAGGCTCTCGCTCTTGACTGTTATCTATTGGCAAGACAAAAAGCAAAAGAAACGGCGCTAAGGAAATAAGTAAAGTTGATCCCATAGCTCGAACAAAAATATCACTGGGATCATACGTAGATTGTTTTGAGTCTTCAGCATGTTTATGATGCGCTGAATTTATCTGATCAGCAAAATCTTCATTTGCTTGTTTCGAATATTTAAAACTTGGTGGTTCATGATTATGCTCGTGGTGATCATGATCATGATCGTGATCGTGATCGTGATCGTGATCGTGATCGTGATCATGTGAATGTTCGTGTGCTTTCGACAATATGGGTATCACTATGCAACTTAATAAAAATATGTAAAATATTTTTGACCGCACATTCCTATAGAAATATTCACTATTTGCAATTCGTAACATTGTAACGAATTGCACTTTTCTAACTAATTTCAAGTAGTAAATTAATCAATTATAATTCTTTTTTCATTTTCTTTAACTTTATGTGGTGCCGCGTTGACGGTAAATAAACTTTCAACTATGATTATATGAAACAACCTAGATGTGATAAATTACATTTCTACCAATTGGGATGGGGTGCTACCCTCTGTACCAAAAACATAAGTTCGAATGCTCATTATGCCGAATTTACAATTTATAAATGACCAGATACGCGAATCCTCAATAACCTAAATTGTATATTGAATGAAATTCAAAAGTAGGGAATAATCATTTGATATATTCTGCATATGGAGAATATTATTTTAAACTAATTCTTTTTTTCCACAATTTGAAATTATTGCAATTTTTATTTTTGGAATTTCCACTTTACCTACATTTTAATAGATCGAAACGTAAAATATCAGAATTGACATTTAATTGAAATATGATGGAGAATAAATATATATTCACTGAATAAAAAGATTAAATAATTATTAAATGTTTGAATTTAATAAAAACATATTGTTCAAAAGTTACAGTGCGAATTGTACAGAATATATATTAATAAGAAATATAATTTGGCAGAATGTCGATTCGATCGATTTTATATTTGCAAGAAATTCAATTTGACAGAATATCAATTTATAAGAAACACGTTTTCGTAGAACTTTAACTTGTCAGAATTGTAATTTTGTAGAATATTAATATTGGCAAATCTAATTTTGGTAGAAATCTGCTTTATCAGAATGATCACATGTTCGAATCCTCAAAAGTTAGAATTCCATTTTTACCGAAAATGGATTCCACATAAATATTTGGCGCAAATTTTAAAATCGACCAATCAGAAATCAGAATTTTAAAATTTGCGCCAAATATTTATGTGGAATCCATTTTCGGTAAAAATGGAATTCTAACTTTTGAGGATTCGAACATGTGATCATTCTGATAAAGCAGATTTCTACCAAAATTAGATTTGCCAATATTAATATTCTACAAAATTACAATTCTGACAAGTTAAAGTTCTACGAAAACGTGTTTCTTATAAATTGATATTCTGTCAAATTGAATTTCTTGCAAATATAAAATCGATCGAATCGACATTCTGCCAAATTATATTTCTTATTAATATATATTCTGTACAATTCGCACTGTAACTTTTGAACAATATGTTTTTATTAAATTCAAACATTTAATAATTATTTAATCTTTTTATTCAGTGAATATATATTTATTCTCCATCATATTTCAATTAAATGTCAATTCTGATATTTTACGTTTCGATCTATTAAAATGTAGGTAAAGTGGAAATTCCAAAAATAAAAATTGCAATAATTTCAAATTGTGGAAAAAAAGAATTAGTTTAAAATAATATTCTCCATATGCAGAATATATCAAATGATTATTCCCTACTTTTGAATTTCATTCAATATACAATTTAGGTTATTGAGGATTCGCGTATCTGGTCATTTATAAATTGTAAATTCGGCATAATGAGCATTCGAACTTATGTTTTTGGTACAGAGAGTAGCACCCCATACAGGATCCGAAATCATGTGAAACTGACCCACCCCTGTACCCACTTGCGTCCGACATCTTGGTTTTTTATCTCTTTTTTTTACATATGTTAGAGAGAGACGAAATGAAAAGACAACTACCGCAAGTGGGTCGACACCAGAGGGCCTACGCAGCTCTGCGGTTCCCAATAGCTATTGGATCGTTTCAAAAATTCACGCTGCAAGAGTTCTGAGCATAATTGTCTCCTTTTCTTAACGCATTAATTAGAAAACGATGCAGTTATGCTCAGAAGAATTCTGCTTTGCTTTGCGTTTGTACATACCTTTTTTTCTACGCAACCAGAATCTCAATCGGGCAAACGGTAGAATGAGTTAGAAAAGGATAAAGAATATACCATCCTTCTCTAACTCAACGCAAAACGCGCAAAACGTAACGTTCGAACGCAATCATGTGAACGCAGCTTTCTCATTCAGCTAGGGGGACGCACAAGTGTGAGCGATACCTTTATTCGCTTGACCAAAATTCCAGAGCAGAGTATAAAAGCACCTTAAGAAAATGATTAAATATACGAAAAAAGACTTTTGTTATTCTCTCATTACCTATATGACTATTGTGAATGTTTAATTTATAATAAATATACTTATTAAATGTATTTAATATTTTTGATATTTAGATAATAACGAATTCAGTGATTTCAATATTAATTTCCTTATAATGACTGTTACATATTCTTTTAAAATTGAAAATGTTTCACAAAGTTTGTTAACTCTGTATACAGTAGTAGTAGTAGTCAACAATTATTTCGACTGTTCCTAGTGATGTATAATAGAAATGTATAATCTTGAAGTGAATTTTGTACAAGAAAATTCCCCTTCCAATATGTAAGTCGTCTTTATAAAATTAATTCTTGTTTTTTTATTAAATTAAAAGCTCTACATTTAGTTGTAACGAACTTAACTAATTTGGATTAAAGATTACTTAATTTTTGTAAAGGAATAAATCAGTGGAAAATTTACTGATATCAAGTCACGATGTTATCAGCAGTATTAATTCATCATCTATGGTAGGACAGAATTCTACAGGAAGCAAAGGAAATGAAATTCATTCAGAGAATGATCATGATATTCCCTTGTCTACAGATCACGCTAATATTATTCCAAGTCCAAATTTATCTCCTAAATCCAGTCCACATATTTCCGCTATACAACTTGACTATTTAAAGGAACGAATTGATTTGAATTCACCAAAAGAATCAAAACTCTCAAATAGGGTATTGAAAGAATATTATAGATATATAATTCTCTTAATGTTTTATTGGTTTTGATTCATTTATTTGTATATTAATAATTATATTCATTTTATAACTGCAGAAAGTTCAACAACTTTCGCCAGATGATTCTGAGAAATATTTATCTCAAAGTGGCAAGAAGCAGGGCAGAAGTTCAACTCGTAGTAAAAAGAAATCGTCCTGGTATAATCTTCTTTATCCAACTTATAAATCGCGTTCAGAAGACTTTAAAAGAATTTTTAAGGATATACCAAATGAAGAAAGACTTGTTGTGGGTTAGTATAGTGAGAAATTAAGTATTTTTTGACAATTTTAATTATGCATGTACTTTGTTTTTTTAGATTATTCGTGTGCATTGCAAAGAGAAATTCTAGTCCATGGCAGACTGTATATAACACAAAAATATATTTGCTTTTACGCCAATATTTTTATGTGGGAAACCTTGGTATCATTGCGTTGGAAAGACGTGACATCAATTACAAAAGAAAAAACCGCTCTCGTCATTCCAAACGCAATTTCGATTTCTACTGATAATGAAAAGTATTTTTTAACTTCATTTGGTGCAAGAGACAAGGCATACTTGATGTTATTTCGTATTTGGCAAAACGCACTCATTGGAGAGGTAAATTATTCGTCTTTTTCTCTCTCTCTCTCTCTCTCTCTCTCTCTTTGTGTTTACAATTTACCAAAAAATTCTTTTACTCGTGTAGCCAATGGGAATGGCTGAAATGTGGCAACTTGTGCACACGTGCTATGGAGATGAATTGGGTCTAACTTCCGATGATGAGGATTATGTTCCACCACAAGCAAGCGATGAAAAATTATCAACTCGTTTGTCGCTCGATTCGTTTTCGGAGGTTTGTTCCTTGTTCAATTATACTGTTTGTGAGAACTAATTAAACCTGCAAATAATAAAACTAATGTTAAAATTATAGTCGGAAGGATTCAAATCGGAAAAAGCAGAATCTCCAATAAGTATTGATGTAGAAACTCATTTAAAGCTCGAATCATCTTCTAAAGCAGAAATAGCACTTGATCCCACTGATCTTAGTGACACAACAGAAAGTGATGTTGAAAAGCAGACTGGTAAGATGCTCATTATCTAATGCGAGCAAATTTATCAAAATTTTTACGCATATTCTTCAATGTTTTAGTAAAATTACCTATCCATGCAGTGTGCACTTCTCCTCACGAAGGTCGACAACTTGTTAATACAACTTTGCCCATTCACATAGATCAACTGTTTACTCTTCTTTTCACAAATTCCAAATTCTTTTTAGACTTTCATTCTGCAAGGAAAACCACAGGTAATTAACAATAAATTTTACTAAAAGATAATTTCTAAAATGATAAATACAATGCTATATAAAGACGCAACATGTTTTCAGATCTCGTTCGATCTGCATGGACGCAAAATCCAGAATCAGGACAGAAAATAAGAACAGTCACACTGACAATGTCTTTAACACAATCAGTTGGCCCGCGATCTTCTCAAGTCACTGAGAACCAGGTAAAATTCTTCAATGCGCAAATGCGAGTGCGAATTTGATATAATTTAAAAGGACAATTTTTGCAAAAAAATAAATATCTTTATAGGTAATGCTTCCATGTAGTAGGCCAGGTCATTTGTATTCTATAGATGTGGAAAGTTCTAATGCTGGAATTCCATATGCTGATTCCTTTAGTGTAGAAATTCATTACTGCTTGACGAGCTTGGCGGAAAATGAAACATGTCTCGCTGTATTTGCTCAAATAAAGTACAAGAAAAACGTTTGGGCAATTGTCAGAAGTAAGTGGAACTGTAGAAACTGTAGAAACATTTCTTTGGTCCAATTAATCCTTAAATTTCTTGTTTCTTCTTTAAAATTGGTGCATTAATTTTCCCTTAATAGCTTTCATTGAGAAAAATTGCTGGGCTGGTTTAGAGGAATATTTTAGTAGTTTAATAAAAGCAATAAGTGTTGAGTGTGAGGAGAATAATGCTGGATCTGGAGGGGGTCCGAATGGACTTAAAAGGAAAGCGAGAAGAAGAAGAAGAACTGCTAATGCAGGTGTCTCTTTACAAACTCACGCTCCTGATCTTTTATCTAAACACGTTTCAAATACTGTGGTCTTGCCGCATAATCAAGGTACATATTATACACATGCTTTCAATTATGTATACACAATTCTGATTTCGCCACAATTCTTTATTAACGAATTAAAAATGATAATTTCCAGTATCAGACCTGAGAAGTGATGCAAATGCTATTCTTAGTTGGGTTCTTTTATTTGCAATTTTATGTTTAACGGTTATCAATGCCCTATTGTACTATAAATTGTGGGGTTTAGAGGAAGCTGCTACTTACACTGTCATGGACATGCACATTTTAAAGTAAGTTTCTTATTTAATTTAATTTTTAAGAAATAATTTAAGGTGAAAAATCACCTTCACAGAGGTGTAGCAGTACATATTTTCAATTTTCAGGAATACACCGAAAACGGAGGAAGAATGGATAAACTTATTGCAACAGCAAGAGAGTTTGCATAACGTAGAAATGAGAAAGTGGCAAAGGGTCCTCCATACTGCCGCTCAATTATTAAGACAGGTAAGAGACTCGATTACTGCCTTATGTGAAACAATTAGAATATAAGATTATTTAATCTTATCTCGACGTTAAAGACCGAAGAGTCACTGACGGAACTCCAAATGAGCATGCATCCAACAGCGACAGAAAAAATGTTCTCAATATTGAAGCCTGGAATTAAAACAAGAAATTCTGAAAACCAATAAGTCTCAACTACATTTTTTTCATTTATATATAATTTCACAAATGATTAATTAAAATTAATTAATTCATAACTTGAGCGATTCACTTCCAATCTAAAAAATGTTCTTACTTGTTTTCATAACTTGAATGCAGGATATTTTTTAGATACAAATTGAGTGTAAAAGTAAAATAAGCAAAAGGCAAGTTTGTGTTGCTCATAACACAAAGTATGCGACAACCTCATTTGTTTCTTCAATAAATATTGTAAATTAGTTTAATTAAACATTTTATAAGAACTTGCCATTTTCATTTCACCAATTGCAAGCTTTTTAAGCAAATAAATTTTGCAAACAAAAATTTAAGACTTAATAAAACAAAATACGCGTTTATTACCAACTTGATAAAAGTATTGAATATAAAAAAGATAAATAGAGTGTATATACATAATAATAACAACAACAACAACAACAACAACAACAATAATAATAATAATAATAATGTAATACATTTTAATTGCTCTATTTGTATATAATGGAATAATAATTAAATATATAATATTATTCATTATACACATTAAATATTAAAAGTATTTTACTTTTAATGTTTTACAGAATGTAAGTACCTAATTATTATTAAATAGTAATGGAGCAAACAAATTGTAAAAATAATATTAATTGAATGGTATTATTATATAGTAATTTTAAATGAATAATACAAACATATAGATAAAGTGCATTATGAATTTGTAAATTAAACAAGATTAATGAAACAATATTGCCAGTTTTAGAGCTTTGCGTACGTCAAAAATAAAAAATTGATTCTTATTAAAATAGTGTCCTTCAGTTTCTTTGGAACTGTTATATTTTCTTACTTTAAGTCTGATATTTTATTAAATTGTTAGACAGTGATGTTAACTTTCAAGATGTTTGTAAAAAAAAAATAATCACATAATTTTGTATAATGAATTCTTAAATCATTTTTACAATTACGTCCACTTTTTTTTATTGTAAATATTGACCTTATTTTTTCAATATTTCTTAGATATAAATCATTTTTTAACATTACACCGATGATGCTAATAATAATAATAATAATAAAGTGTGTAAATTGTAAATCATGTTACATAAAATTTTGCATATAATTTATTTAAAAAACAATTACATCCCTGATTAATTGCGAACAATGAATTCTAATTATTATTATTATTAAAATTCTATAGTATGCGTTTATATATTGAAATGTTTTGTGTGAGATAAACTTTATTTTAACAGCAGAATAAATCATTTTTTTTTTAAATTTAAAAATAAAAATAGACTATAAAAACATTATTGAAATCTTTCGTCTAATAATACATTTTTATTGTCAAATTTTAATACAGTTTATTTTCGTAGACAAATATTATAATTGAATGCACATTTGCAGTAGGTACCTAATATCAGTCTTTTATTTTAATTGTCGATTTTAAACATGAAATTTAATATGTAATATGTAATATGTAAAATGTGCTATTTATATGTCTGCTGCAAATCGAAAACTTTTTCTGAAATTGACATGTTTTTGCTTTTCATTTTGTTCACCATTCGTGCATAATTGATAACGCTTCACTTCAACTAAATCTGGAAGAACTTCCATAGTTTTAAGACTTTCATTATCAAGAACGTCGACAGGTTTAAAAATATATACTGATCGTCCTTTCAAATTTGATTTTTGATTTTTTATAACGACGGAAGACCTTGTTTTGTTGTTTTGTACACAGAAAATTGAACTATTTAGCATGAAACGATCACCAAACATTTTATTTTTTTTAAAGTCAATCATTAAATTATGAAGACTAGAATGATAATTTAGTACAATACTTTCTTCCCACGTTAATAGAGCTGCGTAAGTAGCTTTATTATATGTGCGGTAAAGACAATCCAATTCCATCAATGACATTTTTATACGTGTTCGTATTTTGGAGAAGGGGAAATTCCAGGCGATTTTTGTACAACTAGTCTTCAACGTGTTTCTCAACACTTGATCAGATATAATGGGCATATTATAGTCATATAAAAGGAAATTTTCAACTCCAAGTAATTTGTGAGTATCCAAGAAATTTGTTACTTCCAACAAGGATGGCATTTTATTTTCAAGTGGTGAAATACAAAAAGCATATTCACTCGCACCCCCAGATTCAGACAATTGTTTTATTGGCAAAATGACACTGCCTTTATTATCTGTAGTTTCGAAATACGTCACACCAATGGGTTTTTTTTCCTCTGCAAGTTGACACTTTAAAATATAACCACAATATTCATCGTTTTCCAAAGTATCTGTTGTATTTTTCAAAATGGAATATGTAAACTTTCCAGACACAATTTCACCTCCTAAGTAAACATTACAATTCAAATCAAAATTATTTCTCAATTTTCCGAAACCAATAGTTATAATTTCTCGATTATTTTTTGTAAATGATGAAAAGACGAATAAATCGTCATTTAATCGTTGCCATGATGCAAATGGTTCATCCAACTCTAAATTCACTTTTTCACTTTTTATTTCGACTTTTGTGCAATTATCAACAATAATATCCTTGTGCTCCACTTTACCAAAATAATTGAATACATTTCGTAACTTGTTGTATTCGTGTTGATAAAAAAGAAGAGAAATAAGACTAATAACTGCAACTATAAATAGTACTGCTTGATAGTACTTTCGCATGGTCAAATATTGCATAAAATTCTTTAAATGTCATAAATAATTTCTGGTCAACTGAATAATATTAACAGCAACATTATTATTATTGTTATTATTATTAAAAATGCTCTGAAACAGATAAATTAAATATTCATATATTATATTGAGATATCAAACTTTGCTTATAAACAAATTTAATAATGTTAAAAAACATAACCAATTATTTGGCAATGATTTCTTTTTTTTATTATTATATTTAAAGTCCAATTTATATTTTTACCTTTTATCACATTCTTCAGTTTTAAAACATATTGTCGTAGCTTTCTTTCTTTAGAAACAAACAGTGGTATAAACTAAAGGAAGAAGAAAATTCATATATAATACAAATTATACACTCTTTTTTTATTTTTGTTTATTATAATATTATTATTTTTATGTGCGTATAAAGCACATGTACATACATACATAAAATTGTGTTTACCAAAAAATGCAAAAAAAATATATGATGCTCGTCCTTCAATGCGATACATTTAAAGTCAAGTCCACAATAGGAAACCACTAGGAAACACATAAAATTCGAGGTGCTCACTAAAAGTGAAAAGTAAGAGAAGGACGCTCATGCATTCTCTATCCTTTTCTGACTTTGGCCTTTAACTAAAGATCTCTTGACTCAACTTGAAATTTCTATTGTAGACGATCCTTTAATAATAATAATAATAATAATAATAGATTTTCAAAATTCAAATTTATTATCGCCGTATAGGTATATAATTATTAAAAAAAAAAAGAAGAATTTCATTAACACCAGTTTTATTATATTTATTAGCGGGGCAATGCGATAATTGCCACTGCTGCTGAAATAGCTGTCAAACAGTATAGAGACATTGCAAGCAAAGAAGACGATTGTAAAAAAATAATAGCAACATAAGGAGTAATCATTGCACCAAAACGTGCCATTCCTGTGCAGGTACTAACGCCTCTATCACGTAAATAATTTGGATACATTTCAGGAGTATAAACGTATGCTGCTTGAAAAACTCCGGCAATTAAACCTCTGCTTAAGAAAAGTCCTATGGTTAAAATGAATCTACTAAGGAAACAAGCTCTGCTTAGAAAATAAACAACTACTGCGAACATTAATAACTGAATAACCATAGTCAATTTTTTTCCTATTTTATCGATTAGAAATATTGTAGAAAATATCCCTGGGAACTCTGCTAAAGTTGTCCATAATATATCAATATAATCACTCCCAGATAACTGACAAGAGGCTCGACAATCTTCATTTGAGTTTTTTTCTCTAATATTGCACCGTTCGGAACTTGTATTAAGTAGTTCTGTGGTTATCAAGACAATGCCGTAATAACAAAATGCACTAGCCATCCTGTAATTAAGTTTGTTAACGTTAAAAACTATATTATACAATGAATTGAATTTTAAAGATGGATATAGGTAATTACGAGTTTGAAATATACCACACAATCCAAAGTAAAATTGTTGTTTTGTACATTTGCCTACTAAGCAATTCGGACCATTTGTTTTTGCTATTTGATTGAACACGATCTAAAACGAGTCTACCAATTGGCATTGGCTTATTATTTTCTCGAGCAACTCGTTTTAGTGTGCTTAATGCACTGTCTGTTCGACCTGATATTAAATCAAAATAAACTGATTCTGGAAGCCACTGAAAAAAAATCATTTTATACCTACAGTTATAGTTATTCTTTATATATATTAATCCACATACTAAATTTAATTGCAATGTTCACGCAGTATTTAGCACTAATTATAGAATACTGTGTAATGATTAAAATAAATTTTCTTCCAGTACAAAATAACATTCAATAATATACTTACTGGAGTGAAAAGAGAAAAAAGAAATAGGGGAATTGTTGATATTGAAAGAAGCCATCGCCATCCAAAATTTGGCATTACAATTAAGGCTAAAACTATTCCAAAGCATGCTCCTAACGCCCAAAAACACTGCGGAAAAATAAATCAGAGTTTATATATTTTAAACTACATATTATTATTACTTGTATATTTAAATTGAAACTTACGTCCAACAAGACGACACATTTTGTTCTCTTATCAGAAGGTAAAAACTCAGCATACAATGTTACTCTGTTGATTGAATAAAAAAATGATGGCAATTAAACCAAATTAAAAGTAATATTTTTAAATATAATTTTTTACTTTTACATAAAGTTAATTCAATAATACTTACGACTGTGGAACACATCCAATAGCGAAACCAACCAGTCCTCTGAGTAGTAGAATCCACAAAAAATTTGGAGCAAGTGAGCTGAGAAATCCATAATAAAATAATAAAACTCCACAAAGTGTTAAAGTTCTTTTTCTGCCATATCTATCACTTAAATTACTCCAAAATGTTGAACTGAGAACCATCCCTAAAAAAACCACCTGAAAGGCAAAAACGTATGTACCTGTTTTTTTACTATATTCATTACACATTATTAGTTCTTTTGATTTTAATTCGTATAAATATTTAAGTAAATATAATATACTGTTGTAATGAGTGCTTGTTCATATTTTGTTATTTTCCAATCACAATGCAAAATTGGACTTAAAATACTGAGAATAGTAATTTCCATGCTGTCTGCCATCCAGCAAAGTCCTGTGATTAAGGATAATTTTACTTGAAAGCTTCCAAATCCTAATGAATTAATTGCTTGTCCTACGGTAAATGTATCTATATATAAAATTATTATTATTATTATTATTATTATTATTATTATTTTCTGATGAATATAATAATTTTAAATTATTATGAGAAAAACTTACCATCAGATACAATAACTGTGGAATTAAGTTCCATTGATCTATGGAGGCTATCATCATTATTGCATCTAGGAGTACCAGTAAGGGTATTTAAATCAGGACCATGAAATTCTTCCAATTCTTGATAGGATCTCTGATTTTTCCGTTCATCGTAATAATTTGACATATTCATTACAAATTCTTCTTTGCTTTAACTTGTTTTCTAAATATTAGCATTTAATAACATTCTTTTTCAACAGATATATAATTCTTTAAAAATATACATTGAATTATTATACTTTATTTTCAATTAATTTGTGTAAATACATAATAAACATATATACATATATATATAAAACACTTGTAGAATTAATTTATAAAAATATATATATTAAAATTTATTATTTTAATAATTTGACGTCATTATATTTTGGGCCCCTTATGGGCAATGGGCCCCAATAATTCCAAAAATGACAACCTAGATGTCGCATGTCTCCTACGTAGAGTCGTAGACAAAAGCAGAAGATATCTGCGTATCCTTTTCTTTCTTGTACATATTCGCATTCTCCCTTTAAGAATCTGTAAAATTGCTTAATACATGTAGTAACTATACGCAAATGTACGTAAGCATACAGACAATAGATACACATGTATAATGTTTATCTAATTTTTTTTGTTTACTCTATAAAAACAAACAAAAAATACTTTTGACTTAATGTTCTTATTATAAATAATTCACAAAAATGATTGAACAGACTTGTGCTCTTTTTGCCGGTAGAGTAATTTTAGCAAGCAGTTCCCCAAGACGTCAGGAAATTATCAAAAAACTGGTATTTTATTTATTTATTTATTTATTTATTATTAATATTTATTTCTACCTACATACTTAACATTATTACTTTAATTTTCAAAAATATAAAAAATCTTTTTCCAGGGCTTTAACGTAGAAATAGTACCTTCTCAATACAATGAAAACCTAGAAAGATCTAAATATAATAATCATGGAGATTATATTAAAGATTTAGCAAAACTTAAAGTTTTAGATGTGTATGAAAGATTAAAAAATGATAAAATATCTCCCAAATTGATTATTGGTGCAGACACTCTTGTATGTCTTGATAATGTAATTTTTGGAAAACCAAAGGATAAAAATGATGCTTTTAGAATGTTATCTTGGTAAGTTGAGAAAGAGAGATCTTTATAAATATATTTGCATGTATTTTTAAACATAATAAATATTAAGTGAATTATTCAACTTGTACTTTCTAGCTTAAATAATAAAGTACACACTGTATTCACAGGTGTTTGCTTAAAAACACCTACAAAAGAAGTTACATTTTATGAAACAACTGATGTCAAGTTTGGAAATCTTACGGAAAATCAAATTAATGCATACATCAAAACTGGAGAACCACTGTAAATAAGTTTACATACATAATAAATTTGATTTTTAATTATGAAATTTAGATACATATAATAATACTATAGTGTATTAAATTTAAATGGAATTATTTCTCTTTTAAGTGACAAAGCTGGAGGGTATGGAATTCAAGGAGTTGGTGGTTGCTTAGTTGAAAAAATAAATGGTGACTATTACACCGTAATGGGGTTGCCATTATACTCAGTAATAAAACATTTAAATAACTTATCCGATGATTAATAAGGTAATACTAATTATTATTTTTTAATATTATATTTAAAAAATAATTTATGCATAAAAATAAATTTGCCATATAGATATTTTGTTAAACTGAAAAATGGCATAAATGAAAATATATTTTACATAGAATTTAATACTAATAAATGCGAAATTCCGATTTGTTACAATTGTTATTTATTAAATATAGTGTAATTTAGTTATACTGTATGTATATGGATACATACATTTTTTTACAGTCTTTGAAAAAAAAGAAATTAAAAATTGATCTGTTGATGTACAAATAATAAAACTAAAATCGACACTTTCAATAACCTAGAGTAAATACTTAAAATAAAATTTATAGAAAATAAAAAAATAATATTTACTGTTTGAATAATTGATTTATAATGACTCAAAAATTGCAAAAATTTAAAGCATTCTTCTTTTAGCTTATTCATACCAATTTATTTTTATTGCTAATTAAATATAGAAAGATTCATTGCGTCAACATGGAGATGAACTAGCCGAAGTACTTGTTTCAGCTGTTTTCGTCACTGAAGAAGAAGGTAAAGAATTTGATTTATTCAGTCTCTGCTTGGCAACCATAAACTGTTCCATTAACTCGTGATGAGCTTCTAATCTTTCTATACAATGAAGACATGCAGTTTTCGGCAGCTGATCATTTATATTCACCTGTGTAAATAAATTTGTTCTCATTATTTATATAATTCAATACTATTAATATTAAAAATAACGCATTAAAATTACTAGTTTTTAATTCTTCAACAACAAGTAAATTACTACAATAAATAAAAGTTTTAGTTTATTCTTTAAAGAAAAAGTGGAATTATTTTTCAATAATAAAATATTAATTACCGTGATTGGTAAGTAAGCGTTAATTTTATCAGCTAGTTTCATTCTTTCTCCTTCTTCACCATAAATATGAATTACAAATCGATTCATCTTACTGCACAATCTGCATATGAAACCTGTTATCACAGCTCTGTCTGTACTGCCCATTTTGACTTTTATTTTAACAATTTACGATATTGTCAATTTAAGCCTTGTTAATCTTAAGTAAACAAAAATATAATAACAATATTATTATAATGCTTTTGACATTCTGTCAACTTGACTTTAAGCTTTTAACACATGTTTAAAAATCTTGAAAGTCCTTAGGGTGCGATCCCAAGTAGGCAAAGAGCTTAAGCCACTCTTATGATTTTCAACTATTGTAGAAATACCCTTACAGCTAGGTGTGAAAACAACCAGTGAAAACGCGACTATTCGTTTTCATATTTCAATACATTTTCTCTTTTTACCGACTGAATGCACCCTGATATAGATTTGACTAAATGTTCTCAACCCTGAATAACAACACAACGATCACCGTGACGAACACTAACCTAAAAATACGTTGCTATTACAATGCTCTAAATAATATATATTATTTACAAGCGTGTTTACAAGTTATGCAAATACTTAATTATACTAAAATTATTAAAAAACAATGGAAAACCAAATTTTAACACCAGTTACTCCAACTGTTGAACAAATAAATGCTGATAAAATAACACAGGTAATTTCTCATTATTAAATGTTTTAAGTAGAATGAAAATAATTGTTGTAAGAAAAACAAAATTTTTTCAGTCATAAATTATAAACAAAAATTGTTGTATTGCAGTTTGTATTGTACCTACAATACAGTTTTATATGAAAAATATTGAATTACTATATATAATTAAACTACTTTATTTCATGGTCAATTTTTCTTGTGAAAATATCTACAATTTATAAAGAAAATCATTATATGATTTGATATAACGTTATTCTCTTTTTAAATGTAGGTATTAGTTTTATACATTTCTAATGTGTAAAATTGGTAATTAATCAATTAAATCAATTTTTGTTTTTGAAAGAAAAATAAATTTAAGTTCTTGGCTCTGATGCTTTGAATGTATTGCAAAATATCTATTAAATAATAAATAATTTTTCTAACAAATGTCAGGAAATTTTTTTACATTATAAATATATTACCTATAATGAATTCTTAATTTTATGAGTTTCTTTTTTTGTTTTACAGCTGGCAAATAAATATTGGGCGCCACACACTGCTACATTTCATTTACCATTTGACCCTCAAATTGTTGACAATATTTATGTTGATGAAATATGTGTAACAAAATTTTCTATACGGCGAATCATGATGTTAGAATTCAGTCAATATTTGGAAAATTATTTATGGCCAAATTATATGTCTGAGAAAGCAACAAGAGCTCATACAATATCTATTGTGGTGATGGTAAATGAGAAATTTCGAGAACGTGTTCAAGTGTGGGAAGCTTTTAAAAAACATCCAGACCAATTTCCTGGATTCTTTCAAAAAGTTCTTGAAGCTTGTCTTGAAGAAAGTACATTTGATTATGATTTAAAAGAACAAACTGCACTTGTTGTCTTTCTCAATCATTGCTTCAATTCTATGGAAGTGAGTTTGGTGAGAGAAGAAATTAAAAGATTAATTTCTCTTACTATGTGGACATCTTTACAAGAAGGTCGAAGAACTTTTGAATTCAAGAAACATCCTAAATGGAAAAAGTATTGGGAAAAAATTTTGAAAAAGGATAATCCAAAATTGAAGGAAAAATTGGAGTGGGAAAGAAAATTTTTGCACAAATTGATGGTCAAGTTTATCAAGGTTTTGGAGGAGATTCCCTTAGAAGGTTGGTTGGTTTGTAAATATTTCACAATAATAAATTAAAATAATTACTAACAGTATTAATGTTACTAAAAATTTCAATTTTTTTCAGGAAATGTTTTATCAGACAGAGTTAGATACTGTGAGCGCTTTTTGGAGCTTATGATTGATCTGGAAGCATTATTATTGACGAGACGATTTTTTAATACAGTAATGGACGATTGTCATTTAGTTGTGCGATGCCAGTTATCTAATTTGCTAAGGCGTACTGAAGGCGGATTGTTTGGTCAGGTAAGTCAAATAAATATGTCATTTTTCACTTTACTTAAAAAATGAAAAGTATGCACAAAAGAGTTATAAAGTTTGCTTATAAAATGTCACTTTTATTGAGTAAAGAATCAGTCAGTTAAGTATTTCTTTATATATCTATAAAAATAGAAAAAATATCAGTACAGCTATATTGTCGTGTGAAAAGCTTAAGTACATTAATTATGAAACAATCATTTAATTTAATAGCCGAGATTGATTGCTATCATTTCCTCTCCCCAATCAATTCCTTCAACATTTTCAGTCCACATACAACAGTTACATGTTTTCCCAAGTAGAAATGTGACTCTTTTTTGTCCGAAAACACAAACATAGAGAATAAGAGTCGCTTGCAGTAAATTAATAAATATATCGCAATATATTAAGGCGTCATATTCCAATCGAGCGAGTAATAATGATATCCACGACACACTCATTATCATAAATAGTAAAGTATACATTCGAAAGCCGTATTTCATTTTGTGCTGTATTCGACTGTATGTACTCATTCGTTTAATGGTATTCGCTGTTGTGAGTACGAAGCTTAAATCAATTATTATACTGAAACCGATGCACGCAAAAAGAAACGAGAGTCCAAGCCATCCGATGGTTTCTTGAGGAGAATAACTTATGCCACTAATTATTGGTTTATTCGTTTCGAGAGTGAAGTGTGCAAATATGACTGTAAGCGCTACAGAGAAGGTCGTGCCCCACACAAAAGTTGAGTAGTAACAATATGTTCGAGCATCTGTCACGCGAAGGTAGACGTTTCTGGATCTAAATGTTTTCCAAACGTAGTATCCGAATGCAGTGAGCCAAAAGTAAGCACCCAATAGAGAGACATACAAAATAATATCTGAGGAAAAGAGACAATAATTATTATTATTATTATTATTATTATAGACAATTATTATCTATTATTAATTATGCAATTCATTGCAGTTGACTCACCAATAATTAAAAAATTGATATGATTTCCAAATTGCTTAAATATTCGAATAGTTGATACACATTGGCTAGTAATAAGGCACAAACTCATACTGCTAATTGAATTTCCAACAAGATTTCGCAATTGAGGCAAAACAAAGTAAACTATAGCAACGACAAAGTAACTTATTATGGCAATAGAATGGAATATAGGATCAACAATATATCTAATTAACTGATCCGTTTCCGTCCACTTGGTCGTTAATTCTGGTACACACACCATTGCATACGTGGTCACAATTCCATCTCTACTCAAAATAGCTTTATCAGCACAATAATGACCAAATGGATAATCATAGTGAATATTCTTAGACAATGCATCATCATCGTCATCGAAATAAAAATCTTGCTCTTTTTTCACTTCATCCTCATCTGAGGATTTAATGACATAATGTCGTAGCATACCAGAAGGCAATATATATAATCTATCGGATCCAGTTTGACTGTGGTAAACGTGCCACTGGTGCTCCCCATTCTGACATCGTGGTAAACCAATTTTTAATTTATAATTTCCCAGTTTTCCTGAAACATTACATTCAACATTTAACATTGTTTGAAAAATATTTTAATTTTTTTATTAATAGTACAATAATAAGTAGTTACCTTTAGGTTGTTTATTACTTTTCTCAAAATTATTTTCATTATCGTCAATTGACTCGGTTGGTCGCCAAGCGTGTGTTTCTTTTGTTTCGTTGAGAGGAATGCATTTATCATCTTTTAATAATTCATTCAATTCGCAACATTTGCCAATTAATACTGAAAAATTTAATGCTTTCTGAGGAGTGTAATCGTTGTTTGTTTCAATAGCTAGACACGAATATATTTCGTCTTTACTCAAAATAAAGAATAGTGTTAGCAGTAAATAGGACATGATCTTAACACCCTACTATTACTACTTTTCTCCAGGAATATCATTGATATTTTCATTTATGTATATTCAACTATTGAAAAATTATTACATGTAGCATTCCTCATATTGTTATTCTCTTCTTATTATTATAATTTTAATTATTGAGTCTCTTCGTTGTAATACTTGTTGTGATTATCCTTTTTTATCATGACACGTAAAAGTGAAACAATACAAATTTCTATTAGAATTGGATATGTTTAATTTAATAGTTGTCAGTCAGTGCAATTGAATGAGACTTTTTTCCACAGAAGACACTGACAATGCATTAAACTGACGAGATTAAATGCATTGAGTTGAATAAATAAGAAGCACGCACTTGAATATGTCTCAGTCTCTTAATATACCACCATCACTCACTGTACATTGAAATGCATGATCCACATGCTACAATGACGCCGCAATCGCCGCAATGCACTCATCCAATCGTGCTTTATCGTGTTTTCTCGTTTAAAGTCGTGGAACCGGCGCGGCGGCAATACTTTTCATCGCACCTTTTCATGTTATTCAAAATGTTTCAACGGCTCGGCTATTCTAAGTTCTAAAATTCCTTGACACGGAATAAAGAATAATTTCATTTCAAGTGTTTTACTATTACAAAAACAAGTTTTTATATTATTCATTTTTGTTTGTATAATTTTTAGCTTTTGGAAATGCTGAAATTCTACGCTAGATTTGAGATAAATGAAGAAACAGGAGAGCCATTGACAGATCATGATATGACACAATTACATTATACGAAAATTACCTCTCTTCAGGTAAATAAATTCACTACTTGATAACAAAATTCAAGTAGATATACCTCTTAATTAAATTAATTGAAATTAATTGAAATTAATTGAAATTAATTGAAGACATTTTTTTATTTTCTTGACAGAAAGTTGTGTTTGCCAAATTCGATGATCTAAGAAATTTCTCGTTGGCTAATGTTGCTAGTGTCGACACGAGAGATGCTTTGTATAAACATTTTGGTTTTCTAAGGTATGTATGCGTTAATTCTTTCAGAATAAAACAAAAACAGAAAAAACTTGACACTTTTCTTTGTTTTACAGTGAAGAAAAATTAAGATTAATCGCCAGTTATTTATACTTGGTACCGCCTGAAGATCGTAAAAATAATGAAAATTGGTTTCGACTTGATTTGGATTTCCTGAAAGAATTATTGGTACAGATATCATCTTTATTTTATATGTTTGCCATTTAAATTTATTCATTTTACTTGTCTATGCGATTATATGGTCCTTTTAATTCAAATCTAATTTTCTAGATATCAAGACACGAACGAAGGGCATCACAATTGGAAGAGTTAAATGAAATGCCTCTATATCCGACTGAAGAAATCATTTGGAATGAAAGTATTGTTCCAACAGAATACTTTTCTGGAGAAGGATGTCTTGCATTACCAAAACTAAATCTACAATTTTTAACTTTACACGATTATCTGTTGAGAAACTTTAATTTATTTCGACTCGAGTCAACTTGTAAGTATTCATTTCTTTTCTTACTCTAAAATAATAACATGTATTATAATCAATAAAAATTTTCTTCTTTTATTACAGATGAAATCAGACAAGATATAGAGGATGCAATTAGCAGGTTGAGTCCATGGTTCGTAAAAATATTTTAATATAATATATGTACCTAACTTACACTAGTTGTTTGTCATTTTATTTACTTGATAAAAATTTGTAGGCAAGCTGAAGATGGTGGAGTTTACTTTGGCGGATGGGCAAGAATGGCTCAACCAATAACAGAATTTGCTGTTGTTGAAGTAGCAAAACCAAATATTGGAGAGAAAAGGCCTTCTCGAGTGCGCGCAGATATTACTATTAATTTGAGTGTCAGAAAAGAGATAAAATCAGAATGGGAAAATCTTAGGAAACATGACGTGTGTTTTCTCATAACGGTCAAACCAAAAAATCCAATTGGTACTGTTTTATTCTAATTACATATTTTAATTATTTCAAGTACAATGCGAATATTAAAGAAAATCTGTTTAATTAATTGCAGGTACAAAATATAGTCATAAATTAGCGTTTATACCACAAGTTGGCTTGACGACAGTACGTGGCTGTGAAGTTGAAGGAATGTTGGACTCTAATGGACGAGTGATAGAAGATGGCCCAGAACCTAGACCTATTTTGCCGGGAGATACGCGAACATATAGAGTCTGGCTGGACTCAAATCAGTATCGAATTGATATGGACAATGCCAGTCATGGGAGCGAAGACGTTTACGAAAGTTTTAATATTATTATGAGGAGAAAACCTAAAGAAAATAATTTTAAAGCAGTATTGGAGACGATTCGAGAGCTAATGAACACGGAATGTGTTGTTCCTGATTGGCTTCACAATATTATTTTGGGATACGGTGATCCTGCAGCTGCTCATTATTCACGGTAATACGTTAATACATAATAATATTCTTATGGAAATGTTCATGTAATAATTTTCATTTTTCAAATACAGAATGAAAAATGAAATAGCAGACATGGATTTCAATGACACGTTCTTGGATATCGACCATCTTCGTTCAAGTTTTCCTGGCTATGATATAAAATTATTGAGCGATGATTCGAAAAAATTAATACGCCCCTTTCGATTAACATTTCAAGATGTTTTGGATAAACAGAATGGGAGCTCGCCTGAAAAGAAAGAGATAATAGTTGAACCACACATTCCACCCAGTCGAGGACCTTACAAGGCTAATGAACCAAAAAAGTATTTAGATGAATGAAATTTTAAAAAATTAACTTAAATCGTAATGATTATAATTTTTTTCAACTTTTACAGAAATCAAATACCATTTACTCCGACACAAGTGGAAGCGATTCGAGCTGGAATGCAACCCGGATTAACGCTTGTTGTCGGTCCCCCTGGTACAGGTAAAACGGACGTGGCAGTACAAATTATATCTAACCTTTATCATAATTTTCCGAATCAAAGAACTTTGATTGTGACCCACTCGAATCAAGCTCTAAATCAACTGTTTGAGAAAATTATGGCACTTGACATTGACGAGAGACATCTTTTACGTCTTGGTCATGGTGAAGAGGCTTTGGAAACTGAAAAAGACTTCAGTAGATATGGTCGAGTAAATTATGTTTTAGCAAAACGGATGAATCTCCTTGAGGAAGTTCAAAGATTAAAAGTACGTTATATAATTATCTGGAATAATTAATCGTTTCTTTGTTACTCTTTAATTAAATAGGTTTCAATTTTGAGTTTAATTTTTTTCCAGGATTCTTTAAAGGTAAAAGGCGATGTAGCCTACACATGCGAAACAGCGGGTCATTTTTTTATGTATCAAGTTTTAACTCGTTGGGAAAGATTTGAAGCAAGAATAAAGCAACGAGGTGGCAGTTCAAGTACTCACTCCATTCAGTTTGTTAACCAAGAATTTCCTTTTCATAAATTTTTCGATAATGCACCACAACCACTATTCAAATGTCAATCTTTTGATGAGGACTATGAGATTGCACAAAGCTGTTTCAGGTAATAAATTAAAACAAATTCTAATTGTAAAGAATTTTTTTATAATACAATTACATATTATTATTATTATTATTATTATTATTATTATTATTATTATTATTATTATTATTATTATGTGCTTTAGATATATTGAGCGAATTTTCACGCAACTCGATGAATTTCGTGCATTTGAACTTTTACGCTCAGGACTTGATCGATCCAAGTATTTGCTTGTGAAAGAAGCTAAAGTTATTGCCATGACTTGTACCCATGCTGCATTGAAGAGAAGAGAGCTTGTTGATATGGGATTTACGTACGACAACATTCTTATGGAAGAATCGGCGCAAATTTTAGAAATTGAAACTTTTATCCCTTTGCTTCTGCAAAATCCACAGGATGGTTACAATAGATTGAAGCGCTGGATTATGATAGGAGATCATCATCAGCTGCCACCTGTGATAAAAAACATGGCCTTTCAGAAATATTCAAATATGGAACAATCTCTTTTTGCTCGATTTGTAAGACTGGGAGTGCCAACTGTTGACCTCGACGGTCAAGGTCGTGCGAGACCAAGCATTTGCAATCTCTACAATTGGCGATACAAGAAACTTGGTAATTTGACTCATGTGGAAAGCAGTTCAGAATATTTAGTGGCCAATTCGGGCTTCCTCTATGATTTTCAATTGATTAACGTTGAAGACTTTAATGGCGTCGGAGAGAGTGAGCCAAGTGCTTACTTTTATCAAAATCTCGCAGAAGCTGAATATTGTGTAGCAGTTTTTATGTATATGCGTCTCTTGGGATATCCTGCTGATAAAATCAGTATTTTAACCACTTACAATGGTCAAAAACATCTTATCCGCGATGTCATCAATATAAGGTATTGATTCATTCATATTTACAGAAAATTGTGAAAAATAACGTTATTTTATTAATTAATTTAATTGCAACATTTTTACAGATGCGCGAATAATCCCCTGATTGGTCGACCGAATAAAGTAACAACTGTCGACAAATACCAGGGTCAGCAAAATGACTACATTATTTTGTCTTTAGTAAAGACTCGGGCAGTTGGTCATTTACGAGATGCAAGGCGTCTGGTCGTTGCAATGTCTCGAGCACGATTAGGACTCTATGTTTTCGCCCGAGCTTCATTATTTAAAAATTGTTTCGAATTAACGCCAGCGTTTAATCAGCTCATGCTTCGACCAATGAAATTAGTACTCTTGCCTCATGAAACTTATCCTTCCACCAGATTCAATACAGATTCTCCATCTGTCACTTCTCTGGAGATTGAAGATATGCCGCATATGGCCAAATTTGTATACAATTATTATATGGAGAAAGTGAGCACTATGAAGGCAAGTTTTATTTTTTATATTTATTTTTTATAATTTATTCAAGTTATTTTACAACAATTATTTTATAATATAGGGAGTACATAAAGGAATAATGGAAGGCGTAGAGAATGAGTTTCTTGAAAAAGCAACAAAACGCTATCATGAAGACGGACCTCAGCTTGAAAGAGAATCATCTGATGAGGAAGATGAAACTACAAGTTAATTACTATGTAATAATAATGGCTAAGAAAATAGACTTTTAAAAAAAACACAGGTATGTTACATTTTACTACAAACTTTTATTTTTTTCACTGTGAAAATCGATTTATTAAATCGATAAGAAAATAAATTTTCTTCAGAAAAGAATGTGTACAGTAATAATTTACTCAAAAAATTAATTTCCTAAATCGCAAAACTACTATTATAACAATATTATTGCGAATAAAAGAAATTAATATTCCCAACTAAACTGCTTTTAGAGACAATATTTTTTTTTTTATTACAAAACTAAATTCTTTTACGTCTAAAATGAAATACTTTTTTCGTAATAAATATAATTTTAATCTTTATGTTGCGTCTTATTTCACTTTTTTATTTCTTGCAATTCTTTTCTACTTTACAATATTATTATCAGGCCCTTTTTCTCAAAATATCACTAGAATTTACACTTATCTAATTTTATCATTACCAATATATTGGAGCGTTATTTATTTACTTTTTTTCTATATAATATTATTCATACATGTGTACATTCACAAAATGAAGTACAAAAGAAAATGCTTAAATCATTCAAGACATACTATAATAAAGCATTTGCACGTGTAAACACACTCTCACACTATGCATAAAAGGCACATTACAATTGAAAATAACGCGTATAATAAAAATAAAATAAAACAAAATGCATTGACCTATCTAAAAAAAAAAAAAAAAAAAAAAAAAAAAAATTGGTAATTTGGTGAATCAGCAATAAAGCTCAGCTTTATAAATTTTTATATTAATAATAATAATTCACAACACTTATATTTTCACAATGTCCCTTTATAAAGTAAACAAGGATTATTTAATTGAAATCGATACAGTTGAACTGAATTTTTAGTTTGCCGCATTCTGCACTAAAGAATTTCGATTAATAGATATTCTATGTTACTTGATTTTCCTGCTAACAATAAACAACGCGCGGGTTCCTCTTGGAAAAAATATTATAATATTTAAAAAGATGTTTATTTGATATGCCCATCAGAGAACAAACAAGTATTAAAAAATTAAAGAAACATTTCTCGATATTCTTGGTCTAAATATATGTATATATAAATAATATAATTAGCTTACAAAATTACAATTCAATTAAACAAGAAATAAAATCTTTAAGAAAAACTTGAAATTTTTGTTGTAAAGAAACTAAACAATTATTTTAATCAATAATTCTTATGAAGTCGAGAAATTTTTAATTAGTGTGTGACAATGCATATCATGTTCTACCATGTTTTGTCTATTCCTCCACCGCGATGATTCCTCTTTCGCTAATATTAGAAAAAAAATTGTTTTCATTCAACTCAGACAAGTTTTAAAAGCTGCCACAATCACGTAAAATACGCCCTGAAACTGGTTGAGGTGGTCGAAAATTATTAACTACCTGAAATAAATAATGAAAATTTTAAACTTTTACAAATATTCAAATGATTAATAAATATGGTAGAAATGTATTACCACTCCATGATTATCATGACAAGGACATTCTGCACCTCGTGGAAAATTTCTTAAACTACGGAAGATAACCAATTGTTCGTGAGAAACTTGTATGTATTTCTTGAAAAGAATCCATGTTACACTTTCGCTGCATGGTGGTGTTGTTAATGATCCCAAATATGTCCAGTATCCATTGTTATCTAAAAAATAGTACTTTTTAAAATTATTTATATACATGATTTTCAAATTTCAATTTAATACTTAAATTGCCTTATTTAACTCTGTAAATGTTTAGAGAAAATTATTTAAAAACCCTTCGGCTTCTTGGCAGATGTAATTATTTCGTGTATAATTAAATTAAAGATGCTTAGAAAGAGTGATTTCCTTTAATTGAACTTTTAAAGGGCTTATTAAAAAAAATAGTCCCTTTTTTTTTCTTAAACGATGTGTGTTAACGGAAAATTGTCACTGGCTTTTTATAATTGTGATTTTTTACCATTATGACATATGTGCAATCTTTTTTTAATAATAAAAAATTGTTTCAAACGCAGTTCACTCTTGTTAACGAAACGATTCTAAATAATTATATTAACTACAATACTTGTGTCCTTATAATAGGTACTCTGGTGCTATTTTTGTGCGTAAAAATTTTTAAAACAATTGGTGAAAAGGAATTATTCCTTTTTAATTCATAATATTGAATATAAATGCAGTTATTTTTTCATTTTTTTCAATAAATAAATAAAACTTGATTATTTTAAATTGAAAAAAAGTGCAGTATCGTGTGCCACCTATTCTTCAGAAATTTCTACAAACCTTTATAATCCAATTTGTTATTATCAAGACGAATAATTCGGTCAGCCCAACGCATACACGGATTAATGCATCTTTGTATACCGGCACGTCCACCCCGAACTAATTGTTAAAGAAAATTTTAATGTATCTATACATGTAGATACGACAATTTTTTAAATTAACGTTTCACTAATTTTTACAATTTAAAAATCGTTTCAGAAAACTCTTAAAAATATGTACTTTTTATTTATTATTATTAATAAATAATCTCCTACACGCAAATTATGCACATTATGCGTATAGTACATAGATTGATAAATCATTAATTTATTCTCCATTATGAGAGATTTCAGTTAAATCAATTAAAATGTACCTACAACTTACCGGGAAGAAGCTTATTAGGATCGATGGGATCAATGATTTCTACACTTTCATCTTTATGAATGACATTCGAAAGTAGTCGCACTATTTTATTCATTTCCTCGTGCTCTTCTCCAACCTTAAGTAAACAACAAACACATGTTATAAATAATTAATAATATAATTGATTAGTCAGTTTAATTTTTTAATGTTGTGTAGCATTCTTCCTCAAGATATGTGATGATATATGTCTGATGTGTATGATATGTGTATATGTGTAAGATGTATGGGTTACTTATCTTGGCAAGTCTTTTAAAATGCACACCTTTGAAAGGAAGGTCATATGTAATATTCATACATTTAGACAATAGTATTAACGCGCAATATCCATCACATTACGATTGGTAAGATAACTGTTTAGGATTCAAGCTCGGAGATTATATAAGTTTGGTATGTAACGACAAATGTGCATCCATACAAAAATAAGCTGAGCGCAGCATTTCGTAAATAAGCTTTACGTAGCTTTCAAAACATTTTTATTAGACTCTCTTAAAGAGAATAAATACTTCCGGGGCAAAATAGAAATAAGACACCAAATAATATGTTACCTTGAGAAATACTCCTAAAACAGCAAGACCGTCAGCTGCATGTGCAGCTTCTTCAAAACTACTATATTTGCTAGCATTCCAGTGTACCAAGTGGAGCTGGAAAATACATTTTAATTTCAAACAAACGCTGTAAAATTAAAATATAATTCAACAATAATTATAAATACTTCGCCAGCAAAAGCTTGTCCATCGACAGTGTGTTCAGATCCCTTTGAATCGCTACAACCCCAATGACAATGATACTGTTCAAGTTTATATACATCATCCTTTAATGGACCACCGGTGAGGGCTAAAAACATTCATTCAATTATTTGCAATTTATTTCCCATTTCCATTTCCATTTTAATACGATGGAATAACAGCGGCTAAAAAAATGCGAAAAAATGCTTGGAAAAACCGATTAATGGTATTTAAAATATTTGGAGATATTGTACCCACAAAAAAATATTTTCAAAACAAATTATAACACAATAATAATATTTGTTTGCTCTACAAAGTGAAATAAAATAAATAAGTATAGCGTAATGGTGAGCCGGATACACTTGATTAAACGTTATAAGGACATGTGATATACGCTATTACGTCATCGCATAAGAAATTTTTAGTAATTAAATTTAAAAATGCAAAAAGTTGTTTCAATAAATTAATTGAAAACTCTCCAAAATTAGGATTTATTATTATTATTATTATTATTATTATTATTATTTGCAGTTCTAACGAGGATATTTCATGTGTCAGAGTACTTATAACCAAACTACATGTATATTTTGACAAATTAATGATAAAAGCAACATTCTATAGGTATATCCAGGTAAAAATCAATTTATCTCAAAGAACTATCACCTTATTTTTTATAGTAAATCAATAAATATCCTATTATTTAATAATTCAATAAATAATATTTAATATTTAATGTCTCGTCTTTTATTTATTCTTTTAATGACAGTCATAATATATATATATATATCACATGCTTTTAATATCCTATAGGGGTCCCACGTGAATTGACATCCCATTAAATAGCTAAAGCAATTTTACTTATTACGTACCACTATTTTAAATTTAATAATAAAGTAGTGTAGTTATCAAACACAAATAGCACTAAAATAAATATAAATGTATTTCTCGCGAATAATAATTTTTGTTTAAAAAGAAAATTTTTATTTCTTTAAGAAAATATAGAATTATTTCTTTTTAAATATATCAATTTGAACTTTTTGATCTTATTATTTAGTGCAATGAGAAAAAAATAAAATAAAGAACATACACTTGCTGCCATCACGTGCTTTCTATGACGTATTATGTCACGAGATGTTTTATGTACACATATATTCTCACCAACATTTTGTTAAACTTGAGCAAATACATTAAAAATTATTTTTTAATTCATAGAATTATGATTATTATTCAAAAAAGATTGTCCAATTTTGTATTTTGTATGTATATTTAATTATACATATCCTATACATAATGGAATTACAATTGACGAAAGAATATATAGTATATTGTGCATGGTACATTTCTCCTTTGAAAACTTAAAATTTATTTCTCATAATTTTCCAAGTACCTCAAGTATAGATAACTATTTTTTTAAAAGAAACATGTACTTTATACTTATATACTAATAACATTATAAAAACTTTATCTTTGAAATAATCAATAATACAGAGTTTTGATTGACAGATAAACACTTATCAAAAAGTCAACAAACCTATTTTAACTCGTAAATATAGACATATGTATATATACTGAATGAAGATATGCCGTTAGTAAAAGATTACTCAATTTTTGCAAAAAAATTTTCTCATAGTGTGCTGATATTCCCTCAACCTTTTTTATACGTGGAATAAGTTGATGAAATTTTCAAATCGAGTTAAAACAAAAGCATATATTATTGTTTTTTTTTTTTTTGGTAAATAGGTACCTACAGGCTGCGTCTATACAATAGAAAAAAATAATGTGTAATTTGTAGTGTAATGTGTATTGTTTTTGGCATTGACAACTGTCAGGGGCAATTACACTATATATTACACAATTTTCTACACATTACTTTTTCTGTTGTAGACGCAGCCACAAGATTTTAACTCGAAATTTTTTGGTATAATGTATGTGTAAACAAAATAATTATTACAATTTAATTTTTCGAGCTCATTTGACCGCGGGAAAGAATAAATTATTACCGTGAAGTGAATAGTAATGTACATCCGCATTTCTCAAATAAATACGCATACAAAGTACAAATTGATCTCTCATCAATTTGTACTTTGTATTAAATTATATGAAAATTTGCAATATTGAAAAGTATTTGATAAATATTGTCTTACAAGAGCCTTCGCCATCACAGTCGATTTTCCAACAATATCCTGGATTGGCTAATACCTTTGAAGATGTAGGTTCATATTTCCACGTTAATGGTTTGTTAATAAGAGCTTCATGATCACATGCAACAAGGTTAGTTACAATGTTTACAGGACTCTGTCTTGATCCTGCTGCCATAGGGAATTTCTCACCCCAAGTACTAGGTCCTGAAATGTAAAACAAAAGTTTAATAATTGTCATATCAAAAATTAAAAAGTTTCATGTCGAATATAAAAGTAATATATATATATAGTATAAATTGTGCAAAGAGTATAGTGGATGGGAGACGATTCCTATAAAATGATCTAGTCCGATAATTTATTATGTTTCTTACCCATTTCATAGATGTATATTTTCCAGCACATGTACAAGAAATGAGACATATTATTGCTAATGATTTGATATATTTGTAAATAATAATAATTAAAAACAAAACCTTCAATTTTTTCCAGTTCTGACAATAATTTCTTTTTAAATAACTTAATTATTTAATTATTTAATTTTCCTAAATTCAATTATATTCAATATTTACTTTCTTAATAACATTTTCCAAATGAATTCAATTATTTAAACAAAAATTTATTAAAATATTCTACCGAAACGTTTAATTAGTATTTTCATAAATAATATTCTTTAGAGAAAAAGTGAAAATTTTGTCTGGAAATCAGGGAAAAGTCAGGAAAAAACAAAATTAAATTTTTGTGGTAACTCTGATTAAAATCGAATCAATTTTAAAAAATTTTATAGAAGCTGTATAATAAAAAATTTGAATTATATACATATATGCAAGTTGTATAAAGAAATAAATTTTTTGTCCCTTTTTTATCCCCTTTTTGAGAAAAAAAGGTTCTGTGGTGCCTGTTATTCTTTAAAATCCTTTGAAACATGAGTTATGAAGTATATATGAATACTTTCAAGTATATATGAATAAATAAAGAAAATACATTGATTGATATAATTTGCAGTAAAGGTATTCGACCTCTACAAAAGAAATCGAATAACCAAATTGTTTCAACTATTAGTTTAAATTATTTAAAGTAACAAGGTTTTATTGTTTTCTATTATTAATACAATAAAAAAAAACAATGTGCTTGCGTCATAATTTGACTTAATTGGACAAATAAAAAAATAGTAACTAGAGTATTTGACAACATTATTTCAAATTGTTTAATGACAAATAACTTGCACCTATTTCCTTTCAACCGCGCGCATATGTATAATAATTTGCTTTTTTGTCAATGTGTTTTGAGCCTTTGTTCTTCAATAAGGTTTTATGTATTGCATTGTATATAGAATAAAATAATCTATACACTAGTGTGTACAGAACAGACAAGAAAAATACAGTCTTTACTTTGCAGTACAATTATATTATTTTCATCGATTACTTGCGGTCGATGATTCTGTCTAGAATATTCCTTGGTCAATTTTTGTTTCTCAATTAATTTACGATATACAGTAAAACAATTAAACAAGTTTACAGAAAATTATATATGATAAAAATGTCAGAAACTAATTATGTAAATCTCAAAATAAGTTTTATACATAATGGACTCAAAACCGCGATATGTATATGTCCAAGATATATTTGAAAATTTACTCTCTATAAATAAGTGAAATTTTAATAGATTGCAAAGTTTTACAATTATACATATTTTTTATATTATATATACGCAAAACTCTACCATATATAAATAGATATAGATATAAAATTAGCCTTTCGATGATGGGCCTTAAATGAAAACTATATATCCTTATTAATAAAATCAGATGTCTGTCTGTACATTGCTTAAAACTTCAAAATGTTAACATGATTAGTTATTATGGACATCAGAGATTCCAAAAATGTTCTTAAAAAATTTAATGTATGTATGTATGTATGTATGTATGTATGTTTGTCTGTCACAAAAACTTTGTACCCCAATCACACAAAAACATGTGAATCGATTTAAGTCCAACTTGGTAGGTTATTAGGTATTGACCCAAGGAAGGTTTATAAATTTACAGATTTAAAAAATATTAATTAGAACGGGAGATATTCAATTTTTTCAAAAAATTCAAAAAATCGAAAATTTCAAAATTTTTTATTTTTCATGGATTGCTTTTGAAGTTTATATACTTGAGTATTATATGTTATTTAGTCACATTATAGCATAACTTTGCAAAAAATAAAGTCCTATAACTAATATGTAAGTATAAAAATGTTTTCAAAAAATCGAAAATTTCAAAATTTTACATTTTTTTATGGATTGCTTTTAAACTTTCTATATTTGAGTATTACATGTTATTTGGTCACATTTTAGCATAATTTTTCAAAAAATACTATTCTACAACTAAGATGTAAATATAAAAATATTTTCAAAAACTTGAAAAATGGAAAATTTCCAAATTTCACAATTTTTAATGGATAGCTTTTAAACTTTCTAAAAATGAATATTATATGTTATTTAGTCAGATTTTATCATAATTTTGCAAAAAATACTATCCTACAAGAAATATAAAAAAATTTTCAATATATCAAAAAATCGATACTAATTACTATATGAAGTATAATTCAGTAGTATTTTTGGAGTCTCTGATTAATATTTTGATGTCAAAATAGTGCAATTCAAAATTATTTATCAAATCAATCTAATATTTTCAAGAAGTTCAGAAATATTGAAAATGGAAATTTTTTATGATTAAAATGATTTCGCAGGATGTCAAGAATTGTAAGTCACCTGTGATACAATACAAGCATATTATGCCACTAGGCAAAAACTTACATGTTAAAACGTTTTTTCATTTTAACTCTAGATTTAACTTTAAGAGATGTTTTGAGCAATGTAAAGACAAAAGTTAACACGGTGTCTATTTTTGTTTAACAAAATTCCCTGCTTTGTCCAAACTTTTCACGGTTTATCTCTTTTTTGTCAAATTTAAATTTACTTGATTTTATCCATAAATAAATCTACAAATGGCTATAAAAGTTTACTTATTTTATGAAAATACTGTTTCTTAAGTTCATATAAATATAGATTGTATTACTTGCTGTCGTACAGTTTTCTGTTTATACTAATACATTTAACTGGGTATCTACCAAACGGGAAAAAGTGTAAAAAGCTGGGAATATGCCGAACCGGGAATTTTCCTATCAAATTAAGAAAAAGTTTCATTATATTAATTCGCTTTTAAAAAATTGCTTTTTACTTCAATTTTTATTGATGTATAATATTTATGAAAACAGACCCGAGTCAAAATTTAAGCCCTACTTTCAGCCTAAAATTTAGGTCTTATGTTAGGTTTTAGCAGTCGTAACGTAGGGTCTACTTGCGATACAATTAGTTCCAATTAGACTCTACTATAACTCCAAAAACTGTATGGAAAATTTAATTTTTTTAATACATTAATTAAAGTACTACAAATTGATAAATATTGTTCTCTGCATTTGAATTGGTTAAAATAACTAATTTGATAACAAAAAGTCAATCACTGATTCAAATAGTAATATTTTCCTACTAAAATAGCTATAATGGTAACTAATTATTATTTTTTTCCGGTCAAATTAAATTCCCTAGCTATTTCCTGATTTTCCAGATTGGTAGAAACTTAAATGTATTGGTAGAAACTAAAACCCGTCGAAGACGGGTACGACAGCTAGTATATATATATATATATATATATTGAAAACAAATATAGAGAACGTGTGACTCAAAGTACCTATACCTATATGTATACTCGTAATATTATAAAATGATAGTTTTGGCTATATTTTAATTAAAAATAAATCAAATTTATATTATTAAAATAGGTACTTTTGACTTTACACCTATAATATATGAGCGTCAAAAATTAAGAAAATTAATAATCATTTTTAAACTATTCCCTCTTAAGCAAATTTTAAATATATCCTACTAATTAAATCGAAAACTTTCACCAATACAATAATACTATTTCTTAATGAGGAAGAAAAATGATAATACTTTTGTAAAAAATTTCATTCTTTTAGATACATACTTAATAGGAGACCAGAAATTATACTTGACCATGTCTCGAAATTTGAATAAGTGAAATTTTCCCTGATTTACAGTGTTAATAAATAAATTTTTCACTTAACATTTTCGGTGAAATTTCATATATTATATAGGTATTGAATATTAGAAAGTAAGCGCATATGGGTATAAATTATAAAGGTGATATGAATTACATGTTGTATATAATTAAGCTTGCAAAATATGTTTATGTTATACATATATTTAAAAACAGATTTATATAAATCCAAAATGAAATATAAAATTGCTTTTCTCAAATAACTGATATATGTATATCCCTGAAAAAGAACCCTGACACAGTTTTTACATGCGCAAACAGAAGAGTCCCCAAAGCAGGAAACAAATTTTTAAAACGTATTATACCTGTTCTTGAAAAACTACGTCCAAATAAAAGGATAAAAAGCAGTAATAATGATAACAATACCAACTATTGCAACAACAATTTTCAGTAACGTTACTTCAAGGAAAAGAAAAAAAGAAAGAATTTTACATAGAAATATGTATTAAATAAAAAGAATTAAACACAAAAAATGTACGTGTATGAGACAGAAAGATCTCATCCTTGAGTTTTCGTTGCGATTCATTCAAATTGCGTTTTTACTGCATGGTTACGATTTATATAAGTTACATTTTTTGCCTTTTTAATCTCATGACTTTTAAAAATAAGTTCTTATATTACAATTGTGATTATTATCTACTCCTACTGCATATTCTCTGTCATAATAATAGTGATAAGATTTAAAAATGCGCGCACTGTTTGACAGAAAACTTGACGTAAACTTTTATTTTATTGTTTGTTAATATTTAATATAATAAATAATAAAACAATACATATTATTTATGTTTTATTTTATTATCTCAAGCTTGTAAATGTAATGTTAATGTACTATACATAAAAAAGATTTGAATTTAAAAGTCAAAGTCTCTATATGTATATATATATATATTATATTAACGTTCTTCCTGATCTGTATATGATGGTACTTAATAAATTAAATAATACCTATATATCTGTAATTAGCCAACTGTTTATTATTAAATAATAAAAAAGTACATACAATATTATATCAACAGACCATGATATACTGAAAAAATATTGCCGTGTAAGCTTGTGGCTACCAAAATCTACACAAATTTTGCGTAATATTCGACATGCCATTCGAAATATAATAATTGCAGTAATAGACTTGCAGAAACCGCGCTAATATAAATTTTATTAAAATTGACACTAAATAACTTGATAATTTCTTTACATTATTATCTATGTGCCAATAGGTAGATATAATAAATGTCAAATTTTTAATATAAAAAATCATTTTTATATTTCAACTTTAATATTAAAGATTTTTAAATCACATTTTTTTCCAATAGAAATAGAGTAAATAGAATATTAAGAATAATAAAAAATAAATAAATACCATTATGGATGGAGTAGTCCCACTCTGAGTTAGACATAATGCCAAATGATATTGTTAAGAAAGAGGTGTGGGTCGGTTTTAATTTAAAAATTAAGGTCCGAAAAGTTCAAATCCGAGTAAATATTTCCAATCGTTTTGCTGATTACTTTCTTCAACTTTCTATTGAAGGTATACACTTTGCACGGCACAAATTTCAGGTATTATTATTTAGTAGTTTTTCAAGTGTTTAGTTGCCTAAAGAATATTGTTTGCAATTTTTAATATATGTTGGAAAATTTCCACTCTTAAAGAAAATTATTTATATGAATAATATTCAAGAGTAACAGTATTTTCGTTTATCAATAAAAATACTTGAAAATTTTATATATTGCTAAACTGCTATATTTGCGTGTATATTGATATAAAATGATGTACAAGTAAAAACAAATTTCATTTATTGCACGCACAGATTTTTTTTCTATGTATATATAAATATAAAATGTGTAGAATTTTAAAAATAGGAGTTATATTGTTTTGTGTATACGAGCAACTACAACACTGTAAAGTGTATGTGGTGGCGGACTGGCGACTGGCCTCAACTGGAACTGGATAAAACTTTGTAACCGGCTTGAACGCGTGCGCGGTACTACACATACTATAAAATATGATAAGCAGTGCACCCAGGAATAGAATTTTTCCTTGTTCAAATAATTTTCTATAGTATATAAAGACAGAGGAAAAGATTATAATTATAATATAGCTTGCGGTACACGCTCTACAAATTTTTTTAAATCTCGAAAGTTTCTTGATTTTTTCATTTTTAAAATTGCAAAAACTTTTATGCCAAAAAATAACATAATTAGGACATCATTTACAATTTTATCATGTTTTTCACTATTTGAATTTAAATATTGCTATGGAAAAAACAGCGCAACTATAAATATGCGCAGAGTAGTTTTATATTCATTATGCATCATCTAGAACTGCGCAGTAGATCTTGCAATGATATTCCTTTGGCTATTAATTTATTTTTAATATTTTAATTAATTTACATTCATTTCGCTTCGTTATTATTAATATTCATTAATTAATTAATCAATATAATATGATAAACTTGTTTTCATCATCTTTTCAAATTGCGTCTGCAAGCGCAGGGTTAAAATAATAAGTTATAATATTGGATTAAGGGGAATAAAATGAATATCTTTTTTTTTTTTTTTTGCTTCTTCACAGAATTTTTAATACTACAGATAATTTCTACGACATGGAAAATATTTTATATAAAGCTACAAATGCACGCGCGTTTTAAAATAATTAATTATATGTGGAATAAGTACTTGATTGAAAATTAAGAAATTATCTTCAAGTTTCTTCAATTGAACATCAAGTAGTGCATAATGAAAATGCATCATCATATTATTTTATCTATTTTGATCATTTACACTTTGCCACAAGTTTGCAATTCATATTTGACAAAATTAAAAAGAAATGACAATTTTTCATCATAATAAGACGGTAATGTATGTAAAAAAATACAATACAATTGTTTCCAAAAATTTTCAAAGTTTGCCTGGAAAACATATGCAGCACATATTTTATTTACCAAAATCATGTTTAAGACAAACTTGTGTTATACATGTGTTATAATCTCATTTGTATTAAATATTTTATTAGTTCGATGATCATAAATGTTTCGTAATATTATATACATGCTTATCTTCTATATATATATGTATATTAATTATTGTTTTTGGCGTGGTAACTACATAAAATATGAAATTAAATTGTTTCTATAATAAAATGTGCATTTAAAACCATATTAGAACAGTAAAAACTGGACTTCTTATAATATATTTATGTTAATATTAGTCGCATAACTGCTCAGAGTGAATGATTAAAAAATTAACAAAAACTCATCATATGTGTGCGTCAAGCTTTCTTCAATAATATATTTAATTCTGACTTTAATAGAAAAAAGCACGCATTGCCTTTTTAAATTAATAAAAATTTCGTCATATGCTTAATTATTTTCAAATAAATCGATTTAATCATTATTTAAATTTTGAAAATTATGAAACTTTCTATTAATTTAAATAAATATTGTATTTTCTTCTAATTCATATCCTATAATAGATGGAAGTTTATTTTGCGCATTGAAAATTCCAATTCTGTTTTGTGACCCCTGCTCATCATAATTACATAATACATATATATATGTATTTCTTATTTTATGATGAATTTATTATTTTTATTTTGTAGATGATTAGTTTATAGTTTATATAAAAAGTGTTGCAGAAAGCGTTAAAAAACATAAATGCTCAGCTTTGATGTGGCAGTACTTCGGCGCGTATATAATAATTATTGTAATATGTAATTAATAAAAATTCATGTCAGTAAATTATTGATATTTTTGAATTAAAACTATTTCTATTATTCAAGTACATACATTAAATGTATATATAGTAGATCTAACAATTACATATCGAACAATAATGATAATAATGTACAATAATATTATTGTTTTACTCATTATGTTTTATGTGAAATAACACATACCGAAAACTTGTTACTTTCCAAACATTTTTTTTTCCAGTTTTTTCTTCTTTCATATTTCTGCTTTTTTACTACACGAAGAAAATGTGTTGATGCATTTAGAAAATTTAGATTTAAAAAAGAAAATTATTTTTCAATAATTATAAACAAATATACCTATTCTTTATATCTTCAGCATTATCTCTCTTCTTTAAAAGCTTTAAATAAATAAAATTTTTTTCTTAAGCATTTTTGATGACAAAAAGTTGGTTTTTATTTAAAATTTTTAAAAAATTTCCCTAGTTTTTCAATGTATAGACTCATAAGAAAAATTATTTTTGGGTAATTGTTTTTCTTTATAATAATTATTATAAAATAAACGATATTTTTCATGTAATGTTATGTTTTATGCAAATATGCTTAACATCTAAATAGATCTCAATAGTGTAAATCACACTGTGTTATTAATCTAAACAATGTTTACAAAATCGTCCCCGTATATCAAAAGTTTTCATTCATTATAAAAAATAATTCCTTTTTCTTTCTTGTAATCTATATTTTAGGGTGAAATTATTGTCGTTAAAATTTGTTTACATTAAACATTATTTAAATAAAGTAAAAATATTTAACAACTATCAAAATTGTTCAGGACGATATTGTTTACATTAGTAGAGATTAGCACATCAGTGTCGCTTTGGCCTTTAAATATCGTCCCAATTAATTATACAGCTTAAAATTAATCAATGGAAGCATTGATTGACAAAATTATTAAAATACTAGCGGTGTATTATATACCACGCGGTACATGTCACCCTCGCATTGACAGTCTTTAAAAATTTATTATATATATATATGTGTGTGTGTATATATAAATTGCATATATGCTTCCAATTATACTATGCCATTAATTAGTTGAAAACGTAAATGCGCGTGTAAACAAAGAATTTTGAAAAATAAGTGGTCGACATTTGTAAATATATTATATACATAGACGCACTTTAAAATAAAATTCAATATTGTTCCTATATGACATGTATTTCTAATTCATCAAAGTAAATGAGAATATATTCTCAATCATTAGTACAATCAGGGAAAATGAAATGTCATTTTTATGATTGATTTTAAGAAACAAAATTCTAATGTACCTTGAATTATTATTAAATAAATTTTTATTATCCAATTCACTGCATTTCATTATTTGTTTAGAACAATAATTATTGCAGCATATTATTATTACAAATTATTCATTATTTGCCCTATTACACTTGATTGAAAATAAATTCTCACTATAAACACAATGTCTGCAAGATTTTATAAATTACACAAACATTTTTCCTAAACAATTTTCTAAAAAGATCAAGTTAAATAATTCAGCTCTTGCTGAAAAATAAACTCTTCATTTGTCCGCAACAAAAATTTGTACAATTTTTTAATTTAACAAATGATTAGTGAATTGATAGATTTCTCTATAATATCCTGAAATATGATTGACGTTCATTGCGAATAATTTGTAATGTATTTTTCAAGTCTTTTTATTTTTGGCAGTGATTTGTATGATTTTATTATTCTTTTTAAGACTTGGATTCTATGTGATTGAAAATTAACAGTTAAAAAAACATTGTTGACGCTTTTTCTTTAGGTTTTTTTTTTTTTTTCATTTTTATCGAAATGTATAATTATATGTATATAAAATCAACAACCCCATTGCAACATTAAAAAATATATTGCACTAAAAAAAGAAAAATTTTTCAATCAATTATTGTATTGAATAATAAAATAGTTTGAAATACTTGATTATCTTGTTCCTTTCCACATAGATTTTTCTTTTTGATATTACAATAAAAGAGAAAATATAATATAAGTACAATACTGCCGAAAGTATTGTATAATTATAAATGGCACTATACATTTACTGCACGGCAATTCACTGCGTAGTAATGAGCGTAATCAGAATATTTCTAGTAAATAAAGCAGAAATGAAAAATCCATAAGTAGAATGCCAGGGTAAAATATCTGAATTTACAATATTAATAGCATAGATTATAAAATTCATTGCAAAAGGCAACGTGTGATTTCTGCGCGTGTCGGTATAACGTAGGTACGTAAATACAAAAACAAAAACAAAAGAATGCGGGTTAATATTAATGAATGAATATCGAAAAAACAATTAATGCATCATCATCAATTACTGATGATGGTAATCATAATTAATATTAAATCGACTGTATGATTTTTTTAGTATAATATCCCTTTTCTCGGACGCAGGGAATTGCTATTCAAACATAGCTGGCTTATGTGAATTTAATGAATTTCGTTAGGGGGGGACATAGGGGGGAGGCTTTCTGTAGGTAGGCGTAGGCTTTGGTCGATTTTGACGATTATTGTCACGATTGGTAGCAAATGGTGGTGGAGGTTGATATGGTTCTTCAGAATTTTCCTTTGGTAACATTGGTACGTCTGCGCCGTCTTCCGACTTTTGATAATCAGGAGGAGGAAGAGGTGGCTTTTCTTCTTTCAAAATTATCGGTGATTTATTACCTAATATGTAATAGCAACTCAAATTAAATTTATATTTTAAAACGATTATCTGTTGGGTATATTTCATTTATCTAATAATATATTTTTACCTGGATCTGGCTTTTCGTCCAATTCATCCTGAAATATAACTGGAATTCCTTTATTTCTAAAGGACTGTCTCTCATCATCTTGCTCACTGACACTCATTTTTCCACTACGTCTTCTCTTATAAAATATGCAGGCTATAATGCCAGCTAATATAAGCATTGTCAAAATAATAATTGCTGGAAGAACGAATGTAATAAGGTATTCGTCGTTAGTTGCTCCCACTGTTCTTGAATCGTCGAAAGGTGGAATAACGCTGTCAGGTCTATGAATACCAGTCAATTCTCCTAAACAGCTGCCTAAAGGAGTCAAACTTATCTGCTTCACGGGGAAAAAACCGCTCCCCATAATATTATCAACACGATCCGTTAAAGTTTTGTCCTCTTTCACCACAACCTTGCGAAGTTTATCAATTTCTTCATTAGGACAATTTCTTGTGGGTAATGTTGTATTTCGCCACGTTACTACAGTACTGCCTGTGGTAATACTTTCCAAGGAAACGGCGCTTGTGTCGCTATCTCCAAATAATTCACATACTTTCTCAATGAATAAACGTTTTCTTTTTGCTGATTTTGCAAAATCTTCAAAAGGAATTTCCAAAAACATTGAAAATTCTACACTATATTCCTTTGGAGATGGTATGGATACGTGGACTTTTAAACTGTCTCTAGCTGCTAAACCTAAAACAAAGACATTTCATTTCAATAAAAAATCAAATAAATAAATAAATAAATAATAAATAATCTCTCGTAATATTTTATTAATGCAAACCTTCTTTATCTCTAGCCTCTAAATGGTAAATTTTCGACTTGACGTCACCTTTCATTGGTACACCATAAAATTCTTGATTTTTACTATCAAATTGTAACCATTCATCGGGAGAAATTTCTGATCCATCAGAATTTCGAAGGGATAAATTCAATTTACGAGTTGAACCATCTTTTTTATCAAAAAATGTATCCTATATAAAATCAGAAATGTAAAATGAAAAAATTTTAGATAAGTAATCGATTATTATTATTATTATTATTATTATTATTATTATTATACAAACCTCAGGTACTTTAAAAACAAACAACTGACCAAGAGTGCAATTTAAACGGTCAATTTGATTACGTAAAATAGGATTGTAATTTGCTACAGAAGTTTCAGTTGTAAAATCTGATTTTGCATATTTTATTATTTCATTGCTACACTGACTGTGATCACTAGGTCGATTAAGAATATTTGTCACATTAATTGATGGCAAAAAAATATTCTTTAAACGCAAGCTTGGATTCCCATTTTTATCTACAAGAACCTGTTGAAAATTATTTAAAAATTTAATACTAATCTATAAAAGTGAACAAATTTAATTATTAGTTATAAATTCAGCTTTAAACTTACATGAAGAATTTCTTCTATTCTCTCTGCAGGACATTCTGAGAAATTCGAGAGAGTGTCATTAGTCCATGATAAAATAGCTCGATGATTATTTTCCATGTGGATATCAGTAAAAGTAATGTGCGAATAATTGTTGTCTTGGAAAAGTTTAAAGAGATTCTCAATTACCTAAATCAAATGTTTTCAAAATATTATATATATAAAGAGATAATAAGTATAAATATTTGCATATAAATAAGTCTTAATTGGATGCATTAACAACTTACCTTAAACTTCCAATCAACATCACTGGAAAATGCATGACGATGAAGAATATCCAAATATAAATGGAATTCAAATTGAACTCTCTTTGACGGTTGTTGAACATAAACTTCAAAATCTTCAGAAATACTCTGACCTCTACTATTTGTAGCCGTCAATTTAAAGACATGCCTTGAAATATCCTTCATCAGAGGGCTATAACATTAAATATTTATTATTTACTAGAAAAAACTCAAATGTAATTGCGTCAATAATAATGTTAACATTGTATACGAATCTAAACTCTAATTTACTCGATAGTAATTTAATATATTTTACATCATATAAAGCTCCTGAGTTTCATTGTTTAATTCAATCCAGTCAAATTTAGGAGAAAGAGACAGATGTAAATTCCTAGTGTACCCATCAACATCATCACGGAACGTATCGTTTGCTATAATTTGGATTTTAGATTTTCCAGCAAGGATTGGTATTTTTTGTATTCTCCTCAACAAAACTGGCGGTAAATTGCTCATTGTAGTTGTAGTTGTAGTTGTACTTGTGGTGGTGGGAGCTAATTTTACAGTTGTTGTAGTAGGATCAGCAGTGGAACTCGATATTTCCAATGATTTCCAAGGTCTTGTACTGGTTATATCACCAACTGTTGTACTTATTGATACATTGGAAATAGAGAAATTAACAGTTGATTCTGTTGTTGAATCTTCTCGTGTTGAATAAATTGTAGTTTCATCTGTGGGCTAAATAAATTCATTAAATTTTAGATATGACGTATTAAGAATATAATATTACACGAGAAACATATTGTATGTATATAATTACTAAAACTTCTTAAAAGTATATTAAATTAAAACATTAATAAACGTTCTTCACAAATTATGTACAAAATAATAACAATAATTGCACAAATAGATGATATTCTCTTTCTACAAATGACAAACAAAAGAAAATTTTAATGAAAATACATGTATTTTCTCATGACCTGAAAAAATATCCATTAAATCAAAACCAACAACATTTACTTATACCCATTCTAAATGTATCATTTTTTTATATAATAGAAAACTAAAATATCTGAAAAAATAACAAATTTGTCAAGTAGATACAAAAAAAAAAATGTTCACATCACCATAAATTTATAATTTTTTCAAGTAGGTGGATAAAACTAATATAAGATTTTAACATTTTCATTTGATAATAATATTTTAATGTGGGATAAGAGAAATAAATGATTTGTTATGCAGAAAAATCAAATGGAAAAAGTAATTTAAGCATTTAAAGCAAGAAGCAATTTAAGCATTACCTCGTTAGAAGTTATTATAAACGACTCGGTGGTTTTATGATGCTGCTGCTCCTTTCCAATTGTTTTATCCATTGTATTTTGATTCGATATAGAAGACAAAGTTGTTGAGTTTTCATTCAAATCAATTGGTACAATTGTGTCTGCATCATCTTCAGTTTGTTTCAATTTTTCCGTGAAATCATCAGTAGTAGTAGTAGTAGTTGTAGTATTTATAGTCATTGTTGGCAAAGAAACAAATGTACTAAATGTGGTATCAGAAACTATGGTTGTAGAAGTAACTGACTCGGTTACATTAGAAGTAGATGCTGATGGATTTGTTGTTGTTGTTGTTGTTGTTGTTGTTACTGGCTTAATATTCCTCGTTGTCGCAGTTTCAGTTAACAACGTTTGCGTAGTCTGTGTTAGTAAAAGCGATATATAAGCGTGACACTAAGATCGTTTTAGCTACACTATATATATTCAATAGAGCAAACATTACCAAGAAAGTAAAGTGAAATGAACCAAAGATTTTTTTCTACCTGTAAAAATCTACCAATATTTTAATCTTGAATGAAAAAAATTGAGCAATTTTCCAACCAATTTCAATATTTTTTTTTGTATATAAAAAAATAAATGTTTGCTCAATTGATCGTGACAGCAATAAAAACACAGAATTAAGTAAGCCAAATGAAAATGCATGATGATTTGAGAGAGCACCCTTTAAGCAAGTTTGAAAAGACAATTTATACTTGAAACGATGATAATGATGATGATGATGATGATGATGATAATGATGATGATGATGATGATAATAATGATCGTTAAAGTAATAAATACTCACGCTTGCAATAGAAGAAGAAGAATAAGAAGAAGTAGATGGAGGAAAAGGAGAAGGATGATCAGTAGTAGAGGTTATGGTAGCTATGGTAGAAGTGGTAGTGCTAGATGAATTATTGTTAGAACCAGATGCTGCTCCATGATCGAGTATCGGCACAATGTCGTGCTCATCAATTTCTTCAATTTGCTATGAAACGAAAGTGTATTAACTTGTAGGTTAATAGACTCGCAAAAAGAAGAAATAAATATGTTCTTTACATGAGAAAATTGGTCGACAATTGTACATATATATTATACAAAGAAAAAAAATTGCAACAATTCTTATTCACCTTTAAATCTATTGTCTCTTCTCCGTGGTGATGCCTATGCGGATGCTCAGATTCCACCTCGGTATTGAGTCTTGTCGAACTAGACACGTGAGGCGGCGAATGTACGTTTACATTGTTTTCAGTTACTGTTTCTTTATTACTATCTTCGTCTTCGTCTTCATCATAGTCATCGTCATAATTTTCATTATCATCGTCGTATCCGTCGTATTCCTGGCCATTTAAGGAATCACCTGAACCTGTATCTCTACGATTTCTTTCAAATGATTTTGAAGTATCAATCTTCTTTTGCCAAGGAATAACTGGCAATTGCAACACTTTAGAGAGAATCTTTATTTGCTCAGGCGATTGATACATTAATTCTTCTTGATTTTTCCAAAAGCGTTCATCGCATCCAGACTTTGTAATATAAATATTATTGTATTTCTTTGTAACTAATATTTATTAATTGTAAAAATTATTTTAAACTTACAAGCCATTGAATAGCAGTTTGATGTTTCTCTCCATACATTAACGGTTGCATTGACAGTGAATTCTATTAGGGGAGAGAAAAAACCGCATTACAATTAGTAATATTACATAAATTATGTATGTATATTTAAATGCACGTTTCAATGGATTAAAAGACTAATAATAATAATAATAATAATAAGGGAATCCCTCAAAAAGTAGATATTAAATAATTTCATTACCGTGTTAAAATCCAAAAATTCAGCAAGTTTTTCCAAAGTTTCTACTTTAACTTTACCATTCAAGTTTTCAAACTTTACATTTAATAAAATTGTCGATTGAAACTGGTCATCTTTGCAATGTTTCTATAAATAAATGATTCAGAATAAAATTTTACAATCAATTTGTTTACTACATTTACATGCGTGTATATTATATACATACTTTCTCATTCTTGAATCTTGTCAATTTATATTCATTACTTTGCATAACAACTGTCACAATAAAGTTAAATTTTTCAATAATTTTTTTGTTTTTGCCTAAAGCTTTAACAATTACAGTGTACTTTCCGATATCTTTTTTAGATGGTACACCTAATAAGGTATTTGTGAATTCATCCCAGTAAAGCCAATAAGATGAAGGAAAACCTTTACCATTACCTTTGATGTGTACCTAAAAAATTAATTAATTAACTAAAGTGTATAAAGAAAATTGTATATTCACTTGAAATAAAATTTTTTTTACCCAAGTAGTAGTAGTAGGAAATTATAATATATTTTATCTCAATATTTGAAATGTATAGCAACACAGTACCTCATATCGTTGAATAGATTGTCCAAAGGCATGCTTTACAAATTTCAATTTAAAAACATGTCCAACTGAGACATTTCTATTAAGTCCCTCGCCTATTTTATTAAACTTTTTTTTACTAGGCAAATTATTCTCCCAATGTCGTTGATCTTTATGTCGCTGCTCTCGATAATAATCTTCATGCTGAACCTCAACAGAATCAGATTTAGTTAACGATGACAATTCGTCACCATCGTCGACAAATACTAGGTCATCTTCTGTTGAATTGAAAGCAATGCATAATTGCGGTAAAAATAAGATAAATACTAAGAAAAATGGTTTCATCTTGTGATTTTTTGCAGTGTCTCTTTTTCATATCATACTGCTTCGTCTCTATAAAAAAATAAACAATTCACATATTTAATAAGATATTCTATTTCTATGGATAACTTTATTAATCTAAATATTTTCTTTACAGCGCGAAAAAATTAAATGTAAATGTATATATTAATGTTTCGATTATTTTAATCATTAATAATTATACAAATGTCCACAAAGTTTTTATTTTTACGCATATTATTTTCGCAACGCAAGTTAGAACACTAATTAAAAGTAATTAGGGTCACGTTGGAATTACCATATTAGTGGACTTTATTTATCACATCATCATGTGTAAAACAAATTATATACAATAGAAGCATAAAAAATTTGCACTGCGAAATTTGCAAAAAATATCGAGATCTACAAAGCTCGATGTTTATACATTTATTATACTTGATCTGCGGATATTTATATATATATTTTTGATTTTATACGATATTATAATCTTGCACTCTCAAGTAAACAAAATTAATTATTCATACATAAATTTATAAAATGCAAATACCAGTTTTGTAAAATCATTTAATATTGGAAATAAACAATTTTCAAAAAATTTTCAAAAAATTTAAATATAATTGCATAATACAAATAGAAATAAAATATTTTTATACATCAAAATCAATGTCATTATAAATGCGTGTGTGTATATAATATAAATAATATACTAGTATGTTATTACTGCTGAATTAACAAATTTGACAAAATAATTTATTTCACAACATGAAACATGGTTCTGAATAGAAACGTACATAGCCCAATAATCTTCAGGAAGTTTGCAACAAACTTTATAAATCTATAGGTATTCAAAAATGACCTTATTCTTTTAACAAGTCTAAAATATAAATTTTCTGCAAATTTGCAAAAGAAGAAACTTTTTTTGTATAAGTCATAAAGTTTGTTACATTGTATAATTATGCAGTAAAGGATTATTATTTTTAATTATATTAAGCGATATGTATTCTTTGAAATAAGTAACAAAAAAAGATGGTATTTTGAGATCTAATTTTCTGAAAATGATTCAAAAAGATGCTCTGATCACATATTTTTAATAAGATTGCAAGTATAAGAATGTGATATATAACAATAACTGATGACGTAGTGAGTCGCGGTATGCGCTGCCTAATCGTTTTATATATATATATTTTTTTTAAGCGGGAACATAACCTAAATTATATATTCTTGTAAAAATACTTTCTAAGAGAAAAATACTTTTTTTTTTTGTTATAATTACTATTTTATATATATATATAGGAATATACCCATATTACTTTGAAATTGAAATTTCACAATAATAATAAAAATCATTTTATGACACAAATCATTGAGAAAATAATTATGTATAAACAATATACTATAAAATGATTTTTATTACACTTGTTGCCAAATGTCTATAAGTACTTGAGCAAAAAACAAAAGAAGAAAAATATATATTTCCTTTATTAGGTATCAATTTTATAAGACACAAATTCTTCTTACGTTTTAGTAGTGTTAAAATAGAATAAATTAAAACAAATAAAAAAATGACAAGAATATTAAAAGCAGTAAGTGTTACATATATATATATAACAAAATAAAAAAACGATTATATACTTACTAAATTTAAAAAGGTGATGTGTGCTCCTTTATAATTCTTAAGCAATGCTGGTGGTGGGATGGTGGGTGTGTGTCAATGAAGTAACTAAAAACGCTGAAAAAAAAACGGAAGACGGTACAGACAGTGATGATGAATATGCAAGTGTTTTGTTGTTGATGACTGAATATAGTATTTCAATAGAATCCTAACAGGAGCAAAAATAAAGAAAGAAAATAATTAAAAGAACCGCACTGTGTAGAAAAATCAAAGATCACATTGGAAATTTTTCAAGATTACAATGAATAACAAAAACTTTCCAAAGGTAATGTATTTAATGTAGGTATACTATATGTATATATATATATATAATAGGCAGGGCAGGTTGAGGACAAAATTACAGTACAGAGAGAAGTATGGCCGACGATTGGTGGGTGATGGCGACCGGCACACGCAGAAACTTTCAATTTTTAGGCTAACAAGTCTTAAGTCTGAACTGCGCCGATGCCACACACGCTTTATGCACTTTTGCCGATGAGATGACGACTGCTTACATTTGGTTGGGTTCGTGAACTCAAACGTCTAAACACAGCTTGCGCCCTTTATCCGCATATAGTATACCCCGTTTGCGCCAAATTGATTGTACAAAATTCCCATTAAATAAAAATCATTTTTCAACATTTCTTTTATTATATATATTATATATATTTCATATATATATATAAACATAACAAATAATGATTAATTAAATAAGTAAATAATTTAACAAATGTTGGTATAAATATTTTCAATTATTGTTGCAGCAATAAACAAATGTGAAATATATCTTCAATCTCATTCTCTAATATATAAAATGACAAATGATTTTAAACTGATTTTAAACTGCAAAAAATAATATAAAATTCTAAAATTTTCAAGTACTAAAAAACTCTAATAAGCGTTGGCACTATGCCAACATTCTAATTCTGTCACTATAATAATATAAAACTTTTAATTTTATAATTTCATTTAATAATAAATAAAAATATTTTATATAAAATTTTATATAAAAATTTATATAATTATAAATAAAGGAACAAATTTATTTTTTATTTTAAATATTCATCAAGTTAAAAATAAAGTTCTTCTTCTTATTATTATTAGGATTGGGATTGTACACTGACTACATTAAAAAAAAAAAAAAAAAAAGTCAAGGCTGAAACAATTATTAAACGCAGCTGAATCGTCAATAAAAAAGAAAAGATTTATTGTAATTCTTAATTTTAGTAATTAATAATTAAACAAAAGAATTATTCTCTATTCTACGGTACTGAATAAGAATGCTAGACATCCAAAAGATACAGTAGAACCGTGGTCAATAATTGCGCTACCCTCCCAACCATCTTCTTTACAAACTAACTTTCTATTTAAAACACATTTACAATTAAACCTTTTTATATGTTCAGAAGGCGACGATGGCTGACTCTTTGAAATATTGTTTCTATTTGCAATCTTTTTAATTTCTTCAACAATATTATCATTTTTGCCTCTTGGATCAGTTTTCTTATTACTATTGTTGTTGTTATTGTTGTTGGTGTTGTTGTTGTTGTTATTATTATTATATGAACGTTTTACATAGTCAGATGAATATAATATATTATCCACAATAGTTCCATAACTGCTGTAGTTGAGCAATTCATATCTTTTGGTGTACTGTAAAACATATAATTTTTAGTTTTTTTAAGGGAAAGACATTTTTAGTAAAATGAAATTTATAATAAAAAATCTCTTACCTCGTCAAAAAAAATAATAGCATGCTTCGATGAAATGAAACTGCAATTTCCATATCTGCTTAAAGATAAATCACAATTTGGACCAGTCCCAACGGTAAAAGTTTTATAGGACATAAATACTGGAGGACCAGGCACATGAGTCAATGGAAATAATACTGCTCTGACCCTTAAATGACAATTTATAGAATTATATCCTTCATTTTCTGGATTCAATATCTGCTCTAGTCTTTGTAAAGCTAATGCCTCAACAACAGGCCACTCCAATAATTTGATTCCCTCCTTTTTTGCAGCTGGATACGAAATATTTTTGTTATGGCTATTGCTTTCGTCACACAAATTATCCCTCTCTTGTTCACAAATTTGCATTTCAATATCTGTTTCTTCATTCTCCTTTTCAGATGATGCATCAACAGTAGATGTTAATTTTTCAATGCTTTTCATATCCTGCAGCTCATTTCGCCGCTGTATATCTTGTTTTACGATAGGAGATAAAAAATCAACACTTCTATAGGAATGAATAAAGTCTAATTCTGGAGGATGAGCATAGTAGAGCTTTATTGAACATGGCACCTTTACTCTCAATCGTTCTCCACATTGAATTTTTTTTCGAAACATTGGATTATTAGTGTGTGCTTTTCGAAGAAACTGCAGTTTAACGGCATGTTGATCAATTTGACGATTTGCAAAACGATCCCACAATTTTACACGTTCTGTTGCGCTGCTTGAATTCAACAATCGTTGATCTAAAAAATGATTCACATGATTTGGACACATCCATCTACCACTTGGTAAAGCAGTCAACGGTGGATCTAAACAATCCTGGTGAAAATATAGTGGACAATAGTCACATGCAAGTAATGGCGCTTTTCTACAACTTCGTCCACACTCAAAGCATAAGCGAGCAGGTAGAGGTACAATAGATCCATTTTCCATACAGTGATTCTTTCCTAAAATAAAAAATTATTATTTCATTTTTTATCACATGTAATAATTAAATTTATAATTTTTAATAAAAGTTTACAGTATGAATTTTTAATTACAAACATTTGACTAATAATTATAATTGTATAATATTTTTTATTAAAATGCCATTTTCTTGATTTATTAATGACAAACAATTTTCTTGTAATTTCCAATATCAAGTTTTATAGTTAAAGTTTGTTTTCAATTTACTTACCAATAATGTTGTTGCAACCTTGTTGTTTTCTCCTTTTATTATGAATTAAATCAGTCTTGTCGGTACCGGGAAATGTAATTGGAAGCTGCAATTCACGGGGTAAATCAAATTCTCTTGGATTAACCAGAGATGCAGCAAAAGCTAAAATTTCTAAAGCAGATTTTCTTTTTTTGTTTTTTCCAACTATATCTTTCCTCGAATTATTTTTACAGGCATGGCAAATCCATTCCCCTTGTGGAATATCAGCTGGATCTAACGGTGGGTCACTATTTACAATTAAATACATGTTTCATTATATAATGACATTAGTTTATCAATATTATTCATAAAAACTACTTGTCTCTATTCTTATTCACTAAATTTTGTAAATATATATACTTACTGACATTGAAGGTGGAAAGAAGCAGGGCATTTGTCACAGCATATTAATTCTCCACCATCTTCACATGCATCACATGAATCTCGATTATGGCCTCGACCAGGTCTTTTAAAGTATGCATGCTTTTTCTCTAATTTATCTTTTCTTAATTTCACTGATTTCGCTTCCTCTGAAGTTGGTGGTGCAATAAGAGCTTGAATGTGCTGTAACAATAAATTAACAATGTAAATCTCATTTATTTTTAATTTATCAAATATATGAATTAGAATATAAACTTACAGGCATTAACCCCTCAAAAGAAGTTACTTCCATGTTATTCATATTTTACAGTTTATAAAAACCAATTTTTAACATCAAATCGATTAATAATCATAATAAAACATTTTTTTTAAATTAATAATGACAGAACCTCAGAAGTTTCACACACTCTCCTGTATATATATATATATATGAATATAGAATAAATCATGATCCAAGTAACAAGGTCTCGCCAAAGTCGGGCTCAATTTTAACTCGGTTCGCGCACCATAAAAAAGCCGACCAATCATAGCGATTACCTGAAGCGACGACCATATTGAAGCGCTAAATTTTGAATCAAATACAGAAACAAATTTAAAGAACATAAAGAATAATAAATTAAAAGTAAAATAATTCTTTATTAAATATTAATATTTTTTATTAATACTTATTATTAACTTGATACATAACATTCACATATATTGGTTGCTTGGAATCTTGAAAATCAAATTACTATTTATTGCAATATTTATTATTATTATTAATAACTTTATATTTATTAATATTAACAATAATTAAAAATAATAATTATTATTAAAAATAAAATAACATTCATAATAATTTATTAATATTAATTACTATTTATTGTAATATTTATTATTATTATTATCAATAATTTTATACGTATTAATATTAATAATAACAATTAATAATATTTATTATTAAAAATAAAAATATATTAATAACAATAACAATCTTATTTTCTGGATTTGAAACACATTTAAAAATACGCGGCTAGACTTTCAATATGGTCGTCACTTCGTCCGCATTCTGATTGGTGCTTGGTTCCACGTTTTTTTTGCCTGCGCGTGGCGAGACCTTGTTACTTGGATCATGGAATAAATAATATACAAACTACAAGGCAAATACAATTTCAGTCAATTCACACATCCTGTAGTATTCATCCAGAAGGATCCAAACACTAATTGGTCAGTAACAAAATTGTCCAGATACATCTGATTAGCTGACAAAGTGAAATATTCTACTTCCACCAATCAGCATTGCTCTTGTGAAAAATCTGACACTTTATAGCGTATGTATTACTACTCACTTTCCGGTCAATTCCAACACTCGAATAATTTTTTTATCAAAGAAAAAATTGTTTTTTATTTTTAAGATTAATTATTTGAAAAAAAAGATGGAAAAAAAATTGGAAAATTGTACAGTTTTATTGAAATACTGATAAATTAAAATGATAATAACTTTAAGATATTTGTTTTATTAATTGATAGCTGGAATGGAATCAATGGAATAAAGAAGAACAAGAGGCGGGGTATGCGCAGATTCAGTGCGCATCGAGTTTCTCGTCAGTCGGTTGTACTGAATTATTCCTGTTCACATATAGGGTTGATTTTCCATTAATATTTTTGTCTTTTCTATTTTAAAATTCTTTACTTTGAAAATTATACGTTCTTGCCAAAATTATATATGCAAGAAAAGTAGAATTTTTTGAAAAAATAGCCAATTTTTTCCTAAAAATATTTCGGAACTATACAGCATTGTCTCGTGGCGTACATTGATCTGCTAATATAAGTCAGTGTAATATTTTTTCTAAAATAAGAGGCTTATTTCTCTTTCAAGTTGATAATTAATACGCGACATATTCATTGGTTTTTCAAAATTATTTAAGAGATATTTGAAAGAGAAATATTCGCAATAAGGGAACGTGTGAATATTAAAAATTCGGTCTCGTTTATTTCGTGGTATAAAGCTAAGAAAATGGCGACTTACTATAGAACTGATTACGTGTCGTTGGGCGACACAACATGATAAGTGTACATAAAATCGCTTATTTGATGAGATCAATATGTTATTGGTGTTTTATATTATCTAAAACTATTTAAATTTTGAAGAAAACATCTATTAAATTGGAAAAAATGGTGAGTTTTAAAATACTTTGTTGATTTACAATACATATTTTATTCCTAGCTATATATATATAGCCAATATGTATATATATATATATATGTACATATTTTGTGAAAATTAGATGGCGCTTCAAGTTTATTCTGATTATTATTTGCCATCGCGCACAGAAGGGACAAAAAGAGATCAATAACCCCAAATAGCCTGATTAAAAAAATTTATTTTAGAATTAATAAACTCGTTTAGATAAATCAGTTTTGTTTGTTTAATGTAAAAAAGTAAAATTTCAAAAATAAGAATTAATATTTAATTAAATAATTTGTGGTTAAAAAAATATTTCTTGGCACTTGATTTAAATCAAATTCTTGTACCTACCTATTTTTTTTAACAATTTCTTTTAACCATTTTCCCCTTTAAAATAAAAAAAACAATGAACTTTAATATGGCTATACAAGTATAAACTCGTTTGTTTAAATATTGAGTATTGTTACATAATAAATAAATAAAGAATTTTTTTTACTAATATATTTTTAAAATGTGTTAATCCTCAATATTTTTAATAACCAAATAACTTGATTCTACTGAGAATATTAATTTTCATTTTAATTCTTTCTAAACTTTATCTTATTTTAACCAATAATTTTTACGTGCAAATTGTCTATTGATAAATAATATTGTATTTAAAACCTTGACATTTTTTTTCTTTACTTTTTAAGTAATTACCATTTTGTACAATAATTTTCTTTGGGATGTAATACACACGTGCATGTGACAATATATTCTATTTTTTGCAATAATAAAAACCTTTTATAGTTAATAATTAAACGTGTTTTGTCAAAAGTAAGTAGTCGATATTTTTTTTGTTATAAAAAGACGTGTTTCTTAAAATTGTCAAAAAAAATTAATTTTTTTAGCTTCAATTTGTTTACGATTTTAACGCCACGATCAATGAAAAAAATTTAATTAATGTATTGGAATATTATTTTCAAGAAATATACAATAATTTTTCTTAAAACAAAAATAAAAATTTTCTTTCTCTTATATTATATTTTTGTGGCAATGTTGTAATAATAATAATAATATACTTGATGAAAATTGTTTTTCGTTGATCAATATGACAATATCTGGACTTGAGAACTTTACAAATGTTTTGCCGGCAAATATAAAAAAAAAAAATAAATTTACAAGATCTTTATTTTATTATAAATTATGAAAATACATTTTCAATAGTTTTGTAAAAGTATAGTTATTAAACAATTAATGACTATACAAATATTAAGTTATCGCAATATTTACGCCAATAAAAAGATAAAACTAACTTGCAATGAGTTTTTGGTTAATAACATGTCGTCACAGTCTTAAGGAAAATTATATTTCAGTTTTATTTATCAAAAATTATTTAGATACCCTTTATTTGGAAAAAAAAGAAAATTCTTTTTTCATCAACATAAACAAAGATAAAATTGATAATAATTTTATGTAGCAAGACTAATGCACATTTTTAAGTATAAGTATAGTTAATCACACACAGCTACAGCGTATAACTCTTTTAAATAGAGAATTTGTGTCGATTGAAAATATTTTAAATATTTTCTTCATGTTCTGATGATTATGTAATTATTAAAAAGAAAAAAGAAAATGTTTAATATTAACTAAAAAAATTAAATAGTTTGTTACAAAGGATGTTATGTATAATTATTTATTTTGAAAAAATAATGAAATAAATAAATTTTTAATTCACTATATTATTTAACAAAATCATTTATTCGTTAATTTCTATTTACATATTTTTGTTATAGCCACGAATAGATCCTTTATCACTGCTCAAATGCCTCAGTGTTTTACTTGGATCCACTGGAGGCATCAAAAGCAAGGAGGAAGTGCACCGCTTAGCTAATCTTATGACAAAATTTTCTAAGAAACTTGTATCGAAATGTATATACATTCAAATTTTAAAAACTACAGATACTGAACTTCTTAGCCAGTAAGTAAATTTAATTCTGCAATAATTAAAATACAATTATCATAAACTATTAAAAAAAATTGTGTTGTAGATTTATGGGCGCGGGTGGTTGGAATCTTGTTCACATGTGGCTTACTGATGGAATTCTCGCAAAAAATTGGGCATTAATTCAAGAATTATTGGAACTTCTTTTACTATGCCCAGTAGACATTGAACGTTTAAAAAGCAACAATTGTCCAAAATTAATTAAAGGTCTATCTAAAGAAGGAAGTCATCAAGGTGTTAGAATATTAGCTAGTCGGCTTGTTGAACAATGGTTGAAAATTGTAAAAGGAGAAGCAGCTCCAAATTCTGTTCCTGCTCAAATCGTGACCCTCTCTTCATCAATAAAATCGTCAACAATTCCTACTGCAATTGTAAATCCAAGGCCTTCTATATCAACAACTCAAAGCAGCTCTTGTAGCAGTAACAACAGCAACAGCAGCAGCAGCAATAGCAATATTAATGTAATTGAGAAAAATGAGACTGATAGAAATACACAGCTCGTACAAAACAATTGTAATATGATTGAAACAACAACAACAACCACAACAACAGCAACACAGGAAAACCAACAAATAGAACCTTCAAACGATTGTCATCGAATTTCAGAGAGAACATTACTACACACTGATAGTAAACAACAATGTCCTCAACAGAAAAAACAATCTTTTGTTGTTGTACCATCTTCACAAACGGGATTAGTAGTACCAGTTTATAAAATTACTATACGCGATGGAAAACAGGTCCTCACAAAAGTAGAAACAGATTCTTCAAACATTACCAACGTCATTAATATTTCTAGTTCTGAAATAAATGGTGATCATGATACTATTGAATTTCAGAATAATCCAAAATTCGACGATTATCACGAAGAAGAAGAAGAAGAAGAAGAAGAAGAAGAAGAAGAAAAAGTTGAAAATCAAGTAGACAAATGCACAATTAAGGAAGTTGTATCCAAATTGCCAACTAATGATAATGAAACAGCAAATATTGATAGTAAGAAAGCCAATTGCGAAACATCTGATGATGTAGATAATAAAATAAAAAATAATAAAGATATCAAGCAATCTTCTGCTGCCATTAGTAGTGAGAACAATAAGTCTGCTAATGACAAGGAAAATCGAGATTTTTCGAAAAAAGATAATGACAAGAAACTTTATACTAATAATAATAATAACAATTGTAGTAGCAGCAGCAGCAGTAGCATTATCGCATCCAGTGCAACTGGTGATAAATCAAATTCAGAGAAAAAAATAAGTCATCACAGTTCATCAAGCAGTAAAAGTTCTTCAAAACATTCTAGCTCACATCGTTCTAGTTCCCATCGTTCCAGTTCCTCTTCCTCCTCCTCACATCGTTCCAATTCAAAAACATCCAAAACGAAAGAAAAACATCATAGCAGCAGTAATAGTAGTAGCAGTAATAGTAGTAACACTTCTTCTAGTAAACAACATGGCTCAAATAGTAAAAGCAGATCTGAACGCGATAAAGAAAAACAAGAAAGAGAAAAGGAAAAACAGAAGAAAGATCAAGCTGAAAAGGATAAAGCTACTTTAGAAAAGGTTCAAGGTCCAGCTTTAACTTCAAAATTAGGAAAAATTCCCAAGAAGAAAATTGGCGATGAGCCAAATGAAATTACTACAAAAAGATCTTCAACAGATTCTAAAGAAACAACAACAACAACAACAACGACGACGAAAAAGATATTGTCTAATGAGAAAAAGAATATTTCCATTTCTATAGAAAATCGAAAAATCCAAGATTCGACGCGACCAAAAACAGTCAAGACTTTTAATTCGAAATTTAGGTCAACTGGATTAGAGGAGGAAGCGAAACTTCCACCTCCAAGGTCGGCTAGAAAGCCAAATATTGTTGCCGATAAACCAAAAATATTGTCTTCGAAAATATCATCCCTGAAGAGACCATCACCGTTAAGAGAAAGCAGCAGCAGCAGCAGCAGTTCGTCTACTGATAAAAAAGCAAGACTTTTGCTCGATAATTCCATTCCTCCTTCAAGTGATGAGAAAAAGGGAGGAATCAAATTAATTAAACCTAAACGTAAGTATCAAAAAATAAGGCATGAAAATTTATTAATAATATTCATAAATATTTCAAAAAGCAAAAACAAATTTTTTTTAATATTAAGGTACTTGATAAATACAATGTTTCTTGATTAAAATTTAGGTGAAAATTATACTAATGGTGTGTAATTTCATCATAAAATAGAGCAAGTGTGAATGGATTTCTTTTTTGTTTAATACATTTAAAATTACCTAACATAATTGTATTAATTTCACAGGTGGTTTACGGCAAACAATTTTTCTAATATTTTACTCTTGTAAATAATTATTTTTATTACTTTTATTTAACTATATTAACAAAATTTTAGCGAGCAGAATCTTCCAAAGAAAAAAAGTAAATCAAGTTGGTAAGGAAATTGGGAGGAAAAAGTATTATTTTTTTTGGATCATCAAAAACTGTATCTTTGGCATCTGGAACTAATCGTCTTTAAATATTCTTAGCTACAATCATCTTCTTATTTCTCATTATTTACAGTTGTGCAGGTAATATTTTCTTGATACTTTTCAAACAGTAATAACGTTTATAATAATAATTATAAATAATTTAAATAAATTATTAATTCATATAGCTACATATTGTAATAGATTAAAGGTAATGTAATCTATTTACTATAAACCAGTTAAAAATTTTATAATCATGAAATCGTCTTCATTTTATTAATATGAAGATCATTATTATTGTCATCATCATCATCATCATTTATCATCATTATCATCATCATCATCATCATCATCATCATCATGATTATTAACAGTAGCAGCAGCAGCAGCAGCACTCTCATCGACAGAATAGGACATCAATGTCGTTATTGTTAACATGGCCATTGGATTAAACTTCTTACAACAGCTTCTTCTTCTTCTTCTTCATTAGGTAAGACAGTTCAATAAACTTTTTGTTAAATTTTTATTCTCTTCGTGTATAGTATATGAAAAAAAGCAAATAAATTGATTTGATATCTGAATTTATTTAGAGATATTAATTTCAATTTTTTATTCTAATAATTATCGACTTTTCTTGAAATAATAATAAAATTATTGAGCGAGTGTTTGACCATGTACACTTTTTTCTTTTGCATTCTTTAATTCTATACACTTTTTAATTTAAACACAAAATTTTATCATATAAACCCGGCGAGCGTTAGGTTAAAAATTGGAATACCGAGCTTAAGGTTGGGTGTTTTCCATCCAGTAATGCATTATACAAGTTATTTATTACTGTTATTATATTATAACGGCATATTCAAATCATGGAAAAAGTAAAATTTCACTGGGTGGATTCCACACCCAATCTTTCGCTCGCCTGGAACAGAGTAAAATTCTATAAATACGTAGTACGTCTTCATAAAAAGGGCCCAATTTGGCACTCTTGCACTTGTGTGTGTGTGTGTGTGTTTCAAACAAATTTTTGACGCCTTAGATTCCTCTAATTGAAAAATTTGCCAAGTTATAGAGATTTAAAAAAAAGAAATGGAAAAATCTAATTTAGAGAAAAACGAGTTTAAAATTCAAATCCGCCATCACAATTCGCCCATGATAATTAAAAATTGAAAATAAGATTATTACTTGTCTTAATTACGAACAACAAGTCATCGTGTAAATAACGCATAATTGGATGCGTACGGACAAAGTGGCCCCTTTTTTATGTATAGATACTTGAAACAATATTTTACTCGGTACAATATTTAATTATGTATTAACCACTTTTAAATAGAATACACGTCACATTGATTTTTAATATATATATATATATATTAATTTTTGCAGTAAAATAAAACTAATTTTCATTTCATAACTTCTTTTCTTATATTTTTCTAATAAATGAAGATGTTAATAATTGTTCAATTTAATAAATTAAAAATAATATTGTATAAAGTCAAATATTTAAACTTTAGAAAAATGAACACACAAAATACCTTCAAGTATTCAATATTAATATACATGTAACTAAACATTTACCTGTATACAATATAATGTGCACGGTCATAGTCGCGTCAATAATAATTTAAAATTATGGAAAATTAATTATCTAAAAGTAAAAACTTTTTCTTAGAGTTACCTATATAATAAGAAGCGAGGGGGTAATTACTGATTAAAATGGTGTACACTCTAATACACTAAATTTTCCTGCTATTACGCGTATTATCCAGTATTACAGGGTATTACGGAACTATTACAGGGTATTATTGATTATTACAGAATATTACCTCTATATTATGTGGTATTACACTGACGTAATAATGCTCTATTACGTGACTATTACGTGAGGAGCGTATACGCTAATACACAAGTAAATACCCCCTCGATAAGAAGCAAGGATTATTTTAAGGCCCGTTCACTATGTCCTGAATTAGAAAAATAATTCTTAATTGTTCAAAATAAATTGAAATATTTTGTTAACTTTATATAAACAGAAAATTCTTATTATTTTGAAAAAAATGAAGAATTTGTGATGTAGAAATTTGAACGGCTTCTTTATTATGTACAACTTATATATCAATCAATTCTTTAATAAATGACGCATCATTTCTTCTTCACAGTTCCTTAGCATCACACAGGCCGCGAGGGTGAAAACAAAGCACATACTTTATTTAATAGTCTCAGTTGAATTGTATTTTTATAAATTTATATTAAAACTTTTTTTTTTTTTTTAATTCGAAGGGAAAAATTAAATAAGCACGTGTTTAAAAAAATTCTTCTCAAAGAATTGAGTCATGAAACTAATTAAAAATACTTGAAGAAACTAATTGTATCATCTAAATCTGAATTTCTTATTTAAAAAGAGTGGGCATATTTTTTTAAGTAGTTTTCTACTAAAATCCTATTACAATTTAATTCAATTGTATCGTGAATTTCGAAAAGGACTAAAAAATCGGTTTTCTGAAATTATATTACAGGAGACACAAAAGACTGTTTATATTTTAAACATCTTTAATTAAAAAAAAGTTCACCTTTTATTTCGTAGTAACTATAGGTGGTACTTTGTTATATGAAAAAATGATAAAATAATTGTTCTTAACGGCGCGCAGTAGGTTGGAGAACATTGATATTATAGTTGTCAGAGTTGAGCCCTTTTCGAATTTAATCTTTTTAAATCATGTTTTATTATAAAGAGAGACATTTTATTTATTCATTTATTTAATTTTATAATGTAAAAAGTTTTTTTTACAACTCTTAAACAATTCAGCAGTAGGTTAGAAAACAAACGCAATCTTTGCGGTTAAAAATCAAAGGAATAAGAAACACTTTAATACATTTTTCTCCTCTTGAAGAAAAGTAGGAACTTGAAGATGAAATTTTCCTTTTAAGAGAATGCAAAGAAGTGAAATTTGAAAAAATCCGAGTTGAGCCCCCTTTTCGAAATTCACGATTCAATTAATATACGAATATGCGCGCACTCTTTAATTAATAGAAAATAACTACCAACTCTTGATTTAGAGAGATTGGGTATGAGATTTACTTGAAAAAATTTGTTTCTTTTAGTAGGTTAGTAGTTTTTGCCAAAACATTACTTTTTAATAATTAAATATTCTTAGTTTAATAACTTTAAACGAAAAAAGAAAAATGTTTCAAATAATTTACAAAGATTAAATTAAAAGTAATAGGTGAATAAGTATTTTTTTCTAGTTTTGCAACTTGATTGTATATTTTTCTGCGTTAACATTCATTTTGATGATGTCGATCAAATGGATGAGAGCACTCTTCAAGAATGTTTAACTATGTGTGGTCTTATGGACGACGGGCATTGAACAACTAAGTGAAGGTCCTTACCCAACGAAGAGAATTTGCAACCTGACTGCAAAATGCAACATAATAAGAAGTGTTTTGTCTACCAGAGCTAGATTTCTTTGTTCGCTTGCTGTTAATTGTATTGATAATTAATTAAAGTGTTGTTAAGAAACCAGCAAAAGAAATTTGAGACTGAAGGATAAAAAATATTACTTTTATACCCTCCTTCATGTTTCCAAATCAAGCATAAAATTTTTTATTTCATAAAGGATTCCATATTCAATAAAAGTTTTACGCTCATTTCATTTAATACGCGTTGTCGCGTTTCATTAACAGACAATATAATAAATAAAAAATTGATTTTTCTCAATAAATTTAAATTTTATACTCGCAACTGAAATGAATAAAATTGACGAAAAATGAATAAATAGTCAAAAATTATACAATGCTAAACATAGTACACTATATTGCCCTAAATACAATATAATAATGTATCTGTACATTATATCTCTATACAAGATTACAATGTTTATTCTGAAATGCAAAATCAAATACCAGTTAAATATCAAAAGACTTGAAATTACCCAACAACCAATTGAAAGCTTTTGTTTTATTTAATTAATTTATTATTTATTCATTTTTGTTTTAACAATTATGATAGGTATTTAAAAATATCAAGAAATATTTGCTGCATTTAATATAAAAAAATAAATTTTTATTATAAAAATTGTTTAAATGGGTTATTATACGTATACGTACATTTGTTTTTAAAAAAATAGTATTTTAAGACGTTTTATATCTTTAACATTATGATGGCGCCTATATCACTCAATAATTACAATTCATTATTATTTTTATTTTTTTATTCTTCAAAGTATACAAATTTTTAAAATAGTATCTGCTAACAACACTAATGGACACTATTAATTCTTTTCTCGTCCAAATAATGTAACAAAAAAGTTGGCTGAAAGTTTATTGCGAATTAGTTGAGAGGGCAAAATTGCTGCGTGTAGAATGTCAAATAATTAGACTCTAAATTTGTAATAATTTTTCCATTTTAAAATTCAAATCTTTTTCAGATAATCTAACGACATGATATTACTAAAACTTTACATTAATTTTTTTTATAATTATTTTTTAAATCTTAATTGTTTCCTGTTTCTAGAATTTCACAGAAATAATGCATCAATTAAATTATTAATACACGTTAGTAGCTTAACTTTTAACCATTGACTTTCAAATCTTGGTAACAATGCTCAGACTAGTAACACAATGTATATAATCTAATTTATTAACTAATAATGTAAATTATTACATATTGTTTTTGTTGCAATATTTGAAATTCTTCAACTTTTTTTTAATATATAATTTTAAAGATACAAAATGAATAAATTAATATGCATACATATGTATAGAATTTCTTTTCAGAAATAAATATTATATCGAATATCATGGGCAAAAAATATTTCAATAATTGACTAAATTAAATTCTTTGATTTTTACTAAAACTATCTTGATAATTAAATTTAAAAAAATAAAAGTAAATAATAAGTCATCAATCAAAATTTGACAAAGTTATTTCAATTAATTTATTATTATTATTTTCTTCATCACTTTTTCATAATTTATTAGTAAATTCAATAAATATATTGTTTTGTGGTAAATTCAAAGTGTTTTTTAAAAAAAATAATTGTATCAAACTTGAAATAAACTTGAAGTATAAATTTAAGAAAACATTCTTAATATGTTGATTGTCAAATAACAATTGTATCGTATAAATATATTATATATATATATATATATATATATATATATATATATATATATATATATAATTTTTTCTTGCATATGTGATAATAATTGTTTTCATCATATTGTATTACATCTTGATCTGTATTTTTCAGGACAATAGATGTAAATATATTTTTTTCAGGATTATTAAAACTGAATTATTTTATTTTTTGTAGAAAATATATCCAGGTGAGTAATGTGTAGTACCTGCGACTAATATTAATAAAATATTAATTATGACACAAAGACATGTGTGTACAATTATAATTATCAATGAATATATTCAAAATATTTTTTCTCATAACTTGAGAGAAATTTATAGTTGAAAACTTGTGTATAGTTTTATTAATCATCAAATTAAAACAATAGAATACAATTGTATATTAATTCAATTAAAAATTATTTTCATTGCTATAACACATATATATTTATACTATATTAATATATATTCTAAAGTCTCAAAAATCTGCTTATTTATCAAGTATATATTATTACAATGGCCTAATTATTTATTACAAACATAAATTATTCCGATTCTCCATTTATTTTTCATGCGTTAACAAATTTGATGACAATAATATTTTATAAATATCTTGATTACTTAAAGTCTTGCCAAAATATTCATTTATATCATTAAACGCAATTGTATTAAAAAATGGTCAACAGTTTTTTTAAATTGAAACAAATTTTCTTTTTAATATAGATTTTCTATTTAATTAATAATATTTCTTTATTATTTAAGATTCAACAAAAATTGATTACTTTTTAATTATTTATAGTGTAAAAAATTAAACATCATTATCAAGTTTACACTGATAAATCACAGTTCATTTTCACTCGGTAAAATTTACTAAATGTTTAGTGATATAAATATACCACTGATTATTTACTTTTAGTGAAAGTACACTTGAGAATCAGTGAAATTCTACTGATTCAAATTAAGACAATATATATTCATTTCATTCTTATTTTTGCGAATTTCCTAGTTTGAATGCATACATATATTTATGTTTATGTATAAATCTATATATATATATATATATATATATTATATTAGTGTGAGGGAGAGAGATAAAAAAATGAAAGAAAGTAGAGTTTTAATTATCATTTACTCATATATATATATATATCAATTTATCATCTAAATTAAATTTATTTAATATATACAAAAGAAGAGGACGTGTGTATATGTGTATAAATAGGTACCATAAAAATAAAATTTCTAAAAATATATTTGTTTTTGCTTTTTGAAATACTTGAGAAAATATATTTATGATTATTAATTAATTAATAATTTGACAATATTCACACAGCTATGATACTTCAAGAGAGCGACATGTTTATGGATGCTTTAACTGCAGCTTCAACAAAAAACAAAGAGCCAAGAAAGAGAAAACGACGAACTTCAATTTCAAAGGATGTCGGGCCTGAAGTTAAAAAATTAGATACCAGCAGTGAAAATAATCGTGATCAATCCCCTCCTTTAACTTCACCATCCTCATTTCAGAAAATTGATGATAAAGCATTATTGAAGCCAAATTTCAAGGTATTTAATAAAATAAAATATTAATTAAAAAATTTCATTTCCTCAATTACTTGAAATAAAATTTTTATAAATTTTCTTTGTCTAGTTTTATCAAGATACATTGGAAATTGAAGACGATGAAATGACGACGACGACGACGACGGCAAAGGGAAAAAAGTCGGACGCAATTAAGGCAAAAACAGAAAATGGTGAGGAAGAAGCAGAAGAGGAAAGAGGAGGAGGAGGAGGTGCAGATGATGATGAAGATGAAGATGACGATGATGAAGAAGATGATGATGATGAACATAAAATCAGTAAAAGTTGTAAGGATATTAATCAGGATAATGAGGATAATGAGGAAGAAAGAAGTACAAGTGAGTATTATTTATGAATGAATATTTACTTTATTTCACCATAGTTTAAGAAAAGTTTTTTAACGAAAATTTTAATCATTTAATTATTATTGAAGCACCAACACCAACTGAAGACAGTTTCAGTGACAATAAGGCAATAATAGAATCTAATCAGGAAGAATCGAATGAAATTCGCTACGTGGATGGTCTTAGAAGTGTTTTAATTATACAAAAACGAAAAGGTCCGAAGAAAAGTCTAAAATGGAAAGCGGAATTAGAGTCAGTCCGATATTTTGAATTAGATGAAACTGAAAGAGTTAATGTAACTAAAACTTTCACTGACATGAAGCAAATTGATAAACAAAATGAAAGAGAAGCTTTTCAAATGGCCAGGAAATTAAGTAAGTCAAAAATTTAAATTTTACAATAGAGCACAAATTCCAATCAATTGAATCATGTTCTAAAACATTTTTTTTTCTTTTTCTCTAGGTAATGAAGATTTAATGGAAGAAAAAACAAGGTGGAGAGCTTTGATTCCTATCGATGTTCCACAAGCCTTGGTTGAACCCGGCAAAGACAGTAGAGAAAAAGATATTCAATATGCACGTGAAAAAGGAATACTTCAAGCACTATATTTCCATCGAAACATGTAATAATCTCTTCGCATTTTATTATTATTTATTTATTATTATTGTAATATTAAAGAAAAAATCCAATTCTTTTATAGGATTCCCGACTCACCCGCCGAGCCAGAAGAAGAACGACTCTTACCAGTGATAGAAGCAAAAGTTATACCTCTAGACGATTTAACTGGAACAAAAGCCAACGAGAAAGATTTTACAACGACACCATGGCCAGAACCAAAACCTCATCTCCCTAATCCATCAATCATCACTCCTTCAGTGACAAATTTTCCATATCAACCGTATCCTCAGAATAATCCCATGATACCCTCAATGGGACCCCCACCACCACAACAACAACAACAACAACAGCAACAACAAACTCCTATGGGACCAATAATGCCAATAATGAATCCTATGAATCAAATGGGTTCAGAAATGGGTGTTCCACCTGGAGGAGGAGGTTGGAGAACAGGCGATGGAAAGGTTGTTGTTCCTGACATGTCGGGTGGTATGCCTGGTGGTTACCCTCAAACTATGGAGGGTCCAATGATACCGCCGCCACCTGGAATGATGGGGCCACCAATGTATAATCAACAGGATGGTTTTATGTTAGGACCTGATGACATGGGTTACAATAATGTTCCAAATAATTTCCAGGGAGGTCCTGTAATGTTTGGGCCAGGTCCTAATTTTCAAGGTGGACCCAGGGGCAGTGGACCAATGCATGTTAATCGTGGTAGAGGAGGACCACCACCACCACCACCACCACCTGGTGCTGGTTGGTTTCGTGGTGGGCCCCCCGTTAGAGGTGTTGGAGGATGGCGTGGTGGGTGGCGAGGTAATACTAAACAGCCACCAGTTTGCAGACAATTTTCAAAAAGTGGATACTGCCGTGCCGAAAATAAGTGTCAATTTCTTCATCCTGGTGTTAATTGTCCTCCATTTTAAACATTTTTTTAAACATTAGTGTGACTTGATATGTGACTGTGCGCGCGCGCGAGCCTAATTTCAAGTTCCTACTCATTGTACAAGTGCATTTTTCCAAACAATACACACAACTATTGCTTGATACTAACATTTTTGTGATGCAAAAATCAAGTGTGCTGCCCAAATAGTTTTTGACATTACTCTCTCTTTCTCTCTCTCTCTCTCTCTCTCTCTAGAAACTTACATTGTGATACTCTTTTGATTTTTCTTGGTATTGAATGGTTGGAATAATCGCGCGCAAAGTATTTCATTAAAAGGGACAAATTTTTTCCATCTGCATATTAAAGGAAAAAAGAAGTGTTTTGTGGTTTCTCCATTTCTCTCTTCTAATAATCGCAACGAACAAAAATAATTTCTCAACTTGATTGTACATTATTATGAACAACAATTTAAAGAATGGATCATGGATAAAAATACGTACCTATTATATAAAATTAATAATTACATCAATTTTCATTCATTCGATTGTTGTTCAACAATTTTTTCATTCTTTCTTATTACTTTTTTATACATTTAGCTAAAAAATAAAAAATAACTAAAAACTCTGAGAAGAAAAAATGAAGATTGTACTTGACAGCAAAAATATCAATTTATGTCTCATAAAAGCAAGAAATGATTTTCATTCTTTCTATTATATCTGTAAATAATAAAAACAATATAGATAATGACAAATTTTGATTTTACATACCATCATTTTTTTGGAGACAAAAATGTACACGAAAGATACTTGAATTATATTTGAATCAATTTTCCAATTTCGCTGTTGAACAGCTCTCATGATATTCTTTAAAATGACGCTAAAAGCAAAATCAACATCCAAATTGTTTATATATATATTTTTTTAACTTTGTCTTGATTATAAATAGATTTTTTTCTTTTCATTATTATAATGTATAGACACACAACTGAGTTTGGAAAAAGCTTGAATCAAAAATTCATTACGTCAAAATGGACAAGAATATCATGATTCAAATTTACTGTGCGCGTTCTTCTTTTAGAAATAATCGATTGAATCGAATCATTTCAGAATTATCGTTGAAAGTAATTTATAAAGAATAATAATAATATATCAATAAATTGTTTTTAATGCGCGCTTCTATCGATTAAAAGAAATGTAGAATTGTAATAAGAAATTATTCTTTCTGTGCTTTAAATATAATTTTCATCAATGTATGTATATAATATGCACACTAAAAGTTCAAGCATAAATTATATGCATAATACTGCGTAATAAAAATGTAAGTTTCCAGGTATTTTTTAAAAATGATATTATTAAAGGTCATATAGTTTGTACATATGCGCAGTAATGATGTTTAGAACCAATAATTATTTACTTTATTATTATTATTATTATTATTGTATAATAGTTGTAAAAAGCGTTCAAGTGAATTGTTGTTTCTAATGATCTGTGTGTTGTTGTTGTTGTTGTTGTTGGTTTGTAAATATAAATAATAAACATGCTCTCTCACACAGACATTTCATTAAATCGAAATAAAAAATTTAAAAAGGAAATTTTTTTCATAATTTAAAGAATAAAAATTTTATTTCTTTATGATGAATTTGAACGCTTTGTGAATAATTTTCAATTAATCATGTATATATATATATATATATATATATATAACAAAAAAAGTCAAAGATTTGTTATATGGAAATAATGATTCATAAAGGACAATTTTGAAATTGCTAAATATCTGTATAGATAGCTTTATTTTTAATCAGTATAATTGAAGGAAAAGTCAACTTTTGTAGTAAAAAAAAAAAAAGAAAAAAAATGTACTCTATAAAATGTACAGTCCTAATCAAAAATTGGATTACTGCTACTACTATTATTATTCATATAATTTAGATTTTTTTTTACTAGAAATAAAAAAAAAGTTTCTTGAATGTACACGGTTGTTAAATTTGTAAATACTTGAAAATATGATTGTATGAAAGTCGCAGTTTCAGATAAATACACGATTTCCAAACATTTTATTTGTTTTATTTATCTTATTAATTTGAAAGCTTATTTAAAACTATTACATAATAAATATATTAAAAGATTGAAAATTAAATTTAATCAGTTTCTTTTTACTATATTAATCAAAAACTTGTGTGTGTGTGTGTGTGTGTGTGTGTGTGTGTGAAGTAGACATGAAAATGGACAATAACAAACTTGAATAAATTGTATTTTACTAGAGTATAATATAAAGAAGAAAAGGAACACATTTAAACAATCGTAGTAAGCAGTCAAACAAATTCTGTAAACATTACACTGTTATTTTCAAGTTTTTTTTGTCTTTAAATAATTTAAAAACTCTTTTGTTTATATGACAACAATTAATATGCTTACATTTAATAATCAACATTTATAACAAAAATTCTTGATAATTATATGAAATTATTTACCGCGAACTCTTCGATTAGTGAATGTAGATAATGATGGAGTTGGTAATGGAAGTTTTAAAACAACAATTTTCTTATTATCTTTTAGAGGTACAGCACAAATTAATCTTGCAAAGTCAGTCATTTTTTTAAGACTAATACGACCTCCAATTTCAGTTGCAAATAATTCCAAATCTAATGAATAATCATTTATCAAAAGAGCCAATATCATACAATGAATAATACCTTTATCTTTAATACTATTTGGTCGCAATCTGAAAAAGGAAAAATTATTATTTAAATTTAAATCAACTACATTAGAGGTTAAAATATTTCTTTTTTTTTACCTTCCATTAACACTATTTACGCTATATTTTTCCATGACAAAGTCATTAACTTTCCTTGAAAAAGAACATATTTCAGTGCCACGTTTTTTTGCATCCTTAATAGGAAGTTTTAACCATGTTGTTACAGCATCGATATACAATAAGACTGCTAGTTTTTTATTAAAATTTGAAAGTGTTTTCAAATATTCCAAAGTCTGTTTAAAAAATATCGATTTCCTAAATTAAAAAAGAATTTTAAATTAATAACATTAAAAATTAATATTTGTAATAAAATAAATCTCAAGTAATTTTTTTACCCATCCAATGCAGCAGCAGCAGCGGTTTCCACTGATTCAATTTTCACTTGAAATAAAGTTTTTAAAATTTCCATTGGAGCAATATCATTGATGTCATAAACATCAGCTACATTAATTGCTTCTCTGTTACAAGGGGGCAAAATAGAGCTTGCTTCTTCTTGGATATCTAAAGAACCACCACCACCATCATCCATTTTTTCCACATCTACATTTGAAAATTAATTTAATAAATTATCCATCAACTTGATAAAATAATGAAGCAATTAAATTCTACACTCTTACTTGAAACAGTTTTCTCCAAAAGTTCTTTAACTGATTCCCCACTAATCTTCATTTTTTCATGTAATTCCGTTTTCCTTTTAACTTTCTTTGAACCAAACTGCTTATTTAAAGTTGCGATTTTATCAGTGTCTGTATAATGGTCATTGTTTAAATTACGATTCAAAACCGGTGCAACGTTCCATCTTTCAGCTTGAATAAGTTTAATTTTGCCCGTTATTTTGTCACGAATAGCTAACATTGTACACATTGGTTCCTTATCCACATCTGGCCTATAACCTTTGTACACAATTTTTCCATTTGATAAAGCCAGAACAGTTTTTCCGCATTGTTTATTAGAAGAAAATAAACCACATTTCATATTATTCGTCTCATCATCTTTTAATTGTCCATTTTGGAAATTGACTAAAAAAAAATATACAATTATAGCAACTTTAAATGAAAAATTGTAAAATTCCAACAACTTACCAATTATAGGTTGTAGACAACTTTTATCTTTTGAAACAACTATTACGTCTGTTATTACTGCATCAGTCTTCATTCTTCTTATCATAAAATTATTGCCAAATTCTTTACCAAAAATAAACAATGGCTTTAAAGAATCGAATAATAATATTCAATAATAATTGAGGGTTATGTTTTCCAACGTCGTCACGTGGGTCTGGGTCTGCTGCTGGACACGCATTTGATGGAGGAAACATTAAGTCACTTTTCACACTGATGCAGCAGCAACAGCAGTCATTGTGACATTGTGTGATTGGTTACAAGAAGAATTTGTCCACCAATAGTCGTGCGCGCGCGCAAGGAAAACTGACAATCGAAATGGCGGCTCAATGGAAACATACTACATGTGTTGTTATTATTATTGTTGTTGTTGTTGTTGAGAATCAACACAAAGGCCATGTCATTGTAAACCAGCTTCACAGTCAGCAGCAGCAGTTGGCGTCGGTCTTTGGTCAAGTTAATTAGTTGAGTGTTTTATCTTTTACAATAAAAAAAACCTTTTATCTATTAATTGAAAAAAGCATCATGTTTTCGACGTGCCTAAAAAATGTATTACATTGTGTGCTGGATATGTTTTAAAATTTCAGAAGAATTTATTCAACTAAAAATGAAGGATACATAAAACAGAAATTTTTATTGGATTATTTATGGTTCTTAACATAGAGAGAGAGAGAGAGAGAGAGAGAGAGAGAGGTGAGTGAGTAACAGATAAATTTTGCCTTCTTGTATTGAAAATATTCATCCTTTAGGGTTTACTTTACACATAGGTATACATATTATATTTTTCCCTTCAACGTGAAATTGGGTTAGGTTTTTAAAGAATTTCTTATAAAACAAAATATAGGTATAACACTTTTTTATTGAATACAAGCTGAAAAATTATCTACACTAAACACGGAGAGACATAAATGTGTGCAGCAAGAAGACTAGGGTGTACAGTTTTACTTTATTTTACTCTATTAGAGTTAATAATTTGCTTTTACAGATAATATGTTTTTGTCTACAATAGCCAACGTCATCAATGCAGTCAAACATTTAAAATATTGTTTTACAAAATATATTCTCTCACTATTTCATTGCACAATTTTATTACAGTGCTTATACTTGAAAATTATTACTTGAAATTGAAGCTTAAATAATGATATCTTGAGATTTTGCAATGGTGAATTATTAATTATGATTAAAGTGAAATATTATTTGAGAGAAAGAAATATTCAAGAATTTTAACGCCTTGAAAGATTTGGTTCATTCTAAGAAGCGTCCTCCGCATTCCACAGTTTCTCCCTACTATCAGTTTGAGAGTTTTCTCTCTCTCTCTCTCTCTCTCTCTCTCTCTCTCTCTCTCTCTCTCTCTCTCTCTCTCTCTCTCTCTCTCTCTCTCTCTCTCTCTCTCTCTCTCTCTCTCTCTCTCTCTCTCTCGTTGATTTAAAAAATTATACGTACCAATTTTAATTTTGTATTAAATATCCATTTTCTATAAAGGTATTTTTAATAATAAAAATAAATTATCCACTCGTGATGTATTAAATTATTGTTAAATTAAAAGAGAACAATTACATTAAAAATAATGTCCGTTCTTTTATATATCCATCTTTATTTTTATCTCACACAAAATTATCAAGATTGCAATAAACAAAACATGTCCATTTAGGTTCGTATTTCAAACTAGGTAAATAATTTCTAGTTTACATAAAAAGATGTATTACTTGCAAAATTAATTTCATGTCACAAATTTTGTAATGTGCAATCAAGAATTATATAGTTTACTGTGAATGTCATCAACATTTAAATGTTGATGTTTAAAATGTTGTACTATTTATTCATACAATTTTTATTTGTTGTTTTATTAATAAGGAAAAATTTGATAATGGAAAAAATTTTCATGAATTGAGCATTATATGGAAAGAAGAATGTAGGTGCGCACAATTTTGTGTTTCCCGTCGATCAGGTTGGCGCCATATAAGATCCCCTACTCCTGCATACACCAGAGTTGAAACAGGTTTCAAGGCTGTGTGTTGTTCATCGCTGATTCTTGAAGAACGTGTATCACGAAATATATGTTGTATTTCAGTAGGATATCGCTCTGTATTGCGGCACAAGAAAATTATCTAATAAGCCAAAATTTTTAACGATACCAATTTTCACACACAGAAAAGAGAATTGAAATCCTTTCAAATCTAAAAATCACTTGAAACGATAAATAAAATAAAAATGATTCCTTATTGCATATATTATATATATATTTATGTGTATATATACATCTTTTTAAATGGTTAGTCGTTTATAAGTAAACAACAACAACAATTTGTTTCCATTGATTTTTGGATGAAAAGCATTAATGATTGGAAATATTGTCGACTCGAGAAGGTAGACGACGAGGACGACAACACTAAGGTAAGCAGACATACATACAAGCTATAAATGAACAGACTTGTACAACACTGGATATAACCCGGAGTCTGCTGACGGTCACCCCATGTATGGCAGCTTGTTTTATGCAGTCTGTATTGCTATACACTCTGCTGCACTTGCCTTCAAACGCCGCACCAGTTTAATGCACTTGGAAGTACGTCTTTCCCTCTATGTCGCGCTCGCGCACACTTAATACTCCAAATTTTAAAACATCCACCACCTAAATAAATAAATTTTAGAAAATATTTTCAATTCATAAACATTTTTCTGAAAAAAGCAATTTTACATTTTATTGATTTTATTTAAATCACGCATAATCGCAGAGGACATTTTGTACAAGGATTTGCGGGGAAAATATTATTGCGTTGTCATATATACATTTTTCATGTGCACATTAAACGGATAAACTTTTGAGTATTCCTTTATTACAATTTTTAAAAATAAATATTAACTTTACCTATACTCTTCAAATCTGAATGAGTACATCATTAAATGCATCTTTCAATAAGTTCGCGCGCTCTCACTTATTGAAAGAAAGCACATGTAATAAATTAAAAAAGTTTTATAATTAGTATTTTTCTCTTTTTTTTTTTAAATAAAATGTAACATGTTCTCAAAGACAATAATTGCTGATGATAATGTTAAAAACACTTTTTAATTAACCGTTTTAAAATTTATTTGCAGATGTATGCTGACGAGAATGCCGTTATGAGTTAAAAGTTGAAGTTCAAAAGGCGCGCGCGCGGTGTAGCTTTCGATAATGAGTAAGCATGACGTTATAATAACTATTGCCAAGAACAATTGAGGGTCCCTATCAAAGAACCAGTTATAACTTTTTTAATCTCAAAATTCTCGACCTCTAAATAAAAAAAGGATTCAAAATTTCAATTTCTTGAAAACATTTCGCATTTGTATAAAGATTATCAAAATGTTTCTCAAAAAATTAGGATTGAAAACATTTTAATTATTGACTTACAGGGCAATAATTTTGAGCTTTAAAAAGTTATAACCGATTCTTTGATAGGGACCCTCAATTGATTTAACCATATGTATCATACAAATTCTTCAACTAATTTTTAAATAAAACGAAATTTAAATGTTATTACAATATCAAAAATATACAAGTCTCTGTCTCTCTCTCAAAAAAAAAAAAAAGCTTTTACTAAGCCCAATTTAGACGCATTATGCTTATGTATAGTGTATTGCTCAAGATTGATTTTCTAAATAGTTGGAAATTAAATATATTTTAATATCAATGATCATCTTTAAAGTTTTTTTTTCTTCGAAACAAAAGTCCACATATTATTGATTTCTCAACAACGAGAATTTCTACAAGCACACACTTTGAACTTGAGATCATAACGCATAAATTATGCCCCAGCAAAGAGATGTAATCAAGGTCAAACTTGGTGTAATAGTCGCATCACATGTCTAAGCAGGTAACTAAACCTAACGGATATATTTGCCTGGGGGACAAACACACATACTCACAAAAGTCAAAGAGAGTTGGTTGCTAACGCAGTCGGTTTAAAGATTTGCAAATCACCCAACTTTCTGCTTAAAAATAATTTATCAATATAAATAGTGAGACATTTAATTGGTACTCTTTACATTACTAAATTTTTAAGATCAAGTGTGTTTTTTTTGAAAAATCAACAACTTGATAATAGCTGAGAAAGAAATGCATCTACATAAATCTACTTTTTTTATAAATAAAAATGAAATGATTAAGTAATTTAAACCCAGATGTTGAAACTATTCAAAAAATGTATACATTCATTTAATTATTACATTTTGTTGTTGTTAAAACAATGACTGGATGTTGGGTATTTTTACATTTGCAGAAAAACATTAGTTACCCTTCTAGAGTTGAATTAATTTTATTATTTTGTTCCGTTTATTTGCATGACTAAAACAATCAAAATTTTGTTATATCAAACACAAATTTTATAGAAATAAAAATTTAAAAATATACAATTTACAAATTCCATTCACTCATTAAAACTGTGATAAAGCCCAAATGCGCATTACCTTGTCGTTTGACCTCTCTTATGACCTCTAACGGACTACACCTCAGGCGGTCTCATGCACTTGCGTAAGATTACGTCGCACAGAGTCGCAGAGAAATTATACTAGCCACAATCTTTTCTACTAAACAAATTAATATGACAATGGCTCAAATCTCAATAATTTTCCCTACTATACATAATAATAAGTTGGAGGAAGATACCTTACACACTGCCGCGCATTTTTTTTATAAAATATATTATTACACATGTATCCTCTGCAATTTCAGAAATACAAAAATAAAATTTCTAAAAAAAATTTATTTTATTTCATCACAAGAAACAATTAATAAAGTGTTGATTTAATGAAAATTAATTGTTTGAATGCGCGCATGTTGGAGTTGATGAAATCACATTCTCAATAAAAACATTACAATTCTTTATAAATTTTTGCATCAAAATTTACACAATTCAGTGAGTATAATACTAAAAATTAAATAATTGACACTTAAAACTAAAATTTTGTAGAAAGTCATTTCACGTAGTTTCGTGTACAATATAGAAAACGCTGCGTCACTGGCATTTAAATGTTATCGCTATGTGCAGGATGATATTTCACAAAAGGCATACAAAACGGGTTACTCTCTCTCTCTCTCTCTTTCTCTTGTCGAGAGTTCTTCCTTGTACCATTTTGAAAGTTAAATGCCAATCAACAGTTCCTTCAAGTCTCGTGTTGTTGTTGTTGTTGTAAACTAATATATTAATTCATTAATTTAATAAATGTCCAGATGAAAATAAAAAAGAGTCAAAGAATCTCTGATAGCACTCCGTGTGAAACTCTGTAAAACAAATAATTTCTCTTGAAAAATTTTTCATAAAAAAAGAGAAAAATTTTACTCAAACATTAATTTTATTGCAATCAATAATAGAGAAAAGGAAGACAGTTTTCCCATTTTTCAGATTGCAATAATTTTTATTTTCTTAATTAATGATGTAATGATTTATACATATATGCCTTTCAAATATGTTCTAAAAATTCAATATCGCTATTTTGCATAAACTAAAAGTGCCTGCCTTTTAGCGGAAACTTGAACATATACGCGTAGCAATTATGCACGTAAACCATTCAAGTCATGACTAGGAGGTCTTACAACTCAAGGTCTTCACGGTCCTGTTGAACACTGTTTTTCACTCACGATCGAGACAAAGGAATAAAGCTCAATTCTATCCCCCAATAGAAAAGTAAAGTATTGTTTATGATACATTGACGATGAACTAGATAAAGGCAATGTTTATTTTTTGAAATTAATTTTTTGTTAATTATTTGTGACAACTGTTTACTGTGTGTGTGTGTGTGTGTGTGTTTATAGGGCACAAATGCAATGAAATACAACAAAATACTTTTTTAAATTAATTAATATAATAAATACAATTCTGTTGCAGAGTTCAACTCATCAAGAGGGCCACCACCACCTGCTGTTGATAATATAAAAAGAGTCTGAGGGGAATGAGAGAATATGGAATCTAATAATGATCCAGACTGTTCAAATGCATTTATTGGTAATATATAATCAATTTTATTAATTATAAAATCATTCAGAACAATCATATGGTTGCGTTCCACACTTATATAATGTAATAATAATAATAATAATAAGAAACGACACTTGAAATGAAAGCGCGTGATATAAATAACGGACAGCTTAATATTGTGATATTTTTTGCACTCTACTTTATTTACATATTTTAATATAATGCACAATTATACCCACAAGTTGTGATTGTGATGGACAAAATGAAAACTATTTAATTTATTATTATTAAAATTAAAAGAATTATTTTATGCATTATTTTTATTTACGCAAATGTTTGAGTGATCCTTCTCGTTTGGAAGAATTACATACGCACGTGTGTATGTTTCTGAAAAGTTGATAACCCTCCACTTCCGGTGACGTAGTTTATGAACGGCCCCTATTTACTCTTTTTATTTTGTTTCAAATGATTGTCAATCAATACATAATTTATATACACGTTAGTAAAAAAAAATTTATAAAAAAAATAAAATAGTAGACCAACAATTTTATTACATCATATTTTTTTTGGTTAGCTAAAATATTGCACAGTACAACACGACGACGACGACGATTCGTTGCATATCGTTGTCGATGCAGTGCGCCGCCCGACCTTGATCCGTGTCAGTGGCATAGAGTAATATAGCATACAGGACCCGCTCTCAAAGTGAAGAAGCCGAGTCCATCCGAATTCAACCGAGATTTCGAATGACTTTTTCCTCTCTCTCTCTCTCTCTATATTATATTTTTCAAAGTTGAAAATATATGATAAAATGACACATTATAATTACATTAAAACTATTTATTCCGTTTATATAGAGTACCCCATTTAAAAGACTAGAAGATTTATTAATAAAACAATGAATGGAAGGGATGAAGAAAAATTTAAGTACGTTATATAATAATGATGATGGAAACATTATAAAAAAAAAGAAAAAATTTAATTTAATTATTCTCTTTATATTATCAAGTGTCGAATAAACATATATATTTTAGTTGTAAAGTGCGATGAAAATTGAAAGTATAAAATTAATTTAAAAGATTTTAAAAAACTAAATCTATTGCTTCAGATAAAATGAAGAAGAAGAAGAAGGATGAGGAGATGAAGAGAAAAAAGCACTAAAAACAAAATCGCCAGCTTGTTGTGAAAGCCATTGTTGGAAGCCCGTTGGGAGCTGAAGCCATCGCGCGCGAACGATGGCGGCGACCGACGGGCAAATTATTGTAGCTGCGGCTCGTTGGTCGGATGAAGCAACATATCTGCGTGAGTTTGTATCCAAATATCGTTTACCAACTGTGATAAAAATCACTAAAGGACAATATGGAGGTTTGGGTGTACCTACACTGCCAGCACCAAGTTTACAAAGTACAGCGCTTTTGTTGTCAGCCGGTCGTCGACGGAAAATAGTAGCTCAAGCTGTTAAAATAAAAGAAGGTCGACGTGTTATAGGAGTTGGTCCCAGATTAGCAATACCAGATTCTTATCAGGGATATTTTGAAATTTTAAGCGAAGAAGGTAGAGCAGTACGAGGCATCGAGTCCGTTAATGAATTGTCACGCAAATGTCCAGAGGAGGGAGCATTGGTGCGAGAAACAATAAGAGGCATTGCTTGTAAAATTGAGGACGAAACTATCATTGTTGCAGAAGGAAGCAAAACAATTATTACAGGTGAAACATTGTCAGTTGCTGGAGAGGTAACAATACCTGGTCGAGGAAAATTTTTACGGTGCGTCGATTCACATGGCGATAGTGTATTATTTAGTATGGAGCAACGGTGTCGTTTTAGCGCATTGGCTCGTGAAGACAATATTAGTGGCGTTCATACAGCTAAAGCGCTTTTAAGTAAACGATTACCACTGACTGTCAGACTAGTCCATGGCCAACCACCAAGAGGTCTTAAATCTTCTTCGCATTTTCTCCCCGAATTAAGACTACTTTCTACTTTTGAGGAAGAACATGTGTTTGCTCTACCGCTACAGAGTCATAGTAGAGGAGGTGAAAACGCTGTAGCTTTGCCATTGGCAGCACCACTTAAATTGGTTAAATCGAGAAATGAAGAAGCTCTCAAGGTAATGCCTGAATTGACCAGGTTGGTCGATCGAGCTACACGTCTTGTTGCTGATGTTGCTGACAAGGCTCATGTTTTAGATGGTCGTTTAGGTGATGGCAAATCAAGACAGTCAAGAAATAATGGTTTTCTTCGTAGATCCTCCAGTTCAGATAGTGCTACCAATAATAATAATCATCATCATCATCAACATCATCATCATCATCACCATAAACATAATCATCATCAACAACAGCAACAACAACAACAACATCATCATCACCACTATCATTATTACCAATCTCATCAAACAACAACAACCAGCAATCCTGCTACAACATGTTATCGAGATGAAAATCGAGTTCCTATTCCTACTACTGAAGAATACGATGAGATTGATCAAATATATGATTATGTTAGAGGCTTTGCACCGTTACCAAAAAGTGTTGGATCATCCTACAAGAGTCAACAACAACAACAACAACAAATACGTTGCAATGCTCCATCATCTGCAACAACAACAACAACAACAACAACATGTCCTTCTCCACCATTATTAACGCTACAACATTCTCCTTCACCACCACCTCCTCCTCCTTTACATAATTCTACTTCCATTGCTTCTGCTGCTGCTGCTCTTACTCCATTGCCAACTTTTACTTCCGCTCTTGCTCCTAATCCAATCACTGTAACGATTGCATCATCATCATCATCAACACTACCATCACCAATAATAGTGGATGATCGACCGGAACCACCACCCATTGAAACAATACCGACTAAAATTAATAGAAATCACGCTGAGAAAAGAACAAGGCGAACAGAAGCACAACCACCAATACCCAGAGTGGAAAAACCTCCTTTGGCCAAGCTTTATATTAAAAATGGTACACAAAGAGGTGGTCGCCCACTTTTAAAGAGTAATTCCCCGATTAAAGAAACAACATTACCAAGTTTTAAAAGTGGCTCACCTCTTTTTAACATTCGATATAAGAGTTTAACAAATCTTCAACAAGCAATGGAACTAGATGGAACTCTCGACTCGAGTCATTCTGGTGGACGTACTTCTGGAGATTCTGGAGCTAAACTTCCAGAGAAAAGGTAAATTAATCATTTTCATCTTTAAATGAATTTATTTTCATTTTTAGGGTTTCGTGGACAAGGACTGAATTTATAATAATTGATTTAAGAGGACCAAAAAACCCTTATAGCGAGACTTGTGTGTCTGTCCGTAGTTCTTATATGTCTTGAGTCTCAAGACTTTTAGCGAGACTTGGGTATAAGAAGTTCTCAAGTCTTATATGTATCAAGTCTTAATTCTTAAGACAACATAACAACAACAACAACAACAACCGTTGTCATGGCAATTGTTGCTATGTTAATGGTTGACACAACAACCGTTGCTATAGTAATAAAATTTCCAAATTAATTATTATTTACTTTTTTGTCATTTTATAGGCCACGAAACCCTATCATGTAGGCGCATTGCGCCTGCTTCTCTGACTGATTTTTTATTATTTGTAGGTCACGTCGTCTAAGTAGACCACGCTCTCTTACAAACCTTGTATGGGAACTTCGAAGCGGAAATAATTGTGCCAGAACTGAAACATCATTATCAAATAATATTGCTTCATTAATTCCGCCATCTAAATGTGGACAACGTCTCGCTGTTACTGTTATGTCACCCAGACGTATTGGTACTCTATATCTTTAATTTGTAAGTTTGTCCGTTCGATATTATATAACATAAAGAAACATTATTATAGTTGACATGATGAGTAGATTTTATAAACTTGATGAGAAAAAGTTGAAAAAAATGACAAGTCACGAATACAAAATAATATATTTTTAGACTTTTTAAGAAACTCGCTTTTTAATTTTACTCCAAACTATAACATTTTTTAAAAAAAAATTTCATCATTGGATTGAAATGTTGGATAATATTGTGTGTGTGTGTGTCTTGTCATTTTCGTAAATTGTTGAATTCCATACGCACAATTTGTGTCATCCAAGATGCATTTCTCATATACTATACTATACTATACTATACTATAAGGTAATGTTATTCAGTGGTCACGTGCTCCATATATTTCACTATGGGAACACGTGACCACTTAATAACATGACCTTAAGATGCAAAATTCAAAAATCTCATGCACATATCAACCAAATCCTTCCTTTGATAGTTAATTTTTCAAACAATACATTTTTCTAAACTTTTATATTTTTTACATAAATATATATATTTATATAACTTTTTGTAGCTCTGTGAATAAATTTTTAATATTTGTCGTGTGCAAATGTTAAGTATAAAAATGTTAAGCATGATGATTTTAATTATCGATGACTATAAATGAATTAAATTCATTCTAAATTAAAGCGTATCTGACATAATTGATAAATAATTTCACAACAATGTGTTTTGAAAAAAAAGGATAATATTAACAGGGTTGTTACAGCATTGTCCAAAAGAAACCATGGAAAACCTAGAAATGTCAGGGTATTTTATTTTGTATTGAAAAGTCAGGGAAAAATGAAAAAACAACTGGAAAATAATTGTCTGTTAAAATTATGTTAATCTTAATTTTTACTTTTTAGCGAATTTTACCGCATTTTACCATGAGAATCGAAAAAACTTTTTGGATGAAAATGCATGATTCATTAATGGTTGTATCACGGCTCAGGCCATTCGATAAAACTAAAGTTACCAACGCGTTGATTCAACGAAAAAATTTTTTTAAAAAATTTTCTCTAAAAAGTTTAGGATATAAATTTTTCTTGTTTACTTTTAACTCAAGTAAACTCTCCAAATCCTAAAACAAAAAAAAAAAAAAACAAACAAAAAAAGGTGGGGAAACAAAAGTTATTTTTTTCTCACGGATTCTTCTAAAATCACGAAATTTCAACTAAATTATTAATCCCTCGCCCCAGTAGCAATTTTTTTTTTCTTTTGATAATTATTTATTTTCATGCCACACAAGCCATTAAAAAAGAATTCCCAGTGATTATTAATTTACTTGAAATTCTCAGATTTTTGAAAAATCCGTGACAGAAAAACCAAAACCTCTGTTTTTTCCGACTTTGGAACCTTTTGCAAAATTTTTTTTTAAAGGGCTTCTAACTTTAGAATAAGTAATTATTAAAAGAAAGAAAAAATTGCTAACGGGGCGAGGAATTATTAATTTATTTGAAATTTCTTGATTTTTGAAAAATCCGTGAGAAAAAAATAATATTAAAGGACAAAAATAGACAAAATTTTAAATGCACTGAACATAAATATAGTGGTTCTGTAAAAAATTTTTTTCCAGACTTGGTAGCTCCATCCATTTTATTCGAGTCTCGGATAATCGAAGCTCGGATAACCGGCGAGGTTCTATACTGTAAACAAGAAAAATTTGTATCCTAAACTTTTTAGAGAAAATCAGAAAATTTTTTAAACAATTTTTTCGTTGAATCAGCGCGTTGGTAACTTTTAATAATTTTAATAATTTAATAACTTTTAATAATTTTTAAAACACTATGATAAAAAAATATAATATACGTGTTGTTAAAAAACATAACATTTTTAAACATTTTTAAATATTGTATTTTCGCCAACGAAAAAACATTTAAAACTGAGTTATTTTTCTATAAATCAATTATATAACAATAAAATATGCAATGTTTCGATATTTTATTGTTATATAATTGATTACTTTTTATGTAAATCACATTTATAATGTGTATGGAAAAATATTATTTGACATACCTATCAAAATGATGCCTGGAAAATTCAGGGAATTTCATGCGAGAAAAATTGTACCAACCCTGATTAAATTAAAAAATTACAAAATCAATTTTAAATAAAAAAGAGATTTGAATTTACTTGTATGATGAAGGCCTTTAAATAATAAAACTAATAATGATATTAATAATCATTTTTACAATATAAGCTTAAATCATAATACAATTGCCATAATAATAACCAAGCAATGTGGTTGTACTTAAGTCATACATTGTATTTTTTAGCTTTTATAAATCTGCGATAAATGTAATTAAAAATTCCTTTAATTAATGATTATTATGTAACGTGATCATCAAAATAATAATAATAATAATAATAATAATAATAATAATAATAATGTTCTAGTAATATATATTAAAACAATTATAAATGATGGTAATACATGACATAATTTCATATTCTTTGAATATTATTATTATTATTATTATTATTATTATTATTATTAGTAATCGATTACAATTATATAATTCTTATCCCACATGCACAAAAATGGCGCTTTTAGAATAAGCTGTCAATAGGGGGGGGGCGTAAAAAGTCATTTATTTCTTCGACCGTATAAAACTACTGTGGCGGCGACCATTTTCCATCATGGGCAAAAATTGTCCCATGCATTATTTTTGGCCATATGGGATATAATAAAAAAACACAAATACACAAGTCGAACAAGTGAATTAATTTTTATTCACTGTCGCCTTCTTGTCTCTCTCTCTCTCTCTCTCTCTGTGAAATCACCAGTTTTGTGCATTAGGAATAAAATATAGCGCGCGCGCGCGCAAGTATCAATGCGGAAAGAAATGTCTGACTTTTGTCCCTTGTTACTAGAATATATACAATATTCCTTACTATTAGTACAATAATTAATCTAATAATGTTATTACGACGTTTAAAAAGAAAAAATTCACTGCTCATGTCAAACAGCAGATATGCGTATACATATTACTTTAGCGCAGTGAACCAGTTATTCTTTCTATAGAAATTAATTATACTGCCATGATACATCAATGTTGACATAAAAAAACTGTTTTTAATGTAAAAAAATTAATATTATACCAACTACAACTAAACACGCAGTGGGCAGTAATCTAAAAACAATTTCTATAAATAGTTTAATTGAAATCGCAACTATAAGCGCAAGTGACAAATAATTATTAGATACTAAATATAGATGTGTATAATTCAATAGTATAAGAATTGTTGTTGTACCTATTATTATATTTTTCAAAGTGTTGAATGAGAAAAATTGTTTAAATCAGCGAAATGTTAATAATATACCATTATTATTAATTTCGCAAAACTACTTTTATTCAATTCTCAATTAAAAAAAAAAAAAATGTCTTGATATTTATCAAGGCAGGCATAGATATAAAATTGCGATAAATTTTACAGTAAAAAGTGCCAACATATATATATATATATACCCAGATTTCGTCTGATTTGCGTAAGACTCTATATAATGAAATAGACTTTCTACTACATTTATTTCATTATATATAGAGTTTAAATTTTTTCAACAGACAACAATTTGCGAATAAAACTAAAGTTGATACATTGTTTCCTTTAATTTTACATGACCAATCCAAGTACAGCTTCCGTCCATTTCTCAATTATTATGACGATCTCAAAATGCTTCTTGGATATTGGTTTTTAAAAAATTTTGTGATTGTTATGGTATGATTTAGGTAGGTTAGGTTTTTTCAATTGCGTAATTTTCGCACTTTATACCGATTTTGACAGTTTACAAAAACGGATTCAAGTATAGTTGTGCTCCGCTGCTACTGTCTCTATATTGTATTCTGTGTCATTATAGTCAACAATCATCAGTATATAACACAACCTATAAGATCTCCTTCGAATATTTGACATAAGCCTATCGCAAAGTAGGTCTATTTCCTTTTGATTAAAAAAAAAATCATGGATTATTTAGAAAAGTATAATATAGTTAATTGCGATTAGCTTTACCAAAAAAATATTGTACAATAATTATACAAATAATAACATTAACTAAAAGTCAATAATATCTTTAAAGCTACACGCTGCAATAACGCGCATATTTTGCGGTAATGCTCTCCGTAAGTTGCGAAGAAAAAATTAAGAAATCACAATTTACTCGGTTTGTGCTTGAGACAAATCAAGTTCCATGTACCAACAAATGCAAAATTCAAAAATTGGTTATTTTTGCAGATGATGCAAAATATTGCGCGCGCGCGCGCGCGCGCAGTGGCTCCGACAGTATCATTTTCATTAATGTATCGATTGTTTTTTTTTCTTCAGTTTTCTCAATTAATATATCATTATCGACATTATGACATCAATATGTATTTTCATTGCCTTCTTCAGTTGTAAAATTTCAATATGAATGTAATTATTAAAATCAATCAATGAGATTAATTAAAAACAATATAAAAAAAAAAATTTTATTTGCAGTTTTATTTTACTCCATACTATACTATATTATATACATGTATATATATTTAAAAATGTAAGAACAGGGCCCATGTGGATGGATTGTAATGTAATGAACAATACATTTTTTTGAAATTTCTTTTTTAACCCTCCATCCGTCGCATGGTGAGAATTTCCCTCACCCAGTTTCTTTTTTTATTTATAACTTTTAAAATACAAAAAATTATAATTTCATATTCTCAGTACCTTTTACGCCACTCTTCTTCTTTACATTAAAACAATTTTGGTGTTTTTTTATATTTTAATTTCTTTGTTATTGAATTTGAAAGCAGCAAAAGGTCGGGGATTGATTTTTGACGCGAAGTGAGAGAACTTTTCACCATGCGACTGACCGCGCGCGCGTATACTCGATTTCATTTGTCATTAATTTTTTATTTAAATAATTAACAGGAAATAAAAAGTTTAATTTAATGCCAATAGGTTGTGTTTAGAAATTCTAATAAACATTCAAAAAAAAAAAAAATTTGCATTTTAAAACAAGTTTAGACTAATTTATGAGGGTGAGAATTTCCCTCACCTGCGACGGATCGCGTTACAAAAAAAGGTGCGACGGATGGAGGGTTAATAATACAGTAGAACCTCGCCGGTTATCCGAGTCACTAAACATGCTCGGATAAT